GGAATTTATTAGAACTCCCGAGTTGTTTGGATTGTGTGGACTGGGGCTTTGATATTCTCTATTGAGAAGTTGATGGCTCGTTTTAATACTCCCCCTCAACAAAGTTGAGGGGGGGGGGTATTTAAAACGAGCCATCAACTTCTCAATAGAGAATAGGGCTTTGATGGCTTGGTAGTTGGAGCTTCTGACAATATATAGTTATGTAAGAGTCCCACCCAATTTTAACCAAAATTAAAGTATATTAATTGGCAAAAATAATGAAATACTTTTCTACAGTATAACAGGGATTTAGCAATGACACTTATTATGAATTCATGCATATAGTGAAGTGACTCCCTTTCCATTTTGTTTAATAACATGTATGTGATAGGGTGATTTATAACATTTATTAATTATTACATATTTCACCCTATCACATGAACTTAACAGATATAATAAATTACGTTGAAAACAAATCAAAATTGTTTTGTCCATGGCACTTCAATATAAGCGTATTTCATTATACTACTGACTTAATTTGTGACTGTGTTTTTCTTATGGTTTGGGATGTTCAAAACCAAAGGGCACAGAAAAAATGTGAATGGCCTTAAATTCATTTATATAATCATGATAAAGTATATATTTCAATTTTGACCAAAAAAAAAAAATGATTAAAAAAAGAAATTGTCAGACGTACTGTGCACCAACGTTGTATTATAGAAATTAACTCTTGTCAGAATTTTTTCCAGATAATTGATGGAGGGTGTAAAAATTAATTGAACTGGAATTGTTCACAAGCCAGTGCAGGTTCTTGTGTATAAACTGGACACATCTCTCAGCAGACTGACATTATTTACAACTGAACAAGCCAGGTCTCTTGTTTCCTTATTGTTGAACTTAATTGGCTGAACTTGCCTGACACATTTTGTAACAATTCAGTGGAGATCAGATTTCAATTTTAAATGGGATAACAGCATGCGGGGACATAGGAACTCGACAGGGGGGACTTGGTTTTCAAATTAACCATGGACTAAATTTGTTTATATTGTGAATTAAATTACACAGAGATGTTTGTGCATTTATCCAATTTATGTTTTTTTGAACGAAAAGGATTTTATAGTGTTTGACAAGATTGCCTCAAATAAGAAACAGTTACCATAGAGACAAGAGATTCTGCAAGATATTTTAGACTGGACTATATTATAGCCAGGTCACGATGTGAAAAAGAGGCTTCAGATAAGGTATGCAAGCTATGAACAACTTCATTATTTTGAATAGACTATTCGTCAGATTTATATTTCAGTGAGATTGTAGATTAGTAGATCTATTCTCAGACACGGATCATAGTCAAAAATTACTACATCAAGGATTTTGCCCTTGTATCTTTTTTTTCAAAGCCCGTGAAATACGAGTTTGATGAGAAGTAAATCAATCCTATCCCTGATTGTAGCTCTCTCTTGCCTCTTTATTTCTTGAATACTGTTTATTTATTTTATCTCTCTCTCTCTTTACAGTAAAGCACACTTATAGCGAACACACTTATAATGAATTTACACTTACAGCAAAGTGATTTTCATTCCCCCTGCTCTGCATGTCCCTGGCAATTTGTTGTATGTGTGTTTTACTGTATCTTATGAATCAGACTTTTTCGATGATTTTAACATCTAATTTTATGTGATTTGCAATACAGTGTAGCCCAGAGTGAATCTTTTGTGTCCTCTGGACATACATATATATTGCATTACTTTACTGGTTTGTTTCTTTCTCTGGTCCGGTGGAAATTCTTTGGGGGGTTATACATGGTTATACAGGAGTGATTATACAGGAGGGGGGAGGTGCACTAGGCAATGTCTGCTGGGTCACCCTGGAGTGTAACTCCCCTTTCCCCCTTGCCATAGCTCCTGAGAATCAGCAATTTAGAAAACCTTATTAAACAAGAATTACCTGAAATTTTACTGTTTTACATTTTCTTTTGGGGGGGGGGGGTCTTAATCTGCACCTGATATGATTGATATCCAAACCAGTCTTGCAGATACAGTGCATCTTTGGATAATATGTATGGTGCATGCTCCATGGCCAGCTGCTGCATCTAACAAACATTACTCAAGTTATACAAAGAGCATGTAGATCGTTTCCTGATTTTCTTCAAGAGGTATTCAAACTAATTTTAAAAATATGGTGCATCCTGTTGTAATGATCTTCTAATGCGTGTATAATGGTTGCTGCCTCTGACCTACATTTTATGCTTGAGTGACTCTGGTCATGCTGGTTATATATATATATATATATATATATATATATATATATATATATATATATATATATATATATATATATATATATACATCTATCTATATATGGCTCTTGCTATTGTAAGGAATATCCAACCAAAGTATACACCTGCTTCAGTGTTAACCAGACACAATTTGAGCATCTAAGCAGACCACAGGTAGATTGCTTTTGAACTGCTTTCACAAAATCTGACTCAATTATGGGATTGGCATAAAGCATTAATGCGCTGAAGGGGTAGAAGCTAGTTTATTGTAAACCAATGTGAAGAAGGAATATGCATGCAAGAAATATCTGTGAATTTTGAGACCTTTTTTTTTTTTTACTGTAAATCACCAAATGATCTCGACACCTTATTTTTGCGAGATGGGTATTTGCCATTTATAAGCTAGACAAAATTTTCACGAATTCTGACTATTGCCCTATATAATCTTTACTAATAAAAATATACGAAATATATGTGAGAAGGAAAATTTCATGAGGAGATAGCCTCGCGTAATTAGGCAAAAATAAAGTTCTTGTGAATAAAAAGTGATTTACAGTCCTCATGAATATTTCTCACCACAACCTATTTATTTTAGTATTGTATATTTATGTAGAAAGTTTCTTCAGTCAAGAAAATTAGTTCAAATTGACAAATCATTGGTTTACTATATTCAATTGAATCATGGCCTAATCCTGTTTCAGAAGGAGATATTTAGAGTAGGATGGAGTCACACACAAAAAAAAATACACATCTTCAGAAATGTTGATATTAAAAAGAGAAAAAAAGAATGTGTGTCAAAGGTTTACTTTTGTAGTTTTAATTTCAAAATGCTCAAACCATTTCCCTGTTATTTGTTTTGTCTCATTATTTAACAACTAGGACACAAGGCTCTGCTACATCAGGTTTAGAAAGGTCTGTATCCTATTGTTTAAAACGAGCTGTCTATTATTCAAAAAGATTTCTTAATAAAGCCATCTTTATAATTTCACATCACCTTCCTATCATACCTTGTATCAGGTCTGATAAAAGTTAGGATTATATTGCTGAATATAGGCAGACACAGATAAAAGTTCTTGGCATAGTTTAAGGTTGTAATCGCCAAGAACTGTAATATCAGAATTAGCTTCATAAATAAAACAGACAAAATCAATGCATAAGGACGCATCAAAATCCTTGAGTAAAAAGATCAAAAAGCTAATCCTTCAGTAGAAATATTTGTCAGATGACATCATCTTGACATTGGGTGTTGTCAGGTCCAGGCAGCCAATTGAGGGTAAAAAATTCTTCAGCAAACATGTCGTCTTGGTTAATAAGTTCTTTGATGTTGAGGGGGTCCTCTATGATCAGTGTAAATACCAGGTCTTCTCCCAGGGCCAATCTGACTGAATCAGGAAGGAGGAATTCTGTCTGGAGAGGTTTAAATACCAAGTGTTGTTTACGTAAGATTTTGTAACCATTCTGAGTAAAGGTTTAGAAATGATCAAAGTATGCAGAAAGTGATTGTGGAATGAAGGAAAATGGGGACTTGTATTCACATTTTTGCATCTCATTATTTCCTTTGCTCTAAATGCATCATATAAACATGTGCTCATGTGCACTAACCCCAAAAATTGCTGAAATACAGAGACTGTCTTAAGCCATTTAATTACTTATCCAACAATATAAATTGTAATTAGGCATATTGAACTGTTTCCTGAAAAAATTAATTTGAGGTAACTATCACAAATCCTACAATATTGGTACTTTTCAATTTTAAAACACAAAACGTACTTACTATAAAGACTGTTTTCTGATTGGTTCCTAGTCCTTGATGGGAACAAATGAAATGGAAGCTTTTCAGCAAGACTTTTAAATGGTGGCTTTCATCAAGGGTTTGTGTAGTGGAACAAATATCACAAAACTTTGACATTGTGAAGATGGGTCAGGTAATAAAACACTTTTTTCTTGGCTACTTAGGGAATAAACTGCTGTACCCTTTTAGTGGGGAAGACATGTTTCCCATGGCTTTCAGCTTTAGGCAATATTTACAGTGAAGTCTTATAATTCCCTACTACCTCAGGACAAGCACTGGCATTCCCCTGATTATAGCTATGAAATAAGTGTATACATATAGAGCTCTGTCTCTGCTGGGAATCAAACTGAGTAGGTACTACACTGGTTTTGTGACCTATGTTTTAAGCTTACTGACAACCAGAAACAGATCAGCTGAGGCGAGGCCATATTTTAGATGTAGCCATTACATTCCAAGCAGTGTCAAAATAAAGGTCCACAAATGATGAATTACCTAAAATGCCACCCAGATAACACCATTACAAAAAAACACAGGAATACCACTTATCTGTTGACTAATAAAAACGTGCATATTATAACAAAGATATTGATTTTTCAGAACATTTGTCATATTGTTTATGTAGAGAAAGTTCTGAACAGTTTATGGAAGTTCTTGTATGAATTTGGACAAGAATTTGACTTAAGGCCATATAAATTTAAAATTTAGATTCTCATCCTAATTTGCTGAAACATTGGGGCGGGTGGGCGGATTTTATTTTTTATTTTTTATAAATGAAAGTATCAACAACACATTCGTACACTTGATTTTTACATTATGTTAATGCCAATATGAATAGATTTTATTGTTTTCATATTCTTTTAATATCTACAGAAGATTCTTGTTATAGAAAATTAAAATATTTATAGTTTTATTAACAAATAATCAAGTACACAGATACGGCACACGCCAAACAAAATGAGGTGCTGATCCTAATAAATTGCATATGCATGTTTTCTCATCGGCCTTTCCCCAAATACCTTATAGTTTTACCAACAACTCCTTCTGTTCTGTGTGGTATACAGATATCACAGATTTCCACTGTCCTCATACACTCAATCGTTCTTGAGACTTGACATGTTTGACATTAAATATATCAAATTTGCAAAACAGGATTGTTTAAATCTGTAAAATATTCTACTGAAAAGCCTAGGCCTGAACAGTTTTAAGATTTAACATTTCCTTAGCACTATTATTCTCTAAAGTCTTTGGACGATGTTTTTTTTTAAATGCAAAATCACATACATCTGGAGATCGTTATTTAAAACTTGACCATGTGTCATTTTCTTTGTCTGTTTTTACTTGGTTAAAATCTCTTTAAAAACTTGCCCATGCCAGTGATGGTATCTAGATGTGTTTATATGTTATTTTTGCTTTTCTGCCTTCTCATTACTGACAAATTATCTTTTCCTTACATATTTAAACTGCTTTTATTGCCGATATTTCTCCATTCTTCACATAGTTTTTTTGCTATAAATAGCGCCACGCGACTTTTAATACAGACGGGAGATAACTCTTAAATTTTGACACATATTCTTGCTGAATAAAAATACATGAAAAAAATACGTTTGGCACCGAAAAAGCAAAATAAAAAACAACGGGGCGGGGCACTTTGAGAGGGGCGGGCGGGGATGAGAATCTAAAGATTAATTTTACCTGGCCTAATATTGAATTTTCAAACTATTATTAGAAGTAAATCCTAATCAATCTATATTATAAAAATATTTTTTTCAGGTACAGATTAGTTGCTGTTAGCTTGGAATGTGTATGTCTAAATGATACAGAAGATCTGACAGAAATAGAGAGTACAGGGCTTAGTCAGAGGTAAGGGAAAAAATGATGTTTTATCTCCAGCTTTTGTGAATCTATTTGTTCACTCATTGTATAGAGGCATGTGGGTTTTAATCTTAAGGTTCATTTCTCCTCTGATAAGAAAGGTAACTCTCACTGGAACCTTTATAAAATTGTAAGGGTAAAAGACCATTTCTGTCAATTTTTTGTCCCACAAGGTAAAGTGAAATCAAATGCATTCTACGGTATTTATCATGTTTATAACTAAGACTTGGGGGGGGGGGGGGGGGGGGAGGGGGGGCATTATTAGCATAAAGCAAAATGTTATATGAGTGAACATTTGGATGATGAAGCTTATTAGCTTAGGTGGACCATTCCCATCACATCAAAGTGCAGCTTCTATGGGTTAAGCAGTGTTGGTGTACTCGGTCAGGATTGTCTTTAATTCACTAATACGACTTGACCTGCCCTGACCAGGCTCTGGGGCCATAAAACTTAGAGCTCACTTTTGATCTCAGTCTCACTTTTATTGAAGGAATTAATAGTGGAAAAGTGAGACTGAGATCAAAAGTGAGCTCGTCTAAGTTTCATGGCCCCGGGGCCTGACCTAAAAAGGGGAGGGGTCATTTTGAATTTTGACTACTTTTGTGTTTTTCTTTCTTCAGTGGTGAAAGAAAGAGCTGCCTGAGAGTGCCCAGCTGTCCTGGAAATTCGTCCAGTGTCTTTCTTGTTGAGGGTCCCTTTATAGCAGAGGTCAAGGCCACTGTTAATGTAGACCACGTCATCGTAAACAGACCTGTCGTCATAGAAATAGTCGTGAAAATTCCAAAACTTCTAAATATATCCAAAGGTAGGGATTTACAAAGAATAAAAAGTACCTTTGAATGCTGCAAAGTTTATTTTAGCTGAGTGTTACTTTGTCCTAAAATCAATGAAAGAAAAAGAATTCACCTATTTTGTTTCCCAAACCCATTGCTGCACCAGAGTTATATATATGAACCCATGCAGTTCCATAAATTCATCTGGTAAGGAGGAGAGAATAAGAGCAAAGCTAGCAGATAAAGTAGATGGAGGCAGAAATGTCCCTGTCTAATATTTAGTTTTGCTCTGGACATGGATGAATTGAGTTCATCAACTTTACGTTATTTGCCTGGAAAATCAATTTGTTCAGTACATTTAGTGATGGAACTTGAAATAATTATTTATAAGTAATAATGAAGTAAAATTCCTTTTATGCAGCCTTTTCTATCCCCCCAGTATTGTATTCCTGGTAAAAGTAATAGACTGGGCTTTTCTAATCTCATTTTGCCTCTGGTTACCATTTGCAAAAAATGAGAAATATCATCAGACTGATGGAGCTAGGATGTTCAATATTCTGTAGTTGGATATGGAATTTATTTCATGAGTAGGACATGATTTTTTATATTTTCATGAGTGTGAAGCACGAGGAAAAATAAAAAAAAAAATCCAGTCACTTGTGAAATAAATTCCGTATCCAACTACAAAACATTGAATGCTCTGTTTACTACATTTTCTTTGATTTTCCATTTGCCTCGATCTGTCTTTTCATAATACAGTGTTGAATACAGTATATCTTTTAAATTATTAATGCTTGAAGTGTGGAAAACAGAAGGGAATAGATGACAAAGCTCTATACAGAGTCTACATTTTTCATTATAGAGTCTTCTAAAATTTTGACCAGTTATTGAATTCAATGGTTATTTTTATAAATGTGTGATCACATAATTTGGAGCAGTGTATAATACCGGTAGTTATTTCAGCAAACTAAGTTTATGAAAAATAATGCTAAAACACTTTTGTACACCTTGATATCAGTAATGCTGACACATATAGATGTAAAAATCTGCTTATGGTAAAATACCACTTAATAATACACAAAGAGTTTTGTGTATGGAGAGGTCTACCAGGGTTTATTACTTAAATTATCAAAAATTAACATTGAAAGTCTTAAAGTTTAATATGGAAATTTAGGCAACCCTTTGGCAAAGCAGAGAAATAGCTGGTGTGGTCTGTAAAGATTGCTATCTTGAATTCTTTAATGTTATTATAATGCACCAAAAAAAAAGAAACAAAAAACAAAACACAACAAGGGCATTGTTAGAAGGCAATTTAAACTTCTAGAATAAACTTGGATTGTTATCTTTAAATGACAACATATTCTACGTGAGTGAAAAAACGGACACATTTTGCTAAAAACTAATATGATACACTAGAAGATATACATACTTTCTTCAACTGACTCCATGTACTGAATTGAATATATATATTTTTCAATTCTTTTAATATGGGGAAGAAAGAAAAATCTTCAGGGATATTTGTAAGTTAATTCAGATAAACAGATAGCCATCAAAAAATGTTTCTTATTGAAGAAACATACTCAAGGGTTTAACTTCAGAGTTACTCAGTGAGCAATACATTCGCTTTGTACTAAAGGAACTTATTCTCAGTATGTACAAATTCATGTGTATTTGTGAATTAGGATGAATGAAACCCCTTTATACTAGTGAAGTATTAATGAAATCCCAGGACATTAAGTGAAAGACCAGTGAAGTGAGGGACCAGTAAAATATCTGCATCCTAGTGAAGGACCAATGAAATCTCTGTAAACACAAGTGAAGGACCAATGAAATCCCAACATATTAGTATAGGAACAATAAGATATCTGCATACTAGTAAACAGGTGAAGGACCAATTAAATCGCTACACATTACTAGTGAAGAACCATTAAAAGTGAAGGACCAGTGAACACTAATGCAGGACCAATGAAATCCCAGCATATTTAATGAAGGACCAATGACATCCCAGCATTTTAGTAAAGGACCAATCAAATATCTGCATACTAGTGAAGAACTAATGAAATCTCTACATACTAGTGAAGGACCAATGAAATCTCTATACATACTAGTGAAGGACTAATGAAATCTCTACATACTCAGGGTTTTAAACTAACTTGTAATCCTTGATAGCCATGTGGGCTACTGAATCTTGCAATTCTGGGGCCCACATCAAAATTTATTCGCCCACAGATTATCACACCTTCTACTGAATATAAAAACAACAACCCCATTTTTCTTTTTTTTTTATCATGCACTTCGTGTTTCATTTCTATCCGTTGTAACATTATCCATGACTTATCTAAATTTGAAGTGGAACTCTTCTGTTTATGAAGATTGATATGATCATTCAGCATCATATGTAGAGCACATGGCATGTTTTCATTCACAAATAACAACAGTACTTTTTGGTTTCTTGGGCTCATTGACCCCTCGATGCCACATTGTGCCCGACACAATCACTTAGACGCTTTATGTGTAAGTACTTCTTACGGGTAATTATAAAGCACTTTACTGATTACAAAATTTTTCAAGAGAAAAATACAAAACATTCGGACAAAATTGAAAAACAAATATTTATTATCGTAAATTTTCTAATCGCCATGTGAGCAACTTGAACGTAATTTTAAGTCGCCCACATGGAATATTAGTCGCAAATTGCGAGTGGGCGACTGTTAATTTCAAACCCTGATACTAGTGAAGGACCAATGAAATCTCTACTTACTAATGAAGGACCAATGAAATTTCTACATATTAGTGAAGGACCAATGAAATCTCTACATATTAGTGAAGGACCAATGAAATCTCTACATACAAGTGAAGGACCAGTGAAATCTCTACATACTAGTGAAGGACCAATGAAATCTCTACATACAAGTGAAGGACCAATGAAATCTCTAAATTTTAGTGTGAGACCTGAGTTGAATCCATATTTAACAATGGAGGAATAGGCAGATGAAAATTTTGTAATTTTAATCTTTTCTTTCCTGAAAAGCTTGTTTCAAGAATGGGAGTTAGTCTGAAATGGATTGTTGAGATTTTTTTGTTTTGGAGGATGCAGTATAATATGTATAATCTGTAAGTTTGTGAGACATATTTTCCATAAATAGGTACTAAGTAGAATTCCTCGAAAGAAAATGATTTTATCTTTATCACATATGTCTTGTGAATTGAAGAAAGAGGGATTGAGGAGATTTATTTTTCACACATAAAAGCCAAAAAATACATAATTGCATAATTTAACACAAAAATGATTGATAAAAAATAATGATCTCCATATATATAGTTTTCATTCATGGAAATTAAGTGTGAGGTAGGGTGATTTTTGTGTATTTAATTCACTGTAACATGTAGTTAAATTACTTGTAAGACAAGATTCTGATTTGGCTGAGGGGCTGGATAATTAGTGATGTATGAAAACAAGGCAGTCTGTTTGTGGCCAGGAATTAATGGTTTATCACTCTCCCAAGGGAGATAACTTGATGTGTATGTTGTACAACCCTTGCCTCTGGAAACAGAGCCCTTAAGTTTCCATATAAAGGTTGATAATGAGTATTTGGTGTTTTACTGAAAAGGCTAAATTCATAAAATTAACTAATTTAAAATGTAAAAATTGAGCAAATAAAGAACAAAGAAAATATTTTTTTCTAGAATGTGAAATAATTTTAAAAAGATTCACAATTTTTTCATGTAAAACAAAGATACTGGTGCACAAAATATCCATATCATGTTGATTTTCTTTGGAAACGTGTGTAATGTTGACCATGATCACCATAAAGACTTCCTGTATAATGCAGTGTGTATATGAATTTTTGGCATCTTGAGTATTAGGACACTCCAGGTAAATAACATCTGGTACTAAGAAGACCACTCCCTTCTCAGGTAACCATATGGTAAAAAAATTGGGTACTGTAATGCACAGTGAAATACTGACCTGTGATGTGATGTCAAGTTGTCATCATGTCAAATGGTCTGGTTTTATACAACACTATTCTCAATTAACTCAAGTGGTTTACCAATAGTTGGTATAGTCTTGTCTTCCAGATGAGGTCTAATGTTTCAGCAAACAATTTGAAGATAAAAAAACTCCAAGAGTCATTTAACAATGGGTCGAGTCATAGTATAGTTTTATAGTGTTACCCCTTTTGGCTTGCATGAATAATTTAAAACCACGTATCAGCAATTAAGCGGTGACCAAGTGTGGAAAATACAGTCCCACATGCAGATTAATGAAGCTTTCAAATTACTGATTCAGAAACATATTTCTTACAATTGGTAACCATGTAACTATATATTTTGCTTAGCATCTTGGAAAAGATAATTAGTATAAAAAGATTGCAAAATTAAGGGAGAAAAAATAGAAATAGGGATAAAAATTGAAGTTATTAATAAGTTTTTAAAAAAAAAAAATTTCAATGAAATATATAGTCACTGAGAAAAAAAAAAAATGATTCCTCACTTATGGCCATATACTGTACAGTGTACAGTACCATGTTAAAATACATGGTTACTGTCTTGAAATATAAGCGATATTTGGGCGAGGGTAAGAAAACTTGATAGAGGGCGAGGCTTGCCGAGCCCTCTATCACGTTTTCGACCTGAGCCCAAATATCGCTTCTATTTCAAGACAGTTACCATGTATTTTGTTTATCCTGCAACATATTTTTACGTGACCTCCAAAACGAGCTATTTTCAATCGATGTAGGTACATCTCCTCTGCAGTTGAAACTACGCCATGGCGTAAACATTGCAATATTCATGACGTCACAATGCTTTTAGAACGTCGGAATACATCCACGAGGCTTTAGTAGGGCATTGACTGAATAAAGCTTTGGTTTATTAGGTTACCTTTATTTGGTCAATGCAAGGGGTAGTTACAGGATAAAACTATATATTCTGTTCCAATATATTCTGTTCAAATATATTCTGTTCCTGACCAATATATTTCATCTGGGATTTGAATCATCTGGATTACCGAGGCTCTACTATATATATATTTTTTGACAAAAATTTTCAGCATCAAATGTGTAGCTATTGAGGGTGACATTTTTGATCGAATGCTTTACACATGGCTATACAGTTCCATAGTCTCTGAGGAATAATTGTCTCCTTTGAGATGTATAACTAAAAAATTACAAAATCACAACATTTCTTTCCAAATATTTTCATCTTCATCAGTGATTTATCTCAATCTTAGCTTATATTGTGGATTAAATTTGTTTAATGTTTTTTCATATGTTGCATCATTATCTGCCAAAAAATTGACAGAATTGCAGAAAAAATTCAAATTTGAGGAAATACAGAGTGTCATTATGCCATAACTGGGTCTGTTGTACTATTGATTGCTATAGGTAAAGATTTCTGTACATAAAGCTCAGATTAATATTATCCCGTTCTCCTCTAGCTTATGACTTTGTACTCGTGAAGGTCAAGTTAGAAGTTATGAATTTAAGACATTTAGATTTTAAGGACTCTAGTGTCAAGCAGTGTACTCGTGTGTCCTTGAAAAAGTAAGAGTGATACTTCTGAAAGGATATCATTGCAGCACTTATAGAAATGATAACATGAAATAGGGTGAAGTATATCAGGGATTTGTAAGGATATTATATAACTGTTTGCCTGCAGAGGATTATAGGAAAAAATCTGCAGTTTTAGCATTTTTTGGAGAGATTTTTACCATTGAACATCAGTGCTTAGGTTTAATATGAAGGATTCTAGTTTATAAAGGTATGGATTATTAGCTCACCTGAATCACTGACCTACTGCTAACTGTGCATTGTTGTGCATTTTGCAACATCTGCCATGTCTGCCATGTGTCTGATGTTAACTTTTGAATATTTTTACTTTCTCCTCTGGAATGAGTGAACCAATTTTGGTAAATAACATATTTGATAATGGGGAACAAAAATAGTAAATTTCATGGTCTCTGCCTCCATGGGGCAGAAGGTAAACTGTTGGCATCAATTATAATGACAATATAATGACAATGATATAGTATTCTTGTTTTCTTTGTAGGCTTGGAGAATCAGACACAGTTCTCAGAGTTGAACATTGAGTGGAGTTTTTCTGACTCTGGTGAAAGTATCTCAACCATATCTCACAGTCACAATGAAAGTATCTCAACCATATCTCGCAGTCACAATGAAAGTATCTCTACTGAAGCCCAGAGTCCTGTGACTTATCAAAGAGTACAACACACCTTCAGGAACTCTGGACCTCAAGTTGTTGGTAAGTTAAGGCCTCACAGAACACAACTCAGAATAAACAAGTTGGACCTCATTTTATAGGTATGTCAAGGCCTAAAGACACCTCACAATATTCAACTCATGATTACCAAGTGTTGGGCTCTTGTTATAGTTAAGTCAAGGCCTCAATACACCTCACATCTTAAAACTTATAATTACCAAGTGTGGACATTGTTTTAATGGTAGGTCAAGTAAAAATTTAGATCTTCAAGACACCTCAAAGTAAACAACTCATGATTACCAGGTGTGGAGCTCTTGTTATAGGTAAATCTAGGCTTCGTGTTGTGTAGATTCATGTATGATCCAATCATGGCTACAAAGGGTAGGGTGTGGGGCCAATGTTCTGAAGAGCAGGAGAGCCAAGGTGACTCAGGTGAGTGTTGTGACCCGTGGGCCTCTTGTTTAAGCTTGTAAGGGATATTTTACCGAGTTTGGGGTGTACCTTAGACTCCGTGTAATATCTTTGAAATATTCATGAAGAAATCCAGATTTAATTTGTAAATTGATCCAGAAATAAAACAGAGCCATGCTTGTCTGAGCGACTGAGTGGAGCTTTAATCAGTCCGAGAACTCTTTCTGCCTGATTTAAGAAGCAGAGCACTAGTCTTCAGGTTACATTTGATTTAATACTCATTAATATGCAGTCATAGCTTTTGATGATAACACAGCCATTGTTACATGGCAGACAGGGTGTAACTTTTTGTGTCTAATCTAAAGGTCCATTTTGTTAAAACTGCATCTCATTCTTTGATGACATTATAACTTTTTAAATTTTACTTTTATATTACCGGTATTGTTGGCTCATATCAACAAAAGAAATTGAATTCTAGTGAATTTAATTTATAATATCCCCCACTCTTGTTTTTGTTTGCACATTTGTTCCCAGCTTTTGAAATTACAATCTTGGCAGGTTTTAAACAGAATCTTGTTAACTCTGACATTTACATGAAGTGTTGATCAGCTGAACAATATCATCAATTTAATCTTAAGACATTCCAGCAGGGAGGGACATTGTTTTTTGACATTTAAATCGAAAGGTGATTGGAAATATTCTGTACCAAAGACAGGTGACATATGGCCTGGTGATGCATAATTTTCTCCAGTTTCAACAGAGAATATTTCATTTAACCGTAGTCTGGTTTTTCTTTCACACAGCATGCTCATCTGTGCTAGCATTTCACACCAATTTACAAAGATAGGCCAATAAAACTGCATGCAGAATATCAAATCTTGAACATTTTTCTTACAAATATAAAGACATAAAAAGCAAATTTCCATCTTGTCCTTGCAGGAGTTATTGTTCTTTGCTGAGGGCTGTTTTTAGCTCACCTCGACGAAGTCGAGATGAGCTTATGCTATACCCCCGGCGTCGGCGTCGGCGTCGGTGTCGGCGTCGGCGTTAGCGTCGGCGTCCCAGGTTAAAGTTTTAGGAGCAAGTCCCATTCCCAAGTAGCTATAAGCCCTACCTGGACCAAACTTGCATGGATGATGCATCTAGGGATGGACACTACCACACTTGCTTCGGATGCTGGATCTGACCTAGATTTTCCAGATGAGTGACCAGGTTAAAGTTTTAGGAGCAGGTCCATTCCCAAGTAACTATAAGCCCTACCTGGATCAAACTTGCATGGATGATGCATCTAGGGATGGAAACTACCACACTTGCTTCGGATGCTGGATCTGACCTAGATTTTCCAGATGAGTGACCAGGTTAAAGTTTTAGGAGCAGGTCCATTCCCAAGTAACTATAAGCCCTACCTGGACCAAACTAGCATGGATGATGCATCTAGGGATGGGCACTACCACACTTGCTTCGGATGCTGGATCTGACCTAGATTTTCAGGTGAGTGACCAGTTTAAAGTTTTAGGAGCAGGTCCCATTCCCAAGTAACTATAAGCCCTACCTTGACCAAACTTGCATGGATGATGCATCTAGGGATGGACACTACCACACTTGCTTCAGATGCTGGATCTGATCTAGATTTTCTGGATGAGTGACCAGGTTAAAGTTTTAGGAGCAGGTCCATTCCCAAGTAACTATAAGCCCTACCTGGACCAAACTTGCATGGATGATGCATCTAGGGATGGACATGGCCACACTTACTTCGGATGCTGGATCTGACCTAGATTTTCTGGATGAGTGACCAGGTTAAAATTTAGGAGCAGGTCCATTCCCAAGTAACTATAAGCCCTACCTGGACCAAACTTGCATGGATGATGCATCTAGGGATAGACACTACCACACTTGCTTCGGATGCTGGATCTGACCTAGATTTTCCAGATGAGTGACCAGGTTAAAGTTTTAGGAGCAGGTCCATTCCCAAGTAACTATAAGCCCTACCTTGACCAAACTTGCATGGATGATGCATCCAGGGATGGACACTACCACACTTGCTTCGGATGCTGGATCTGACCTAGATTTTCCACATGTGAGACCAGGTTTAGATTTAGGAGTAGTCTCGTTCCCAAGTAACTATAAGCCCTACCTGGACCAAACTTTCATGGATGATGCATCTAGGGATGTACACTAACCAACCTGCTTCGAATGCTGGATCTGACCTAGATTTTCCAGAATTTTAGCCATATTTTAACCAAATTAGCATGGATGATGTATCTAGGGATGGACACTTCCAGACTTGCCTTGGATTCTGAATCTGACGTACATTTTCCAGATGAGTGACCAGGGTAATTTTTTTGGAGTAGCTTTATAATATTATGGCCTGTTATGATTAGACTTGCATAGATGGTGCATCTAAGGATGAAAACTTCCAGACTTGCTTTGGATGTTGGAACTGACCAAAATTTTCTTGATTACTAAACAGGTCAAAAGTTTTTTGAGCAGGTCTATAATTAAATCAAACTTGCATGGATATTGATCTTGGGATGTACCCTAACTAGAAAAAAAATATGATGTGAAATTTGTCTTAAATGTAGATAACATTCGTCGAGGTGAGCTTCGTAATCTTTGATTACCTATGTTTAAGATTTAGTGAGATTTTGTCACAGGGACTTGCTCCCAGAGTGTAATATATATATATATATATATATATATATATATATATATATATATATATATATATATATATATATATTATTTTATATTGTTTTGAATCGTAGAACGTCTGAAGAAGTAATGAAAGCGCTTACGTTTTACTAACATTGTTGCCTTAATATTTTTTATTTTCATATATATATATATATATATATATATATATATATATATATATATATATATATATATATATATATATATATATATATATATATATATATTTAAAAAAAAACATGAAACAACACAAGGGAGGATGGCATCTTGGACCCCTCCCTCACTTAAAACTTTGTTTCCACTTTATTTCCTTGTATTCTACTGCCTCCCCGCCTCAGATCTTTCAAGTAATTTATTCTCCTGAAACATGATATTTGAATTATCCCATTGGAGCCTTTACATTATATTTCAGGAATAATAATTCAAATGTACTCTTTAGGACATTTGTTGATGAAGAAAGTGAAAATGCATTGGGAAACCTCAGAATTTTATATACGGAACTAATAAAAGTAACCACTAATTATAAATTTGGAAAAAAAATGTGTTCTTATTCCGTATTGGTTTGTAAAACTCTGAGATTACTTACACTTTCTGTCCTTGGGAAATGTCCCTAAGAGATGGTGGAATTTAGTGAGATTTTGTGGTTTATAAATTTTCTCAGAGTTTTGGTATTGTATGTAATACTGCAGAAAAATTGTATAATATGGGATTTTTAAAAAAAAAGTTTTTGCAGATTTTAATTTTGTACTCTTTTCCATAAAAATTCAATAATTATAAATGCAGAATAAAAGCTAAAATTTCTTTAAAGTATTAAACACATCATAAATAAAGAAAAGATAGGCATCTTTGTCTCTAGCTGGAACAAAATAAAATTTAAGTCATCTATGGAAGTAACTCCCGCAAGATTCATTCAGATCAGAAGGCTATATATATATCTTGCTGCCCACTGAGAAGGGAATGGGGCCTTGATCTTCATATGAGTGGCGACATGTTAAGTCAAAGGTGCTGGCTTTGGTGTAATTACAGTAAACTACATATGTTCACAAAGCTCTGCATGTCTGTGATAAATTGAGCAAAATAACAGACTTTATTCATCCATGATTTCAAAAAGATAAAACTTTAAAAAAAAACCTTAGAGGGATAAACAGAGCACATTCCTCACAAGGTAACACACATGATAAAAGATGACCTTTCTATCCTCAGAGATTCCCGCTGGCTTTTGTAGAAATGTTATTTATCAAACACATTGTTAATGTCAAGACTAATCTGTACACATGATAAAGGCTTATTCTGTATTTTGTCAAAAAAATCAAATTGTGAGAAACAATGGAAGCAAGAGAAAAAGCATTGAGGTTTATTTTATGCTTAATTCTGGTGAATTGGAAATTAAATCTACATGATAGAAAAAGGCAACTTGTTTTTATTTACAGATGTCTATGTCAGCAACAGACTATCTGAACTTTCTGCCACCTTGTCCATCAATGTCCTTGAACCTTCACCTCATGACCTCGAGATCGTGAACTTTGTTGACCTTTCTGATCAGCCTTCCTGTACACCGGAGGGGTATGATGTCCCAGTGGAGGCTCAGTTCTTCTCCGTGTTTCGGGGAGCTAATTTCTCATTAGAGGTGTCCGTTTCTGTGGGGGAGGATGTGACCTTCTTCTTTGAGGAGACGAAGCTCGGGATTAAGAAGGTCAAACCAGCGGATTCTTGCAGCAATGGCTGTTCATTAAAACAGGTATCTGTGCTAGCCTCAGAAGAGTTTTTCTTAAATACAAGTATGCTTATTGCTGGTAAGTTTTTTGAGTACTAACCATTATGTAGTCATGAAAGCTATGTTTTTGAACACTTAACAAGGAACTTAATGAGAGAAGAAACAGAGGGTTCCTGACAGGCAGTTTTTATTAGAATTTCTGAGTCACTCAGGAGAAGTTTTCCTGTCCATTGTTTGGTGTTGACAGTTCTTGACCACTGTGTCTAGGGTCCAGACTTGCCAGGGTGGGGAGTGCTTAATATAGAAAATGCTTAACATGGAGTGAAAAATCTTCTTTTACCATGGACATCTAATAGGCAAACTGTTCTCATGATTTTGTGGCAGTCAGACGGGTTCGATCGCCAGAGGCCAGATAGCTCAATTGGTAGAGCACCTGACTGGAGATTCAAGGGGCCCGGGTTCGAATCATGGTCTGGTCCGTTGCATCTTTCTCCTCTCCCATTACAATTTAATGAACAATGCTCAAGTGACCATCAAAGGCCCATGAAGCCAAAATTAAAAAAAAAAGTTTGTCCTTTTCTGACCCAGGCTTTTAACAATGGGTAGGTAGGTAGGAAAAATATTTTACTTTTTCATCCTAAAATTCAGAAACATCTTCATTCAAAATACATGTATTATCAATTTATTCTCACTGAATTTGCTAAAGCAATCATAATCACAAAGCAGTATGTATAACTGTCAAATTTCCTCTTGACTGCCATATATATTTCCCATTAAGATGCCAAGCACTGTACCAAGTTCTCTTTGAGTTTGTTAAATCTCAATCAATCAATAGTTTATGTCTCAGGAAGAACAGTAATTCAAAGGGTCTGAATGTCCTCAGGCAATTTTTTCAACAAAAATTGTAAACCAATGAATATGCATAAAATGATTCAAAAAAGTAATAAAAATTGTAAATGAAAGAAGGAATGAAATATTTAGAGTAGGACTAAGTTTTGTGGGTCATTTGACTAAGGGCAAGCTAACATGTACTGCAGTAAAAGTCAGCTATAGCGAAGTCCTGGGGACCTGTGATTTACATCATAGTTGGCTATATCTGTTAAATTTTCACAAGGAATTGTAAAGAAATTTGTTGGGGACCCCTAAACTTCACTATATATGTAAATTCTGTTTATCTGTGTTCATACTACACAAGTTTTGCTGCATTTTAATTTAGGCCTTGGCTAATTGTTTCAGACTTAAATTCCTGATAATTCTGCCTTAACAGCTGAATTCAATTAAATGACACTGTTTCATTCCTGATTATTTATCTGAGTAAAGGTGAAAATTTTTTGTGATGTAATAATCATTATTATTATATGATTGAATAAATGGCAGCTCATAAGGTGTTGAGATACGACATTCTAGAAATCATGCTGTTAGTTATGTTCACCTAAATGTGACTCTCCAGGTAAACATAAGTATTTATTGTTTCTACATTAGTCTAAAAATAGATCAAGAACTTCCAGATTGAAACAATATTAATTAGGTATGAAAAATTATTTCACCTGCACTTGATCTTCCAGGAGAACATAACATTTATTTTTTTTTTCTACATTGGACCAAAAATAGATTGAGAACTTCTAAATTGATACAATTTGTTATGAAAACTTATTTCATCTGCATAGACTTTCTGAACATACCATTTTTTTTTTACATCACATCAAAAATAGGTGAAGAAATTTCAAATTAATACAACTGGATAATTATGTATATTCTATCTTGCATCTGTCACTGCATTGGGCTAGGACTTCAACAAATGTTGAAATGCTTTACTGAATTTTTTTTTTCTTCAATTTATTGCTTTAGGAGTAACCTTATAAACTTTGAATTAATATTCAGTTCTGAATTGACAGAGAGAGAGAATGAGGGATGGAGGAGAGAGAGAGAGAGAGAGAGAGAGAAAAGACAGAGGAGTGAGAGAGAGAGAATTTCTGTCCTACAGTTCAGTCTGTTTGATGTGATTTAGTCATTGTCTGGATTTTGTCATGCTACATTTCCAGTCTGGGAGGATAATTGGCCTGTTATTCTCTCTCTGTCATTTTCTAACAGATTAATCATGCCAGGGTTAGCTGTTTGGAATGATTGCCACTCTAAATGGAACCAAAGTAATGGATAAAGGTCAGGGGTCAGTCTCAAAAATCAGATTCACTCTGAAAAGATCAGGGCATGATGGATATAATGTGAAAGTGGTTTGCTGGTGTCTGTCTGTGTATCTGTTTGTGAGTAGGGGTGCTAATTGCTGGTGTCTAAGGAAACCCTACTGTGCAAACCAAAACTAAATAAAAAAAAAAACTAAATACTTTATTACATTTTCAACAGTGAAATACTGTAATTTATTTATTGAAGTCACAGTGTGAAAGGATATTAAAATCATATTCTGGCAAAACTCTCGATTTTCCTTCCTAAAGAATATTGTAAAAAAGATACTCCTAGCTGGCCTAGCTGTTTCTCCAAATATGTTGTTGAAATCCATGTTTGCAATACATTCAATCTCAAATTGCTAAGCTATGACGTCTCAACCGCTCAATTATGACTTCACAGGCTATGACAATGTGTTATGAAAAGACAGAGGCAAAGGGAAAATCAAAGAAAATGTAATAAATAGAAAATTCAATGTTTTCTTGTTGGATATGGAATTTTTTCATTCATGAGACAGGATTTTTTTTATATTTTTCACTGGTGCTTCGCACTCGTAAAAATTATAAAAAAAAAATCCTGATTCCCACTTGTGAAATAAATTCCATATCCAACTACAAAAAATTGAATAAAACAAAAACATTGTGAAATAAAAAAAACAAAACTAAATGAAATACTTAATTATAAAATAAAAAAACAAAATTACAACTTAAAAGAAACGAAATCACAAAATAAAAAACAAAAAAATGTAATAAAATACGGAATTTAAAAGTGTGTGGTAGGGAACCGATGAGTCAATCCATATAGTGCATGTGTTATGAAGGATTTATAGACTTACTTTTGTGTTTCAACATTAATTCAAACATAGGAATATATAGGAAAATCATTTAAAAAGTTTATTCTCAAGAACAGCAATTTTAACTTGGAACAAATTAATTGGATGTAAATTACAATCCAATCCTTTAAAGTCCTAGGTACATTTATATCGTAAGTAAAGGGGGAAAATGAGTAACCAGCAACCGGCCCATGGGAATACCATTAGTGTGAGATGATTAATCAGTCTAGAGTGTGTGAGTGATAGAACTAATCATAGTGTGGAGAGAAGTGAAGGGGTCATATAAGGAGACCCCCTTTCTGCATTGATTTTATAATAAGTTTATGATGAAATGTCTGATACATGAATTAGTTTCAATTCTAACACTCCCAATGGCGATTGTCAATTTTATGCCTATTTGTGAAATACTTTTCTTGGAATTGATTAGATAAAGGCTAGGAGATTTAGATTTTATTCTTGAAAGCATCTGTGTTATGATTATGTCTTGGCAAAGGGTGAATTTTACTGTGAGCTACCTAAACTATGTACAAATATTCATGTTTTTCCTTATAAAAGATATATTAAAAAATATTAAATGTATACATATCATACAAAAAGAAAGGAAAACCTGGAATCTGTCATTCAAATCATGTGAATGAAAGTAACAATATAGTCTACCATGGATGTGGTAGAGTAAATTACTTCAAATTACTTCATATACCAAATTCAGATGACAAATGAAAAAAACAAAAAAAGCCCAACTCCATCTGAAATCTTAAGCAACAATGACATTGCTGAAAGAGATGTCTGGAGCATACTTATGTCTCCCATCAGATTATAGCTGACAGCCTAAGTCAAAATGTTTTGGATTGTCTGCACTTTTTCAAATCCTTAATGAGAGCTCATAAATTTTATTGGTTTGGGATCTGTATATTCTTTATATAGAGACCCAATTATATATGACCTTTGCACTTTTTACAGACTCCCTAGGAGGGCTGATTTTTAGGGGTCCCTAGACTTTATTTTGACTCCCCAATTAAAGCTGATAGAGGGACTCTCCCCCTGTCTATGTAATTGATTAGTTTGGTTATTCTATGAACATGCAGTGATGTATTATTTTCTCCTCCAACAGACAGTGATGATAGAAATAAAATTGGCTAGATTTTGTGTCTGACCAGATCAAAGACAAGCTCTGTCCAAGCTCCCAGAATATTGCATCACTTTAAGATCTATTGAGAATTAAGAGAGTTCATGTAGAAGAAAGTGAAATTGGAACTGTCTGTGCTGGTGTTTTTTTTTAGGGAGATACTTTTGCTTTCAGTGCAGGTCAATAATGATTAAGCCATTGCACAATTAAAACCCAGTAACATCATACATCTAATAAGCTGAATGTCACCTTCATTGGAGAAGATGAAGACTCTGGCATTATTTGGTAATAAAATATTCATTAGCGTTATCATGTGGGGCTGTTATCTGTGGTTACAGATATGGTTTACACAGAGAATGGTGAGATATTAGATTATAATTCACTCTAAGTTCCCTGGAATCATGCTGTATGCCTGTGTTTTAATCTAGCCAATCAAGTGAAGGCATTTTCCGGTGCAGGTCTTCGACTTCATTGTTCCAGTAATGAGTGTATACACTGAAACACTTGTTTCTATAATCCACTTCCTTAATCAGGTGAATTTGAAGGAAAGATTACTTCCTGGAATTGTGTGAGAGAATTGGAACCCTTTCGTAGGTGAGGAGGATTCTTATAATATACTGTATGTTCTAATTTTCTTTTTAGTTATATTAATTTGTTAGGGTTAAGGTTATGCTTGTAGGGTCACTCTGATACATTAAAACTTTCTTTTTTAGTTATATATTCATCATTTGTTAGGGAAAATTGGTTGATTAATTAAAAAGCTCATATGTTTGCTTTGCATTTTTTTTAATTGAGCACTAAATTGCAGTTTCAATGGTAATATGTGTACTTTTGCAGTTTAATGTATAGTTATAAGAAAAGTTGAATACAGTTTTCTAATAATATATAAATACTGCATGTAGTTGAGAGTAACATTGAAAATTTCACCCCAAGAAAACCTTTGTCCAGGCACAGTCAAGCTTGGTTAAAATGGTTTTCGAGGGGTGAAAATTTTCAATGTTTATCTCAACTACATCCAGTATTTATTATATTATACTGAATGTTTTATACGAATAAAGGTGAAACGCACACAAGCATAGAATCTGCACTGTCGATATGTTTTTTTGGAATATCACTCGTTAAGTAATGTTGACTTTTGCTAATTTAAAAGTTGTATTGTGCTGGAGGGTGTGGTTTCATCATTCAGAGGGTAACGGTGTTTTTTAACAAATGTTTCTCAATGAATCAAATTCAATTACTTTACATGAAACTATAATATTTTTAAATACCTGTAGTTGAAAATTTCTTTTTGATACATAAATAAGACTTTAATCAGTTAATTTAAAGAAGTAAAATATAGCTTTTAATTTGACACCAAAAAAGTATGAAAATTGAACTTGAAACATCGATCCTTATGAGAAGAATTTTACTTAATGGCGCATTATCAGTTAGAAGCAGTAAGCAAATGACCTTGACCAAAAATCAAGGTCAAATAAAAGAATGAAGCAGGTGGAAATTCATGTTTTCATATCAAACTAGTATCAAAGTCATACAAATCGATAAGTCATATTTCATTAAAACAAAAAAGGATAAGTATTTAGATGAGAAAACAGATGAATAATAAATTGTGTATATAAGAGGAAAAACACCTTATGTGTATAACCTGTATACAAATGTGTTATTAATTACGAGAGATAGAAAGACTTAAACTCTGACAAGACTCTGTGTTATGTAATAAATTATAAGTTATTAGATTCTCTTTTATCCATTATTTACTTAATGATTGCAAAATACAAACCAGAAGAATTCAGAGAGGAAAGGCTTGTGTAAGGGAAACCACATGTTGTATTTTGAAATGAAATGCAGGCTTTATAAGTTCAGTGAGCGGTCGGTGGTGTTTCATCTCTATAGCCTTGATGTCAATTATTTTTGTTCTATGGTTGCAGTAATTTTGGTTTTGGCGTATTGTTGTTATATAATGATTGATACAGGAGATAAAATATCACGGATGTAGATGTAAAAATAGTTCTATATATAGCTTTATTTATTAAAAACCAAATTAAAGATATTAAAAAAAAATCACACACACACACAAACAAAAATACATATAAATATTTACTAGAAATCCTCTGGTTTTAATCTTAAAAGCCCCCCCCCCCCAACACACACACAAAAACAACACTAAACCCAGCAGGGTCATCAATAACAGGTTGATCAGTTATTACTAAACCTAGGATGTGGTAAAGCAACATGTTTAATATGAGAGGAGAAAATATGGAGATCAGTACAGGATAAAAAATTCAATACAGAGTGTTGTTTCTGAGTAAATTTATGGTGCCTTGTATCCCCTATACTTTATCTTGACTTGATGAAGAATTAAATCCAGGATGAAGAACCCTATTAATTAGCAGGGCTGAAAATGTTAGATGGTAATATGTGTGACCTTTGACCTCGGAGAAACCTGGAGGAAGGAATAATTTGATCTCTTGACCCAAAAAGGTCAGGGGTCACAAAGCAGTAAAGCCTGAGGGGGTCAGGATGACAAAATGCGCTGACTTGAGGCATGCAGACATAAAAATCCTGCTGCCTTTTAAAGTTTTTCCTCAGTCAACAGTGTTTAGTTCAGATTAGCAGGTGCTTGTAAATTCCTCTTTGTTGTTTGGTGTTTTTCTCATCAGTTTCTGTCGGTTTTTAACCAGGTAAGACAGGCTGTTCTTGTTTTTATAACTTATGCTGATGTTTAATGTTTAAAACAGTACAACCACTTAGCAAAGTATGATTAATTTCCAAGAAAAGATATTTTGTTTAATGTTGAGAGTATTTAAAATGTAAAATTTTGGAAAAAAATTGTATGAAAATTAGGTTCATACAATTAGTATCTATTTTGAATAAATCATCAGAATTGATAACATTGATAAAATTCAGTCCTCTGAAGTACATGTATCGGTCTTAATCAAAGCTTTGATAATAAGTTTCTATAAATTACAGGGTTTGCATTAATAACTTCAAAATTTCAACAAAATTACAACATATATAAACTGTTAAATTTCCAAACCTACACAATCATTGAGTGTAAGGTACCTTCAGTCAATGGCTGGATCCACTGATATCTGCTCATAGCTTGTAGATATAGAATATGCATTAACTAAACTTGGTATAGAGTGGACTATTCATTTGGAGTGCACCTTAAAGTCAAGAAGGTCAAACAGCTGCTTCTGTAGAAACCTGTTTTAGAAATTAAAAAATCTGGAATCTGTGGATAGGAATTTTTTTTGACTTAATTCTGATTTTCCAATGTATATTCAATGAATAAACAAATTTTAAAAAGGGGGGGGGGGGGTTAATAAAGATTTTGTTGAAGAAGAAGTTTTGCTAGAATTATTGCGGAAAGTTAATTTAGTTGATTATAGGGTCTCAGTATCAGTTCTGTGGGTTAAATGAGCATGACTATCTCTCAACTGAGTTGCTGGGTTTCATTAATCGTGAATTATGGCAGTGAAGGTGATTTGATTAACAGGGCACTATAACAAGCTCTGTGATTGGATGGTAATTAAATTTTTGACAGTTAATGGAAGGCGACAGGTTGTTACAGATGTGAGAGGTTAGATCAGGCAGAGTTAGGGAGATTAAAAGTCTAGGGGGGATTCACTTGTTCCTGGTAAAGGAAAATTGTCAATAAAATGATAACATTCTGTGTGAAAAAGAGCTCTATTTATAGTACTGTGATCTTCAAGTTAATGCCTCGGTTAATGCGTTCTGCTTCTTATTCCCCAGGATCAAGTCAAAAGCTGTAGTTAATGTATTCCTATAGGTAAGATCCTTGGGTAATGCCCCCACGCTCCTTGTATACCTCAGAGGTTTTTATTATGAAGCACCAAGTCAAAAAATCTATTAAAACACGCTTGTAATGAACTGCCAGGGACAGACAATTTTGCTTCATTATAAGAGTAATTCTTTATATCCATTAAATTTAAAATATACTTTAAAAGTCACCAGGAATGAAAATCACATCGCTGTAAGCATTAGTTCATTATAAGCCTATTTGCAATAAGCGTGTTTTACTGTATATACTTTAAGTAAGAGTCTACAATAATGACTCTACACTCCTACATACATCAGAGGTTACCCGGCCTAACTCAATGTGAACTTCTAGCATGCTGGAGTTATAGGTAGTTATAGGTGCTGTGTGTCTCCAAGTAACTGAAATCAAATGAAAGAAAATACTACTCAGAAAATGAAGTGGGACCTTGTGGAGTTATTGTACTTAGGCGGCTCATGATGATATTTTCATTGTGGAAGTTTTATATATGTCTATACAGTAGAGGTCTGATATGTACATGATGTACAGTGGAAATTGGGTATGTGGAACTAAGATCTCACCTGTTAATCACAGCAAAGTTAAATTTCATTTTGTCTTTTACAACTTTACAGTTAAACCCTGATATATCAGATACAGGTCACCATTTATAACTGTATAGTTGAACCCTGATTATAATTTACAAATGTACAGCTAAACCCAGATATGCAGAACATAGGTCACATTTTATGACTGTTTTAACCCTAGTATGTTGGCCACAGATAGCTTGTTTATAACTATCGATGAAATAGTGATGTATTGAACACTGATGTTGAATGAGCGTTTGGTTTAAGAGAAAAATAAACTCCTTTCTATTTTCGTTATGGATCTAATTGATATTGGGAAGTGATGTAAGATGAGGAATGCCATTGATTGATGATGGAGCTGTAGAGTTGCTCCTTTTTTTGGCTGTCTGTATACACTAGCGGCTTAACTTTCCTTCAGTTCTTAATTTATGTTCCACTGTAGAATAGCTGAGTGTTTATACAAGTGACAATTTGTATACACTAAGGATTTAGGGATGAGTCTTTTTGTTCTGAATTTGATCAATTAATTTATACATTAGACGACTTTCAAGTCAGAGGCAGACATGAAACAATTAGAACATCATTTAGTTTAAGAAAAAATTGCATACCATTCTACTCTCTCTTTATATCTGGGAGAAACCAGGGACCCGTATTACAAAAGAACTTACAACTAAGACCAAAAACTTCAGCTGATTGTAAAATTTTGCAAAATTAATGATTCTGTTTCAAATTACTAGCATAAACTTATCTTATTAAATTCTTTTTGGAAAGATTAAAACCATTTTTCAAACTAGAGTAAAATGGAAAGTCATAAGCAGAATTAAATTTTGGTCTTAGTCGTAAGTTCTTTTGCAAAAACAGTCCCCAGTAGTCTGGAGTCAAAAGCCCTGATAATGAAAGTCACCCCAAAAAATCTGGGAAAAAGTGACAATCACTATGCATGCAATTAAAGGTTTATGAAATAATTCTGTTGTTTTTTTTCAGTGGTTTGTCGTCCAGTCTTTAGGAGTACATCAGTTATGGGTCACTGCGCAGAATCACTTTGGCAAACAGACCAAGTCCATTTATGTGGTAAGAATGGGATGATGCATACTAGCTTTGCTTCAGATAAGTTGTTTATTTTCATATATGAAATAATATATATATATATTTGTTATATATACATATACGAGGGTTGTCCGTTAAGTTTGTGGACAAGCTAAAATATAAATAAAAGTTGTGTTATAGATATTTATTATTAGCATATTTGTAATACTATACTATGTGTGAATTATAAAATGTAAAATTTTATTCAAATTTAAATGTGTAATTACAATTATGACTTCATTATTATATATGGGATATTGACCCGCAGCCAGCAAAGTTTTAATTAAAAAGTTATTTATCACTTTTTACATTTGTATTTTGTAAAATTCTACGAAAATTTGGATGACTTTCGATTATGACATTGAAAAATGTTTTAGCATCAAACCTGCAAAATTTTAATGTTCAAAATTTCGAAATGGCAGAGAAATCGAGGTTAGAATCTATCAAGACAGGATTGTCATTGTTCGTAAAAAGAAATGTTTTCAGAAAAGGTGGAGCAGATAGCAGTGATAAAATTTTGTGTATAGACATCGTAAAAACACCAACAGAGACCCATAAATTCCTTAAACAGGTGGGAAGACATAGTAAAGTAAGCCGATCTTTAGTGTTTATGTGGCACAGAAGATTTTCGGACGGAAGGGACAGTTTACAGGATGACTTGCGTGAAGGAAGACCATCTTTCCAAGATTGCAGTGCTGTAAAAAATGACTCTCGTGACGTGATTGACAGTGATGGGCGACAAACCGTTCTATTTCCATACATAAAGTTGTTTTACGGGGACAGAGATATTATGTTTTGCAGGCTCTGAGACAGGAAGTGTTAAATATAATTTCACCTATGAAACCAAAACAGTTTGTCCACATTTTTTATGACTGGTTAAAGCGACATAAGTAATGTGTTAAACGTTGACTACATTGAGAAAAGTTAAATGTATTTTAATTAGCTTTTGACATCGGGTAACATCAAGGATTTTCATTTTAGTGCTCTGGGTATGAGTGTGTGTCTTTTTTTTATCTGATAAAAATATAACTATATGTGTTTGTTTGTAATGAAAACTTGCATATTAATGAAATGAAACATGAATTTAATGAAAATAATAGTTTCATATACATGTATTTTACCAATGTTTGTCAGTTATTATCAAGGTTGTCCACGAACTTTATGTACAACCCTCATATATGTGTTATACCTCTGCTGAGAATACTCAAATTTGATTGGCTTGTTAGAGGGTTTTAAAACTCAATAATGACTCCAAAGTGTACTGTTTACAGCAATAATAACCTAGGAATCACTGCACATGGGATATAATGACATATATACATAATGACCTCATAGTCAAAATTCCCTTCTAATTAAACTTTATGCATACACTAATAATTATATATATTTTTTAAAAAAACATGCCGAAATAAAATGTGCATTGTCTGTTTGTGATACAGAATATGATAGGCCAATAGATACATTTTAAAAATTATGGTTTATTCATTGAAAATTTCCTTACAATATCAAATTCAAGGAATACAGACTTGGCTCTTTTACACAGTAAAAATCTGCACCAGATTTTCATTGTACTCGAGAATGGTATTTGTGAATTTATAACAATGCATGTTACTGACAATCACAAAGTTTTTAAATAAATCAGCGGTGCAAATTAAATCTACAAGACTTACTGTTGCAGGCAAAAACATAAACAACTTCACTAGCGAATTCGATATCATATATAATTATAATGTATTCCTTGGAGGGGTTGTTTAACATTTGTTGTCAGGAAACTATAAATAACCTTTATTTAACAGATGAGTTGTCCTTAATGTTTTGAGTTGCGAATCCTACCGTGACCCCTATGATTGAAGGTCAATATCAGGAAACCACCTCAAAATGTATACAATTTTAGTTAGGCCTTCCAAAATTGTTTCATCTTATATCAGTATTATAAAACAATTGATTACCCCTTATGAGGTCAACATGGTGAAATAAGAACCCTCAACCAGGCCCACTTGGTGACCTGTCATGACCTTGGCCGCTACATGGCCTTGGTCAGGTCAGGTCACCGAGTTGGTAAGGTTGAGGGTCCTTATTTCACCATGTTGACCTCATAAGGGGTAATTAATTGTATAATAGTTTAACTCATAAACAAGTTATTAATAATGAATAAAAGTGGGTACCCTGATAATGGATGCTTTGTTTGTGCAACAAAATGAACCTTTAATAGTAAGTAAACTGAGAAAGGGGCAATGCCCTTAAAGGAAACAGTTCCAAAAGATTTCAGAAGTGATTTCTAGACACTGAAAAGTACAAAATTTAATCATTTTTCATTTGGCTTTCTTCTTTCTGAATACATCTGAGACAGTATGGATATAATTGTGTAATATCTATAATTAGCTTGAAAGATTTTCTGTTATGAGTCATTTCTATGTAGACAATTGTCAATACTTCGTTTCCTGCATTGCACTGACAAAATATGAGTGCCGTAATGCTTGTCAAGTTTCTTTATCCACCCCCAGGATCTTGTTTATTCAAGGGGGGTGGGTGGGAAGGAGTTGAGATATTTAAAGATTTTAATCTTGTCTGTTGGATATTGATTTCAGCCTCAAAGTCATATTAGACCAGGGAATGCATTTAATTCACCAACTAAGAAAGCAACATCCTAACAAAAGTTCATTCTTCAAGAAATTGTAATGTTTGTAAATTATCTCTTTCTTGAAAATTTTTAAAAAGCCTTTTATTTACAATTTGTAGGTTGTGATACAGCGGAACCTCTCCAATGTCAGATTTTCACTGGCAGATTCAGATTCTCGAGTTGTGCCCTCTGGGACAGTGGTAAACTTCTTGATCCAGGCTGAAATTCACAGCAGGTTCAATTCCACTCTGATCATAGATGTTCTGGATGGTCACACACACAGAGCCTTGTTAGAAGATACAGAGGGACAGACGCTGGCCTTGAACTGCACCCTGGGAGAAATGTTCGTGACCACCACCTACGGCATTGGCTGTCTCCTCAATATTAGATTTGAACATGCTTTTGAAAAAGAGGCAGTGTACAGACCAACAGCGAGAATATTCAGTAGTAATTTTTCTGAAATTGTGGAGCTGGATTCTGAATTGCTGGTCATGAAACGCCTTGGTTTTTCCCAAATCATCTCTCCTGGAATTTGCTCTGTTGGCCAAGCTTGTGAGTTTGACTTGCAATGTGAACCATTCTCGATATTTGCAGATGTCACATGGACTATTTCTAAAAATAACAACTCTGTGGATGTTGTCCAAGGCTCGTTAAAGCTGAGCTATGTTTTTACTGAGCCAGGTTATTACCAGATTTCTACAGTGACTCAGAATAGCCTCAGTACTGTGACAGAGTCCACTAATGTCCATATATTAGTTCCTCTGTCAGACCTGTACGTCCAGTGTGATGGTGGACCTGTGTACCCAGAATTGGAACTTATTCTTTGCCGAGCTGATGTAATGGGAGGCAGTAATGCACAGTTCTCATGGATTGTCCACCCAGAAATTCAGCCAATCACAACAGAGATGCCAGAAATTCAACCAATCAGCACAGAGAATACAAACCTTTCATCAGAGGCAGTATTCACATTTCAGCACAAGGGGTTATACAATATCAGCATTACTGCGTACAACAGAGTTAGTAAACTCACAAGTTATGCTGCCCGTCTTGTCCATATACAGGAGAAGATCCAGTGTGTCGTAATGAAGAGGGAACGGTCTGTGTATCCCAGGGGTGTGGTCAGGGAGGGAGAAGTTACTCTATTTCTGGTGAAAACTTGTGGGGGGAGTCATGTGAAGTTAGAATTTGATCTTGGGACAGGCAGACAGACAGCCAAAGTTCTGTACATAAAAGAAGAAGATTTGTATGAAGTAAACTTCCGATTCTCAAAAGAGGGACTGCATACTGTGGTTGTTTTTGCATTTAATGACGTATCTGAAGTCCAGTTTTCAACTCGCGTGTTGGTCCAGCGGCAGATTAACGGATTATCCCTGGAAATGAACCAGATTCAGCCCCATGTGAACTCTCCTCTCGTATTTAAGGTTACTGAAGAAGGTATGATTTTAATATAAAGCAGACCTTTTTTGTTTGAGATTGAGCTCAATGAAAATGTTGCTCATCCTGTTTAACTCACTTTAAAAAAGAGTATGAAATTTGCCATATATCAGGTAATTTTGGCGCACTTTAAAAGTTAGCTTTGTTGGCGGACCAAAATAATTTACCAAAAAATAAAGCCCCAAAATTTCCAAAAACTTTCTACGGAGTTATCTGCCTTATTTTAAATTTTGTGTAATCAGTGCATTGTGAAACTAGGTTATGAATACACATGTATCAATATATGTTTTTAATCTTATTTTATTCAATGACATATAATTTTCAGGAAGATTTGCGCAGTTGCTTACTTTAAATAGTAATCGTTTTAGCTAAACAAAGCAACGTCATAATTCCATAACTTTTCTTCATCATCTTTAAAAATAATTAGTTTTCTTCTTAAGCTACCAGTTTGTTAATGTAAAATGTGATCAATCTCATAAATCTCACAAAAAATCCAATGAATAATTAAGTGACTCATAACTTATGTAAACTTAACCCTTTATGCTTTAATTCGCAGGTTAGGATTAACACATCACTTATAGAGTCTGACGTGGATTAAAGCTATTGTCATCATATTATGATTTATGAATGTACATTTAAACACAGATATGCAGAACATAGTAACTTTTATGAACTTAACCCATTATGATTTAACTCCCAGATAAGGATTAACACATTGCTAATATTTGAACTGACACGGATTAAAGCTGTTGTCATCATTACCTGTAGACATTGGTTGATTAAGAGTAAAATATAAAAAAAAACAGGACTAATAAAAACACAAAATGTAAATCAGCCAAAATATGAAATGCCAATATTTCAGATTCCTTTTGTGATGATAAATTCACCAAACATTCCCCACACCAAAATTATGTGATATATGGCACTAGCTAGTAACGTTAAACTAAAGGCTTACATTATCACAAACAAATTTTTTCCTGGAGAAAATTTTCAAATTTTTAAAACTTTACAAAGGTATACAGGTATAGTCTCTCATAAAAAAAAATGGAGGCACAATTTTGTAGCTGATGAAAATTTTCTTTTAGAAAAGATGGAAACACAAATTCTGTAATGGATGAAAGATTTTGATTTTTTTTAAATGTCATCTTTCATTACCTAATCACTTATGTAATTAAGAGTCAGAGGTTTTGATTGACAGATCCTAAAATTGCCCGCCCAGACGTGAAAGTGAAATGAACTTTATAATGAATGTCTGGCCTTCCAACAAAATTTGTGTAGCCAAATAAAAACACACACTCACAATTTTAATTTAAATAAGATTTTTTTGGAAAAGAAATTCTGACTGGTATTTGGTCAGACATGGTGAAAAAAAAAGTCCTTTTATCAATAAGGAAGTCAGACAGCAGCCCAGACCAAGACTTAATCTATATCTGAAGATAATATTCATTAAAAATGAAGTGTTTAATACTAAAGGAAATATTAACTGTCTCAATAAGTAAGTCAATCAGGAACAACTAGGATGTGTCTTGCAAGAGTGCTCCAGGAAAAAATATATATTGTACACAGTTACAGAAACATCATGATTGGTGCAAATTTACATGTCAGACAAATTAAAAAAAAAAAAGGATTTACAATATTTCTGTCATGTTAAGAACAATCTGGATTAAATTTACAATACATGGGGGACAAAATAAGAGCATTTATAATTCAAATGAAGAACAAATTGGATATACAATCTGGATTTAAGATACAGGTACTCTCAAACTAAGAAAAATCTGGATTTACATGGAAGACAAACTAAAAACAATCTGGATTCTCATATGTAAGACAAACTAAATCCAGATTTACAATACACATAAGACAAACGTAGAAGAATCCAGATTTACAAGAACATTCTTGAATAACAATACATTTAAGACAAACAATAATCTGGATTTATATAAAGTTGTCTGCAAAAATAAGAACATTCTGGATTTACTATACATATAACACAAACTAACAATAAATCTTGATTTACAAGGACAAAATAAGAACAATATGGATTTACAATACATGTAAAACAATGAAGAAAAATCTGGATTTTCAGTATGTCTGTCAAGCTAAGAAAAATTCTGAATTAGCAATTCACTAATGTCAAGCTAAGAAAAATAGATTTACATTACACCACTTTCAAGCTAAGAAAAAGTGGATTTACAATATACCACATGCAATCAAGCTAAGAAAAATCTGGATTTACAATACACTACTGTCAAGCTAAGAAAAATCTGGATTTACAATACACTACTGTCAAGCTAAGAAAAATCTGGATTTACAATACATCTGTTAAGCTAAGAAAAATTCTGAATTAACAATACTCTACTGTCAAGCTAAGAAAAATCTGAATTTACAATACACCACTGTCAAGCTAAGAAAAAATGGATTTACAATACACTACTGTCAAGCTAAAATCTAGATTTAAAGTGGCACAATCCAATCACTCAGGAAGTGGTTAAAATTACTTATAAGTGGTGGCTTCTATTGTCATCAAAATGGTCAATATGGAAAATGCTCCAAATAAATTCAAATATGTTAGATAATGATAGAATGTAAAAAATTCATTAATTATTTTTATTTGTTTTGTAGGAAATGTCTGCAGGAGAGATGACCTGGTGTACACGTTTACATTTTCTGATGGACAGGAAGTGATTAGTGGAAGTCCGGCTGTGTCCAAAGTGTTTAACCAATCAGGAGTTTTTTCTGCCAATGTTACAGTTAACAACTTAGGTAAACCTTCTCTGAATACATAAGGAAAATTTTTGAAATTCTCCTTGAGAACAGTAAGGTCAATAGTTATTATTTTATGCATCACCAGGTTAGCTTTAGTTAATTTTGTCCAAATTGTGTCCCGTATGAGGGTGGGGCCACAGTAGGGGATAAGGACTGTCCCGTATGAAGGTGTGGCCACAGTAGGGGATAAGGACTGTCCCGTATGAAGGTGGGGCCACAGTAGGGGATAAGGACATTGTCAGGGAAACAAAGTTTATACGGAACAATATAATTGAGTCAAAATAGAAGGTCACCATCTAAAAATTAGACATCAAGCTTCAATTGATTTTAGATACAGTTGAACGTTGGTATCTTGAACACTGATATCTCGAATACCATGGTTATATCGAAGTGATTTGGAAGTTCCAACCACTTATTCTTAAAGTATTTTACCCCTGATAGCTCAAATTGTCGGATATATCTCAAAGTTTTTTTGGTCACATTTAGTTCGAGATAACGAAGTTCAACTGTATTGTTGAAGTAATAGACCTAAAGTTGATGGCCACAATAATGTTTTGACATGGGAAGGCTGCGACTTTAAAATTCTCCTCCTTTAAATGAGATTCCACAGAGAACAATAAATCAAAATCAAGAGAGACATTGATTTAAGACGTTTGTTGTTGGGTTTTTGAGGTTTATAAGAAGTGAGATATGACTAATTTGGAGACAGACTGCGATATTCAGGTTGAAATTGATCCAGACAAAGAACATAAGAGAATGATTGAATTTCCTATTTTGGTTTCTGATTATGGAGTAAGGTTGTCTAACTTGGGAATAAAGGTGATGTAAGTCTCAGCCATTAAATCTGTGGTAATAAAAGCCAGGCAGAGAATTTCTTACACAACTGCCTCATCTCAGTCAGTGGAGTTATAAACACACAGATTGGTTTCTATGAGACAGATAGGTTTTTTATGAAGGGTATTTTAGGAACTTGTACTTGATCAATAACAGCAGTTATGTCTTTGAGAATATCCAAGGATGTAGAAACTAAACATTGGAAATCAGCATCACATACATTGATATTTTTATGCCTTGCCAAGAATATGGCCGGGGCATGTCTGTATTCTGTCCTTTCTTCTGTCCTTCCATCACACTTTGCATTTAGCTCAGTTTCAAAGAAATGTTTCAAGATATTTTTATCAAACTTCATATGCTGTTATATATTCATGAGAATTTTCTAAAATTCAACAGTATCAGCATTTTTTGACCTTGACCTTCTTTTAGACCTTGACCTCACTTTTCTAAAATTAGTGTTTAGCTCAGTTTCAAAGAAACTATTCAAGATATTTTTATAAAACCATTTGCTGATACATATTGGTAAGAGCTATTCAATTGCAAAAACATTTTTTTTTTACGTTTACCTTTCCTTTGACCTTGACTTCAAATTTGTACAGTAAAACTTGTCTAATCCGGATGCTGTGTAATCCAATATCTTGCCTACATGTAATACATGTGAACTTTAAGTCCCTTTCAATAAATTCAATTGCTAAAAATGTTTTCTAATCAGTAATATTGTCTAATCTGGCCAATTTCTTTGGAACCAGTGGTGCCCTGATTAGACAAGTTTTACGGTATTTAGCTAAATTTCAAAGAAACTATTCAAGATATTTTTATCAAACTTTACATGCTTATGCATACTGATGAGAGCTACATGTATTCAATGGCATCAACATTTTTGACCTTGATCTTTCATTTTGCCTTGATCTCACTTTTCTCAAGTTTGTGTTTAGCTAAGTTTTAAAGAAACAAATCAAGATATTTTGATCAAACTTCATATGCTGATATATATATTGAAGAGAGCTTTTCAACTCATCAAATTTTTTCCTAGACCTTTCCTTTAACCTTGACATCATTTTTCTCAAATTTATGTTTAGCTCAGTTGCATAGAAACTATTGTAGATATTTTTTATGTTAGCTTTTGCACTGATACATTATTTGGTTTGAATTATCTACTAGGTGTCCATTTTTTTTTCACCTTGACCTTCCCAATGACCTTTGACTTTACTATTTTAACTATTTATTATAAAACTCAGTTTTAAAGAAACTTTTCAAGATATTTTCATCATATTTCATGGACTTATACAATTTTCATTTCTAATGAGCCCAGGGTGGGGGTGGTTTGGCATTTATGTCCTATGGACATTTTTTCGATACTTATAGATATAATAATTAACATTGGAGATTTAATCTGTGTTATTCCTCAGGTTTTTTATTTCATTTTGACAGTAAAAACAAGTGATTTGAGAAGATGTTGTCATTATTTCAGTTGACAGTGTGGTTCTATTTATGACCTTCACAGTGAAGGATGATGGGAATTACCCTGTAACCTTGTCCAATCCAATCTTCAGTGCTGTAAATCAATTAATCAAATTCAGAGTTCAGGTGAGTCTCGGTGAGGCATTATGGGAATTACACAGTCTTTTGAGGGTCTTCTGAGGATATCTGAAGCCTATTCCTAAGTATAGATTAATGCTGTTTATATAAAAGTCTTTCCAGTAATATTTCAGTTTCTCATGGTATGTAGATAAATGTTCCATTCTGTAATTATTGTAGCATAACTTCTATGTATATAGTACAGAGCTCCAGATAATTTTTTACCTCAAAGTGTATTTACTCCCTAATTTTCAAATCAATGCAGATTTTGCTTCTTAGCTGAATAATCAAAGAGTATTTTGTTAATCTATTGCTCTTTTGACATCTAATGTGATTTTTAGCTTGTTATCAAAATAAGTGTTTTTGAAAGAGGAATGTAAAAAACGGAGTTTCTGCATAAATCAATTAGGTTAATGAAATTTTAAAATTTTGTCATCTTTTAGCTTTAACCAAGAAACATTTTGTTTCTTTCACCAGAAAGACCATACGGTAGGCAAAGTTACCAGGGGAACACAGAACTCCATTTAAGATTAGGCCTATATCGATCATAGCAAGAGTTTACCGAGAAAAATATCCTTCCTTTGGCCAGATAAAATTAATATTTTGATTCTCATACCAACCTGCCACTCTCAAAATGTCCCGCCCGTTGTTGTTTTTTAATCAAAAATATATATTAGGTTTTGCTATATTGCCATCGATTGAGGTAATAGTTTTGGAGTTACTCTCCGTTTGCATTAAAAGTCACGCGGCGCTATTTATAGCACAGGAGCATGTGGAAAGCCAAAAAAATTCCTTTCGATAAAAATTAAAACACTGAGCTGACCTCAATTCACATAATTAATTAAATCGTACTTGCATCATTCAATCCGTCGTACGCAGTACTTTCATAATGTAATGCTTATTTATGATTGCTAATGCGTAATTGTACGCCCTGATTTAATTTCTAATGCGTATTTTGAAAAATTCAATGCATATTTCTGCAAATATGCACCTTATCTGGAGCTCTGATAGTATATGTTTATTATATGGTTAATTATAAAATATTCCCATGGTGCAACTGAATACAGCAAAAATTGTGAAAATAAGATCCATGCTAAAAAAAATATTGTTGCAATGTTTGTCAATGATGTTCCTGGAAAATAAACCCTCATTTGAGCTAGCGGACTTCTTCTTTTTTGTGCAGGGTGTGGATGTCGAGGCGTTCAATATAGAGGTCCACTTCGGAGATCAAGATGAAGCAGTTATTGTATCTTCTACCCAGTAAGTCCACAGTACATACTCCAGTACCAGGGTTCGACACTAACTTTTTAAGGCTTTAGTCCAGCCGGACTAGTGCTTCATTACTTTTACTAGTCTGCACGCGATTTTATTAGTCCGTCAAAAAAAAAAGAAACATCAATGTTTTTAACATTAATTTAACGTAAATTTAATATACATATTATTTTTTGAAATAAACAAAGTATTTACGTGAAATATATTATTCCACGGATTCATTGAAATCTCGCAATCAGCAAGTACCATCGTATTCCCGATCTCGTTTTTTTCCCTTTGTCTTTATATTACATCCAAAACGTCCAACATCTTTCTTAAAAGTGTCATACTAAATCATGATTGCTAAAACCTTACACTTCATATTGATCAGTCGAAAAATTAAGCGCTGAATTGACCCAGCATTGCGTAACTACCCGCCAAAAGCTAGAAATCTAAAAATACACACGGGGTTTTCCAGTAAAAGTTGTCGAGAATCAGACATCGGTAATTTATTCATATTGTTTTTCAGAAATTTTTATTGGTCCGTCCGGACTAATTAGCCACATATTTTATTAGTCCGAATGAAAATGTATTAGTCTGAGACTAACGGACTAACGTTAGTGTCGAACCCTGAGTACCCAGTAAGTCTACAGTACATACTCCAGTACCCAGTAAGTCTACAGTATATACTCCAGTACCCAGTAAGTCAACAGTACATACTCCAGTACCCAGTAAGTCTGTACAGTACATACTCCAGTACCCCGTAAGTCTACAGTACATACTCCAGTACCCAGTAAGTCTACAGTACATACTCCAGTACCCAGTAAGTCTACAGTATATACTCCAGTACCCAGTAAGTCTACAGTACATACTCCAGTACCCAGTAAGTCTACAGTACATACTCCAGTACCCAGTAAGTCTATAGTACATACTCCAGTACCCAGTAAGTCTACAGTACATACTCCAGTAACCAGTATACAGTACATACTCCAGTACCCAGTAAGTCTACAGTATATACTCCAGTACCCAGTAACTCTGTACAGTACATACTCCAGTACCCAGTAAGTCTACAGTACATACTCCAGTACCCAGTAAGTCTGTACAGTACATACTCCAGTACCCAGTAAGTCTACAGTATATACTCCAGTACCCAGTAAGTCTACAGTACATACTCCAGGAATAAATTATAAGTCTATTCTACCCAGTAAGTCTACAGTACATACTCCAGTACCCAGTAAGTCAACAGTACATACTCCAGGAATAAATTATAAGTCTATTCTACCCAGTAAGTCTACAGTACATACTCCAGTACCCAGTAAGTCTACAGTACATACTCCAGGAATAAATTATAAGTCTATTCTACCCAGTAAGTCTACAGTACATACTCCAGGATAAATTATAAGTCTCATCTACCCAGTAAGTCTACAGTACATACCCTAGGAATAAATTATAAGTCTATTCTACCCAGTAAGTCTACAGTACATACTCCAGTACCCAGTAAGTCAACAGTACATACTCCAGGAATAAATTATAAGTCTATTCTACCCAGTAAGTCTACAGTACATACTCCAGTACCCAGTAAGTCTACAGTACATACTCCAGGAATAAATTATAAGTCTATTCTACCCAGTAAGTCTACAGTACATACTCCAGGAATAAATTATAAGTCTCATCTACCCAGTAAGTCTACAGTACATACCCTAGGAATAAATTATAAGTTCTTATAATAGGATCTGTTAATCACAAGAAATTCATAGAAAAACATACCAATCTCAATCTACCAAAAACTCCAAAACCTGAATGAAATACTATTAATATCGTGTAATAATAACATGGAAACCGTCAGATAAAATGCCAGATTTGGACTTTGATCTTATTTCTTTACATTTTGTTTTCCGTAAGACTTCAAGTTTATAGAATCACCTGTAACTTAAGGTGCATCGTTGTCATCGCCAAAGCCACTAAAATATGAAGCCTGCTTTTTTTAGTACACATACAGTATTCACATGCATGTGTGTGAAGTATATTTCCTCTAATCATCTTATGTTATATAAGTGTTATAAATGTGTTAACATGTACATACTGTAAACCAACTTTTATTCGTGTGCAAGAAATATCCGCGAGTTTTGCAACCTTCGTTTGTTCGCGAATATTTCTCGTCGTGAAACAATTATGTACATGTAAGTTTTTGTTAAATGTTTCCTCAGTCTTGAAAATTAGTAGTCGCAGATGAATTTCAAACTGACGAATCGCGAATAAAAGATGTCGCAAATAATAGTTGGTTTACAGTATATGAAATAATGAAAAGTTGTTAAGTGTTATCATGTACTGTAACGTGATATAAAACATTTTATGTTCTGCTATAATACTTACATAATATTAAAACACTTTGAAATTGTGTAACTATACCACTATAAATGTAACACATTAACATTCTTATAATGTAACACAGTAATAGTGTTATAATGTAACACTGTAATAGTGTTATAATGTAACACTGTAATAGTGTTATACTGTAATAGTGTTATAATGTAACACTGTAATAGTGTTATAATGTAACACTGTAATAGTGTTATAATGTAACACTGTAATAGTTTTATAATGTAACACTGTAATGGTGTTATAATGTAATACTGTAATAGTGTTATAATGTAACATTGTTACAATAGTGTTATAATGTAACACTGTTATAATAGTGTTATAATGTAACACTGTAATAGTCTTATATTGTAACACTGTAATAGTGTTATGATGTAACACTGTAATAGTGTCATAATGTGACACTGTAATAGTGTTATAATATAACACTGTTCTAATGTAATATTGTAGATGGGAGCACACTTATGACAAGCCGGGTATTTATGAAGTGTCGTCCATATTACACACAGTCAGCCTGGGAAATCTAGAGGTCAGCAGTGTAATCATCATCCAGGAAAAACTGCAGGACGTGACCATCAGGGCCCCGAGTGTCATCAAAATAGACAGGTAAGGTCTGATCAGCTATCAAAAACATGTAAATTCTGATCATTCATTACAGGTAAATTCTGATCAAATGTTACAGACAGATAAATTCTGATCATTTTAGGCAGATAAATTCTGATCATTATTGACAGATAAATTCTGATCAAATGTTACAGACTGATAAATTCTTATTATTTTAGACAGAAAAATTCTGATCATTTTAGACATGTAAATTCTGATCATTCATTACAGGTAAATTCTGATCAAATGTTACAGACAGATAAATTCTGATCATTTTAGGCAGATAAATTCTGATCATTATTGACAGATAAATTCTGATCAAATGTTACAGACTGATAAATTCTTATTATTTTAGACAGAAAAATTCTGATCATTTTAGACATGTAAATTCTGATCATTCATTACAGGTAAATTCTGATCAAATGTTACAGACAGATAAATTCTGATCATTATAGACAGATAAATTCTGATCAAATGTTACAGACATAAATTCTTATCATTTTAGACAGATAAATTCTGATCATTTTAGACAGGTAAATTCTGATCATTACAGACAGATAAATTCTGATCATTCATTACAGGTAAATTCTGATCAAATGTTACAGACAGATAAATTCTGATCATTATAGACAGATAAATTCTGATCAAATGTTACAGACAGATAAATTCTGATCATTATAGACAGATAAATTCTGATCAAATGTTACAGACTGATAAATTCTGATCATTTTAGACAGATAAATTCTGATCATTATAGACAGAAAAATTCTCATCATTACAGACAGGTAAATTCTGATCAAATGTTACAGACAGATAAATTCTGATCATTATAGACAGATAAATTCTGATCATTATAGACAGTTAAATTCTGATCATTCATTAAAATTGAGAAGTACATGTATATTCCTACCAATCTGCAAGAGTGTTTCCTGAAGTTTTTTAGGAAAAGTGTGATCATTTAGAGAATGTGTTTATTATATAGCAGAATGGTGAGATGACCAATTATGACATTAAAAGGGCAAATTTTTCATTTCTTTATTTTTCTCCCTAATTTCTTTGAGGCCTAACTGAAAGTAAAAGACATTTTTCAACTTTAAGTAAGAAAAAGAAATGGATGTGTTCAGAATTCCTCTTATAACTTTGAAGGTGTATACCCTAAAATCTTAACATGAAGGTTACAAAATTACCTCAATCATCCAACATTAGAGGGATTTTCATAACCTAAGCAGGTTTCTTGATGTTCAGACATTCCTAAGCATTTATGCTGCAGGAAGATGAGCAGACAATTATATACAGGAAGTGGGATGTCTACAGACAACAGCGTTAGAGTTCCTCTGTGTGGTTGGATCAGTTTGTACTGAGAGGCCTCTACTTAGGCTGTCAGGCAGGGAGGGTGAAATCTGTAGCCTTACTCTGATTAGATTAAAACTGGGAACAAATTACGTAATCTTCAAAAGACTTCTCTGTAAAGAGAGGTGAAATTCGAATCAATCTTACTGGATTTCAGTTAAAAAAATAACATTGTTTGGAACAATTAAATGAAGAAAGGAAATGTTTTCCCTCAGGCAGCTGTAGAAAGAATCTCCAGGCAGGAGCGGTTTGTTTATAGTTAGATTGGAATGGATGAAATTAAGAATAACAATCAATGCTTTGAGAGCAGTGGTTGGTATTGGAGCATTCATTTGTTTATCAACTTTTCAATATTGCAATGAGTCGGACTCCAGCACTACACAATGTTAGATAATTGTTCTTATCCAAAGCACTGCTGGAACAAGTGAATCATTATAGACAAGGAGACACTGGCAATTTCTGTCCAAGTATTTTATTATTATGGTAATACATGTAACAGTCACTGGTTTTGAAAAATTCCAATCTTACAAGAAATTTATTTCAGAGCTTAGATTAAAAACTTAATGCAAATAATTTGTAATGAATTTTTTCAGACTTGATTTCTAGCATATATACCTTCACTTGTTAGAAATTTAAAGAAGGGAAATGAAAAGAACAAAGAAAAACAAATCTGTCCCCCAACCCCAGGACTGACTTTAAAAAAAAAACAAAAATGTGTTATTTTTGTGCTAGGAATAAAAGAAATAAACTCATAAAAATATGAACCACAGACCCTGGCAGATGTTGGGTGGAGCTCAGCTACATTGAAAAACAATTATTAACACAAAATGTTATAAGAAAGTGAACACGTACTCTCTTCTGAGTACACACACTAGAGCCAGGGGAAATCTGACAGGGAGCCTGCAGTTGTTCTTATATAAATAGTGCACGTTTTTGAGGGTAACAGTTGAAATTGACACCCCAAGGAAAACCATTGTCAACCGACGCGTCAGCGGAGGTTGACAATGGTTTTCCGAGGGGTGTCAATTTCAACTGTTACCCTCAAAGACATGCACTATTTATTTTATTATACTGAATGTCTAATTGATTTCGGATGTCATAAAAAAAATTCGGAGATCGTCGTTAAGTTCACGTTTAGAAAGCTTTCAAACTCCCCGCTTCTATTTTTCTCAATAAGAAAGCTTCGGAAAAGATTTACCAACCTCTTTATTGTTTGTTTGCTACTCAAAAAGTCCTTTATCATCTAAAGTTTGCACTCGCAAGGATGTTTCGTCTGTCGTTTGTTGTTTTCAAGTAAGCTACATCGGACGCAAGCTTTTATTGACGTCGTTTATTCGGCTTCTTTCAAACGCACAACCGACGTTTTGAGAATTCTACGGTGAACCGTACGCGCATGATTTGAACGCATGTGACATTTTCGTAATGTTACCCGTTGTCAAGTGTGTTGCTAACGCTGAAGGTAACATTACGGATTGTTAAATGCGTCTAAACCAATCAGATTTTAGTATTTAACATGAAAGTATAATAATAGAAAATGTTTGGGTAATCAGACTTTAATTACTGAAGCACGATTCCACGTGCCACAATTCCAATTTTAAACAGATATTTCTCTCTTAAGCAGAACATGTGGTGATGATCAGGAAAAAAAAAGTTATATTGAAAATGAAAAACCTTAGTAGGTGAGGTGAAATGAAAAACTAGGGGTGATTAAGGTGAACTCTGAGGGTTTTTATTTCTTCTTAGAATTGCATTTTTTTTGTTGCTATTTTGTGTTTTTGGTTAAGTGTAATATTTTAAAACAATATGTTCTGTTGTCAGCAATCCTAATTACTGTCTCTCACAATCATTTTTGTAATTTTTTTTTCTGAAACAATGTGTATGAATTTTTTGAAATTAATTTTTGTCTGCAGGTTATATGGTTATAGTTCATAGTTTATCTAATTTGAATGAGCACATGGGGAGAGATTTTAACACAGATGGTTTTTGTATTTTACCGACAAGATTTTTTTAATGAATTTGACATATTTAGCTTACCTGATTCAGAGGCTCAATTACAGCTTTTCTGATAAAAATTTCATCCAGAAAATATATTTGTTTAACTCACTGTATGATTCTAAGCAATAGGGGTGAAAATTTACCAGTTTCTCACAGACACAAAATATGACATTGTGTCACAGTATGAAAAATGTTTTAAAAACTTGAATCCCACTTCACCCTGATCAAGCTAAACTCAAGCTTCTCTGATTAAAAAGTGTCCATCTGTCTCTCTTTTGTGTGTTGCCTCTAAACTTCATTGTTTCACCTTTTTCACCAGAACCACTGGACTAATTTCAACCATGCAAACCAAGATACTTCTGTGGATAAAAGGAGTCTAAGTTTCTCCAAACAGAGGATCATTTCCTTTATCAAGAGAAGATATTTAAGATTAATATTAAAATAATTCAGTGTATCAGTTTTGATTTTGACAGACAGTGTAGCCATGTTTGATAAAAATAGAAACTTCAAAATGCTACTCCTTCTACAGTTTAATTGAATTTCAATAAGATTCAATATTTCGTCAAAATTAACACTATTCAATTTTCATAAACCAAAAATCGTCAACTTTTCAACTCGTCAAAATAACCACGTTTACAGTATACTACTATACATAATTCCCTTAAAGGTTTTTGATTTTGACAAATGATGTTGCCGTGGTTAGAAATTCCTTCAAAATGCTACTCTCTCTAAAGTTTCGGTCTGATTAGACTTTATACACAAATACTGACTATACTATTAAGACACATCTTTCTCTATTATAAGTACATACCAGTAGAGCTACAGTCTTATCAAAGACTTTGGTTTTCTGTTGACAAATTTGTTTGTTATATTATTTATGTCTGCCTGCTATGTAGGATTACTATGGTTACCTGTCATCTTGTTTTCATGTTCTCATTTAGATGAATATTTCATACTTTCAACCAAAAGAAAATTAAAAAAATAATACTTGAAGTTCATCCTGAAAACAAACTGAGAGAGATTCATGAATCATTTCAGAATATCCAGAGAGCACCTTTTTGAAGCGGACATAACCGTTGGTGGATCCCAGGTTTTTACAGGGGGTGGATCTCAGGTTCTGTACTTCTGGTCCTTAGACAATCGTCAGTCCCCTGCCAGCACTGTCAACTGGGTAACATTAATTAACACTTAATTAACAATTATTGTCCTAAGTGTAGAATTAATTTCTTGTTTAAGAATTGGTACAAGGGAGTTAGCTCTTACAACACAGCTGTATTTCTGACTATGTGAAAGGTTAATACCAAGAATTTGATTAGAGGTTTATTCTCAGGAGGAGTTTCTGTATAAGCTGCTTATGTGGATTTCTTTTAATATGCATTCAAATTTTAGCTTGGTTGTCATTTAGCATAACCAAGAATGAACACTATATCATAAATTTTAAGCTTTATATATTAATATTGTTTTTCACAGTAGTCATTGCTGTGTGATTGTGTAAAAAGAGCCAAATTTGTATTCCTCTGCTATTAGTACATAGACAGCAGTTTTATCTACACAGTGTTATATGTAGGTACTAATATAGCACTTGATGGTCAGTAATTAAAGGTTTATTTGTAAATTACTAATATAGCACTTGATGGTCAGTAATTAAAGGTTTATTTGTAAATTACTAATATAGCACTTGATGGTCAGTAATTAAAGGTTTATTTGTAAATTACTAATATAGCACTTGATGGTCAGTAATTAAAGGTTTATTTGTAAATTACTAATATAGCACTTGATGGTCAGTAATTAAAGGTTTATTTGTAAATTACTAATATAGCACTTGATGGTCAGTAATTAAAGGTTTATTTGTAAATTACTAATATAGCACTTGATGGTCAGTAATTAAAGGTTTATTTGTAAATTACTGATATAGCACTTGATGGTCAGTAATTAAAGGTTTATTTGTAAATTACTGATATAGCACTTGATGGTCAGTAATTAAAGGTTTATTTGTAAATTACTAATATAGCACTTGATGGTCAGTAATTAAAGGTTTATTTGTAAATTACTAATATAGCACTTGATGGTCAGTAATTAAAGGTTTATTTGTAAATTACTAATATAGCACTTGATGGTCAGTAATTAAAGGTTTATTTGTAAATTACTAATATAGCACTTGATGGTCAGTAATTAAAGGTTTATTTGTAAATTACTAATATAGCACTTGATGGTCAGTAATTAAAGGTTTATTTGTAAATTACTGATATAGCACTTGATGGTCAGTAATTAAAGGTTTATTTGTAAATTACTAATATAGCACTTGATGGTCAGTAATTAAAGGTTTATTTGTAAATTACTAATATAGCACTTGATGGTCAGTAATTAAAGGTTTATTTGTAAATTACTAATATAGCACTTGATGGTCAGTAATTAAAGGTTTATTTGTAAATTACTAATATAGCACTTGATGGTCAGTAATTAAAGGTTTATTTGTAAATTTTGATATAAAATCTTACTTTACAGGTTATTGAAGAAATTGATCAGCCCGGTACAAGTGTACTTACAGTGGGTGCCCAGAATGACCTTGGAGATAAATTATTTGCTGTACAGGAAGTGAAGATTCAGTTTCCTCTACTGGATGTGACCTTGACATCAGTCCCCACAGTGGAGGGGCGTGTCTGTGACATCACAATCAGGATAACAGGAAGTCAGGACATCGTGTTTGATGTTGATTTTGGTGATGGGATACAGGTTTCATTATCTGATGATGATGTAGATATTGTTATGGATACCACCTCCAGCTCCTATCTCCCCACATACACCACAGTCCTCAAACACCAATATGATCTGAAAGGTCAATACAAGGTCAAGGTCAATGTGTCAAATGATGTCTCCTGGGTAACGGGTGATGTCACGGTGATGATAGGAGAGGCTATCGGGGATGTAAAACTGGAGATCCTCTCCCCCCACAGAGAGCTGCCCCCGGTCTATGTGGTGTCCTTGAGTGATCCTCTGACGGTCAGAGTGACCGTGGGCAGGGGAGATAACTTAACCTTCACCTGGGATTTCTCCGAGTATTCTGATGGAGGCACTAAGGACCAGTTAGGGTAATAAAACTAATCCAAGTATGGTAATAAATAATTAAAATAGTTAAGTTAATGAATGACCAATATCATTACTGTTATCATTGTGCATAGTAGAATTACTGCCTCATAATTTAATTCTAGTTATAACGCGGTATTTGATTGGATAAAAAATTTACTTTATATCGTATAAATTGGATTGCCTACGTCACAATGACTTGCGTCAAAAACGTATCGATCCGCCTGACGTTACATTTAAAATTTGTACAATTTGAAGTTATTTTCCGAGGGCATCATCTTCTTTCTTACACTAAGTAAATGAAAATTAAATTATAAGGAATGAAATTAATAGCTACCCAATTTATACGGTATAAAGTGGGTTGGAACAGTTTACACTTTTTTATAAAGCATAAACTGCCCCAACCCACTTTATACCATATAAATTGGGTAGCTATTAAATTCATTCCTTATTAATTACCAAAAAAATTGTAATTTGTGTACAGAGTCAGGTTTTATGTACTGTAGATATATAAGGTTCAGTTTTTCATTTCACATGTGATGAAAGTTTTCAATATCCCTGGATTCATTGTCTTTAAGATTGATGTCTCCAACAGATTCTATATTTATTGATCTTTATTAATTTTTGTGATCAGAGAACACTGTGTTAAAGAGGTACATGAAGTAACCTTCATTTCATAGATAGATATATATATATATATATATTGCCAATGTTATTATTATACAGAAATGAGAGTTCCAGCACAGCTACCTATGCCTTCAGTATGACAGACATTTTCCCTGTCTCAGTCAGTATCAGTAGTCCATACTATCCGATACCTCAGGTATTCCCATTTAAACACAAGTTCAAGGTCGTCCAGGAAATCCAGGGAGTTTATCTTGAAGTGGAGGGATCAGAGAAGAAAGGAGCCGCCCTGAAACGAGTGAATGGAAAACTACAGACAGAAGAATTACACTTCCTAGCAAGGTAATCTAAAGTGTGCAAAGATGGGGGGGGAGGAGAAATGCAGTTCCTATCCAGGCAATCTATAATCTAGAGTGTGTAAAGATAGGGGGCAGAAGAAATGCATTTCCTAGCCAGGCCAGGTAATCTAACTGGAGTGTTAAAAGATATGGGGGGGGGGGGGGTCCAGAAGAAATACATTTTCTGGCAAGGTAAACTAGAGTGTGTAAAGATATTGCGGGACAGGAAGGGGGAAGAGGGGGGGTTCCAGAAAAGATGCATTTTCTAGCAAGGTAAACAAGGGTGTGTAAAGAAACCAGTAGAAATACATATTGTACCAAGTTAAACTGTAATTGGAGTAAGTAAAGATATTGAAAGGTCGGGATATGATACTGGAAGAGTGTTTTCAAAACTTGCCCCTAAATATAATTTCGTAATCACCAAGTGCATCAGATTCAAAGATCTTATTGTGAGCAAATTGTATAATAATTATAATCTTACAAATTCTCATTGACCTAAGTCATGTGGTATCCTATATAAGTTTATTGAAATACATTCTGGAAGAATTGAGAATTGTGCAAATAAGTAAATAAGCAGACACAAAAATAGTGATGATTTAAACCTTATAGGTAGCAGGAAGATAGGTGAATTTAAAATTTTTTATCTTCTCAAAAATATCATAAAATGAAGGATCTGTTTTCAAAAAGAAGAATTAAAATTTATTATGAAAATTCTTCTAAAAATTATTGTTACACAGTTTCTCATCTTTAGGTGAACTGCATTTAGTAAAAAAACAGGATGACATAATTGTTTGTGCTGACGTGTTCAGATCCCAGGTGGCTCCTAGCTCATGAGAGATAAAAGTTACATCTTTGCTTTTTAATTTTCTCATTAATTAAAAAAGTAGATAAAACGAGGATTAAAAATGAAGAGAGCGTACTTCTAAGAAGTTGTGTATACCTGAAGTCATTAAAAGGAGAATGAACAGGTCTTGTCAAAAGAAACATTTTACCAGGGGGGACATTTTCTCTCTTGTAATTAATTAATTAATTAATTGGACTGCAGGCACATAAACATATAACACAAGGTCACGAAGAAGGTACAGGGATGTATAAAATAGTGTCAGAAACTACAGGGTGTGTGTAAAATAATGTCAGAAAAAAAACAATTTTGAGGTGCTGTATATTGTAACATTTCACCTGTCCCCCCACAACTGCTGTATAAATGATGTGTCTAACTGGTCGTCACATTAATGGGTCTTTTTACTGCCAATGATGAGTGGCCATATTAAGCAGTGAATCCTGGGATGTGACTCATTTTTTGAAGTGATGTAAACAAAACTAGGGTTGTTTATGTTTTCTGTGAAAAAAAAAGAATTGTGCTTTTCTGGTATGAGTAAGGTATATGTACTTGAATTCTGTGAAGTGATGTTTCTCATTGTTAGAAGTATAACTCCTTAACTCAGTGAGCGCTCTCTGTTCTGTTCTGTTCTTGGAATTTGATTTTCATAATGAGCCGTGGACTGATATAATTTTAATGGGAAGTAAATTGTAAAACAATGCAACAGGATAAAAGTAGAAGGAGATATATTGAAATAAGGCACCTGAATGGTAAGATGCTGGGTAAATGTCTAGATGATAACAGTTTATGTTTGTTGTAATACAGTGCTAATACTGTTATTTGATGGATTCCATCTTGTTTTATAGAATCTCTCCAGTCAGTTCCATTGTTTAATACAAATTCAGGACGATCTTTTCTTTAGCCATAGTTTTTCTCACCGAAACTAGTTAATAAAATGTTGGACATATTTGAATGTTTTCTAATATCTTTGTAGTTGTTCAGTAAGTATTAAATGCTGTTGACAAGTGTTTATTTATTTCAGTTCTGTAATTAATACAGCGATGAGATTTTGATCAGTTCAAAGTTTTGTGATGCAATAACCATGAATATTATACACTGACCGGTAATAGTCTGGCAGTATGAAAATGATCATAAATTATAACTATCGTGTTTATCAGATAAACATGGCAAATATTTTGAAAAAGGAAGATATTTTGAAACCCAGATATAGTCCTAGATTTTTTGTATATGAAATTAAAAAAAGTTCAGAAAAAAATGAAATACCGTCCATGGAGACCTGCAATTTGAAGCATGAGTGAACAAGTTGTTTGTTGAAATGTGACACTCTACACTGACATGTCCAGAAAAACATGACAAAAAGAACAATTGGCTTTTGTGAACTAAATTGTACAGAGCAGAAAGATTTAGGACTGGACAGTAATCTGGGGAAACATCAGTTCTTATGATCTCGTCCAACAGGTATTGTTGTCAATATAAACAAAGTAACACCATCCCTAAGATGATGAATACAGATGTCATTTGACTTGAGCCATAAAGTTTACAGTCAAAGGACATTCTCAATGCTTTACAATTTTTAGTGGCCTGAAATGAGTCATAAGGGGGAAAAAAACTTAATTTTTGTTGGAAAAACCTTAAATTATTGGTGTCTAGTTAGTATATTAAATTAAGGACACTTAAAAAAGTTTGTGCAATCACTTCATAGTCTGTTCTGAATGGACAGACTTAAAGCACTAAACTTTGGGAGTTGGTTGGTATGTAGAGCGATAACATTTCCTGGTCCCAAAGTGCTGTTAAATACTTTATTTCATTCTTTATGATGAGCTGTCAAACATATTTCACTGTTATTTTTTAATATGGTTGTGAGAAGGGATCTAACATTTCTATTTTAAGTTGTGAAAAGGGGTCCCACATTGCTTTCAAGTTTGATTTTGGAGATGGAGCCACAACACTGGTACAAGGGAGGGAAGAAATGTTCCTTAACTACGTGAAAGGAAGTGCATCTCACAGGTATACACAAGGTACGTAATACAGGAAGTTCATACCACAGGTACACACAAGGTACGTTATACAGAGAGTTCACACCACAGGTACACACAAGGTACAGTATACAGAAAGTTCACACCACAGGTACACACAAGGTACGTTATACAGAAAGTTCATACCACAGGTACACACAATGTACGTTTTACAGAAAGTTTACACCACAGGTACACACAAGGTACATTATACACATGTGAGTTAAGGCTACATATAGGCATTTCTATGCAAATGAGCTAAAAAAAACGCATAATCAGTATATTTATTATAAAAAGAAAGTTTTGATTTATTTTCTTATACATACTTAGTACCCACGATATGTTATAGGCAATACACATTATGACATCATATTATGACATCACTGTTCTTACCCACTGGAGGGAATAAAACACATCAACAAAACAGCTTCGGCGCAAGGGATTATCTTATTTAATTTTGCATAAAAATTATATAATGTTAAGAAGAATATTCTATAGATTAATAAAACTGCTGCACAAATCCTAGGCATTTTCTCATTTGATCTGAATTTGAGGAAACTTATACCTGACTGTGCATTTTTACTCTGTTGCATCTTAAAACTTTACAGATAGTAATTAAACAACTGAGCTTATGATATTTGTGCAGCAATATCAGTAATCCTTGGAATATTTTTCTTTTAGATATACCTTGATTCAGTTAAACAAAAAAGAGCATGCCCTTGCTCCGAAGCTTTTTTGTTGATGTCCTTTATAATCATGTGTAGTTAAGAACAATGACGTCATATTATGACGTCATAATGTGTACTGGATATATCATGTCATGGGTACTAAATATGTATTAGACAACAAGTTTTAACTTTCCCTGTAAAATAGGTATAGTCCTTAGATATTTTAATTAGTTTATTTGCATAGAAATGCCTATACCTAGCCTTAACTCACTTGCCTACAGAAAGTTCATACCACAGGTACACACAGATACGCACAAGGTACACACAAGGTACATTATACAGAAAGTTCACACCACAGGTACACACAAGGTACATTATACAGAAAGTTCATACCACAGGTACACACAAGGTACATTATACAGAAAGTTCACGCCACAGGTACACAAGGTACATTATACAGAAAGTTCATACCACAGGTACACACAGGTACACACAAGGTATGTTATACAGAAAGTTCATACCGCAGGTATACACAGGTACATTATACAGAAAGTTCACACCACAGGTACACACAAGGTACATTATACAGAAAGTTCATACCACAGGTACACACAAGGTACGTTTTACAGAAAGTTCATACCTAAAAGGTACACACAAGGTATGTTTTACAGAAAGTTTACACCACAGGTACACACAAGGTACATTATACAGAAAGTACACCTTACAGGTGGCTCGCAACACAGGTACACACAGGTACAGACTAAGTACATTATACAGAAAGTTCACATGACAGGTATACACTGAAGGTAAGTTATACACATATGGCATCTCACAGGTACATGTATGAGGTACATGGAAGTTACACAGGTACACACACCAGGTACACACACCAGGTAAGTTACTCAGTAGACTTATCAACTGTTATATTTCTGAAATAGAATTGTCATTTTACAGGTACAGAAAAATGCTCTGAAATAACATTTATGTTTGGAAATGGGTTAGTGTGCATTTAAAACTTTTCAGTATAATTAATTGTAAGACTTGCATATATAACTTCCTCCAAGTTAAAAAAGAATTGTTTTGTATTCAAAGGGATACTGACATGTGTGAGGTTCTTTAGGTTAGATGATACGTTCCTCAATAAAATATTATTTTTCCAAGAATTTGTCATTAAACCATTACTACTTTAACAACTTTACTCGTAAAAAAAATTGAGGTACCTTACCAGACATTTGTGCAAGATACCGGAGGATGGTGTTTCCTATATAATCCTACTGGAATTCTCTTGACATAGTCTATATCATAATTATTGGAATATTTCTCTCTAAGGTCATTTTGAAAACAGTTTAGAAATCACAAGATGATGATAATTATTAATATTTTTTTTACATAACAAAGAGATACAAAACAGATATTCAAGGAACGTGTCGTCTGACCTTAAACTTTTCAAATCAAAAATAAGAAGGGGGTATTTAAGGCTCAATTCAGTAACAGGTTCTTAGATGATTGCATTTGACATTGGTTTCTGTTTAAAGCAGTAACAAATTTATTTTATTATTTCAGAGGGAGTGTTTAATATAACAGTGACAGCAATAAATCCCCTTGGCAACAGAACAACAACACTTGACAGGCTGTTCTATGTACAGGCATCCCCCTTTGGATTGAAGCTGGATAAATCCATCTACTACACAAAACTTGGTGATGTCACCATTATGCATGCTAACTACTCACATGGTACCAATGTGACATTTGATTGGAAACTTGGAGACCAGACTGATATACTCAGTGACTCAGGTAATAAGCAGTGATCTTGTAACACTTATTAATCATTCAGTCAGTGACTGGGGTAATTACCATTATCTAGTAACACTTACTGATGTTTAGTTTCAGTGTTTGTTCCAAGCTCACCAGAAATGTCATCCAAACAGACCTTTTGTATATATATATATATATATATATATATATATACATATCATGAAAGGACTTCAAACATTGCATTTATGCTCATGTTTGTTTTAATGCATGATCTAAATTCTTTATATTTCTTAAAAAAAAGACAGGGTTTGTGTATTTCAATCTAATTTGACACATAAGATTCAGTTCAAACCTGCTCATATTAATTATATGCTGCTCATTTTTTTTAATATTAAGAAGCCTGTGAATCTGGTTGTAGCTGAGATTAGCATTTCAGGCCATTGACTTGTTGTGTATCATTTCTCTTCTCTATTCAGGTTCAGTGGTGAGACACACCTACCAGACAAGAGGGGAGTTCAGGGTAACGGTTATAGCCAGGAATAAGGTGTCCTCCCAGACAGATCAAGCTATGGTAGTGGTCCAAAGTCTTATACAGGGTTAGTGTTCAGTATAAATAAGGTGTCCTCCCAGACAGATCAAGCTGTGGTGGTAGTCCAGACTCTTATACAGGGTCAGCATTCAATATATAATGATGAAGATTTTTTAATAAACCTGCAAACAAAGTTTTTAGGTTTTTTTTAGTGATTTTTTTTGGGGGGATAGGAATCATCTTGTCTGGGCTTTAATGGGGAAGCATTGAAAGCTTATACATGGTACAAAGATACAAAGATTGGTTATGACCTGACAGTATGTCATGACCTTGAGGCAAGGTCATTCTGGCAAGTTCAAGGTCACTGGGAGAATAAGCATAAAAAACTTATCTGGGCTCTACCTTTGAAATTAAGGATCTTTGTAAGTTTATACCTGATATTAAAATAGTGTATGATCTGAGGGTGTGTCATGACCTTGACCCAAGATCTTTCTAGTAAGTTAAAGGTCATTGGGAGAAAAGTATAAAATTCTTGCTTGTAATGGAGAATCATTGGAAGGTCATGGTACAAAGATTATGACCTGAGGGTTTGCCATTACCATGGCTTAAGGTCATTCTGTATCTTGTCACATTCTCATTGACAAATAGAAAATAAGTGTTCCTTAACCAAAAAATTCTTACAATTTAGATTCCCTCTTGTTATTTTTTAAGGGGTGAGGTTGATAACAAGTGCCAACATTACTGAGACAAACCAGGTCATTAAACTAAGAGCTGAGACTTTACCAGAACAAGGTCTGGGTACATATCATCACTGGAACCTGGGAGACAACCAGAAAGGTGTTCAGACGACTGAACCAGAGATTGACTACCGATACAGAAGGAATGGACGGTAAGTGATTGTAATGATACAGAGCAACGAATCAGACTCTCTCCTCACTGTCATCAACCAATCAGACTCTCTCCACACTGTGATCAACCAATCAGACTCTCTCCTCACTGTCATCAACCAATCAGACTCTCTCCTCACTGTCATCAACCAATCAGACTCTCTCCTCACTGTCATCAACCAATCAGACCCTCTCCTCACTGTCATCAACCAATCAGACTCTCTCCTCACTGTCATCAACCAATCAGACTCTCTCCTCACTGTCATCAACCAATCAGACCCTCTCCTCACTGTCATCAACCAATCAGACTCTCTCCTCACTGTCATCAACCAATCAGACTCTCTTCTCACTGTCATCAACAAACCAATCCATAGAGATTAACCAATCATTGATCAATTTAATCAAATTATCTCCTTCTATAAGAACTACTAACCAGATTCTTTCTTTACTTTCGTCAACTAATCATACTCTCTCCTTACTATTACAGTGATCAACCATTTAAACTCCTCTTGGTGATATACCAATCAAACTTATCCCAGTTTTTAACCAGTAAGACTCTCTCCTTATAGAGAGCAACAAATCAGAATCTTTCCTCAGAGATCTATGTGTCAGAATCTCTCTTTATAGAAATTAACAACATAGACTCTCTTTTGTAGAAATCAACCAATCAGAATCTTTCCTTATAAAGATCAATTAATCAGAATTTCTCTTAGTAGTGATCATCCAATAAGAATATCTCCTGTAGAAATCAACAAGTCAGAATCTTTCCTCACAGAAATCAGCCAACTAGAGTCTCTTTATGGAGCTTAACCCTAAGAAATATACTTCATGTTTATATCAACACTGCTAGTTATTAATATGTAAATAGCCACTCAGTCACTCACTTTTCAGTCTCCTGTCAATGAAATGGGAGGGGGCATTCTTTTCTAAATGATTGCAGACATTGAGCTAATTTTTTGGTTTGTGAGTATATGTTAATGAGTTACAGCCTAAGTTTGCTTTGATGATTTTCAATGGAATTTCAACCTTTTTAACTTTTTATGGGTACCATATTACACTTGCTGCTAGGGGATGCAATACTCACAGAATGTTTGTTATATCTGGCAATAGGAGTATTCAGCATGTGTTGAATCTTTGTGATATTCTGCAGGTTTATTGCCACGGTAAAAGCTTACAACAACATCAGCCAGTCAGAATCGGTCCCTGTAGAAATCACAGTCCTCTCTAAGGTAAAGAATCTGGAGGTCCGCTGCCTGAACGACTCACTCGTCAACACATCACTGGAGTTTGCTGCCTTAAGTTACTCTGGCTCTAATCTAACATATATCTGGGACTTTGGAGATGGCACCCCTCCCCTACAGTCCACAGTCAGGGGGCCACAAGTCAGACATACTTATGTCAAGTTAGTATAAAAGTCAGACTTACATATGTCAAGTTAGTATTACACTTCAAGTCAGACATACATATGTCAAGTTAGTATAAAAGTCAGATATACATTTGTTAAGTTAGTATTACACTACAAGTCAGACATAACATAAGTCAAGTTAGTATAGCGAGTCAGAAGTTAGTATAATACTACTGTAACATGTCAGATATAGTAATGTCAAGTTAATATAAAACTACGAGTTAGGCATACTTATCTCAAGTTATTATTTCACTACAAGTCCGACTTAAATTTGTCAAATTCTTACATCTCTTGATTATATTGTTGTTTATGATTTATGTGTCTGTTTAACAGTGTTGGCCAGTATTTTGTGACCTTGACAGCCTATAACCAGATAAGTAATGAGACAGACAGGATAGAACTGTTTGTACTGGATCGAGTTTGTAAACTGCCCAAGTTTGAAATCCACAGCAGAGATGTTAAGAAGGTTAGTGGATATCATAACAAGATTTATTAGGGTGTAATACTGTCACTTGTGTGTATTATTGAAACAGTGTTATACAGTAGAATGTACACTGTCTCCTATATGTAATAATGTAACATTTTAGGATGTAACATTCTCCCCTATATGTAAAACTGCCTCGTGTATGTAATATTGTAACATTGTTGGATGTAACACTATCTCATATATGTAATAATGTAACAGTTTAGGATGTAACAGTATCTCCTATATGTAATAATGTCTTCTTTATGTAATATAGTAACAGTCTAGGATGTAATACTATCTTCTTTATGTAATATAGTAACAGTCTAGAATGTAATACTGACTCGTGTATGTAATATTGTAACAATGTGGAATGTAACACTATCTCCTATATGTAATATAGTAACAGTTTAGGATGTAACAGTATCTCTTATATGTAATACTGTCTCTTGTATGTAATATTGTAACAGTCTAGGGTGTAATACTATCTTCTATATGTAATATTGTAACAATGTGGAATGTAACACTATCTCCTATATGTAATAATGTAACAGTTTAGGATGTAACAGTATCTCTTATATGTAATACTGTCTCTTGTATGTAATATTGTAACAGTCTAGAATGTAATACTGTCTTCTATATGTAATATTGTAACAATGTGGAATGTAACACTATCTCCTATATGTAATAATGTAACAGTTTAGGATGTAACAGTATCTCTTATATGTAATACTGTCTCATGTATGTAATATTGTAACAGTCTAGAATGTAATACTGTCTTCTATATGTAATATTGTAACAATGTGGAATGTAACAGTATCTCTTATATGTAATACTGTTACAGTTTAGGATGTGATATTGTTCCCTGTATGTAATACTGTCAGAATGGATGATAATTATTACGAAAGTTATTCTTTTTATGTTTATAGATTATTCAATCAGACAGGATATTTTTTGAGGCCGAGATAACTCGACTTCACTGTGAGTACACGAGTGAGATTGAGTATCAATGGAGCTTTGTGAAGACACTCTCTAACACTCCTGTGTTGTTTGAAAACATGGATCCTTCCCAATTCCAGCACCGAGTCCTTAATCTTCCACCAAGGTCCCTAGAACCAGGAGAATATACTCTTTCACTTATGGTAAGTTAAAGTTAATGTCATGTTTTAGGTGTAAAGAGCTTTACTATAAAGTATTGTTATAGCTTCATGAAACTTCAAAGAAGTACATATATTAATCAGTTGAGATGTCTGCATCTGATAGATTCCAGGTTAACAAGAATGTCTACATCTTATTACTTATTTTGAAATTTGGATCCTAGTTCTTCTACCCTTATAGCATTAAGAGATGTCTATATAAGTTCATGTTTTGAAGGATGAAAATACATGCACACATGTATATAAATGTTTCTCATTTCAGGTAAAATATAGTGGTACAATAGTATATGCTACAAAGAAAACACAGTTTGAGTTGGTATCAGCTCCACTGTCTGTCCACATAGACGGTGGGGCCTTCAGACGAGTCGGTCGCTCCGGGAACGTCATGCTAAATGGAACAAAGTCTACAGATCCAAACTCCGAGGATTCATCTCAGTTACGGTAACAAACAGATACAAATTATTTCTTGTGGGTGAAAATTCTTCTCAGAAGAAAGACTGAAGCAAAGCTTATTCTGAATCAATCAAGACTCTCCAAAAGTACATTGCTATAATTCTCTGAATAGGATTCTATGAAGTAATTTTTTTTACAGGTTTAACTGGACGTGCAGTGTAAGTCTGACCAACATTGAGGAATCATGTTTCCTTGACCACAAGACTTTAGATACGACTAATCCAGTGTTGACGTTTCCAGCTGCTTGGTTAGAGACAGGAAAACAGTATCTCTTCATCTTGAATGTCTCCTCAGAAGGGCTGGCTTCCCAGAATAGGACACAAGTCATAGAGGTGGATTCCAAAAATACCACAATAGAGTAAGTCACATGGCCGTAAGAACCGGGGGGCTTGCTCCACCCCATTCCCCCAATAATTTTACCGAAATGTAGAACACTATAGAAAACATAGCTACCGTATGCTTGTGTCCCCTCAATAATAATGTCTGATGACCCCCTTTTTTTTTCTTTTTTTTTTTGCTTGTCAAGGAATTTTGGTAGTTGATAGTGCCCCCCAACTGAAAATGTAGAAAATGTATGGTTTTGCCCCCTCAAAGTGAAATTGCTTCCTACGGGCCTGAAAATATCACAATAGAGTAAGTTGGGGTTAGAAAATACCACAGTAGAGTAAACAAGTTAGAAAATATTGCAATAGAATATAAAATAAAACTATCACAACAAGAGAGTCAAAAAAATACCACTGTGACAACTGATTGAAAATCAGAAAATATCGCAATTGTTATTTGGTCTCTGTTGGAAACACACATACACAGAGAGGGAGAGAGAGAGAGCTGAGCATGTTGACCTTTGAACTTTTAGATCTGTGATCAGATAAGAATTTGCTTTACAGTGTCGGCCTTAGATGTCCTCTTTGTCAGCGTGATGTCATAGATGAGAATGAACCAATCAGGATTGAAGCAGTGTGTCCCGAGTGTGTGGGTCAGACTGATATCAGCTATGAGTGGAGGTTGTGGTTTGTTGAAGGATATCATGGTATAGAGCCGCAGGAACCAAAGACGTGTATAACAGCAGGGGAATCTCAGTTTGAACTTCTAAAGAAGTCTAACCGAACAGCCATTAAGTCAACGACTGACCGCACTACCACTGTTATAGGTGAAGAATTAACAATTCTAGTTACATGTTTCACTCAATGAAAAATATCTTTTACAATTTTAAAGACAGCTTAGATATATTTTCATATCTTACATGACTTGTTTCTGTGTTTTAGGAACAACTACCAAAGAATATAAAACAGAGGTCAGCACCATGTCAGTTTCCACGACAGACGTATCACTTAACCTTGACCCTGTGATAATTGAGGACAGGTCATCAAAGGACAGGGTCATCACCAATGGCAACAAGGCAGAAGACAAGCTGGATTCAGACTTTCCCTTTAGTAAGTTAAAAACAATTTTCATGATTTTTCTGCTTGTGTTGAATTTTGCCTTTAAATTTCAATTAAAACAAGTAATGAAAGAAACTAACAATCTTACTCAGTTAGGCTGTTTGAGTAAATCATAAACTGATATTTGTGTGACTGTAGCCCCCCCCCCCCCCCCCCACCACACACACACACACACACACACGCATCAGGAAACAGAATTTGGGAGGGGGATAATAATTTTAGGAATTAGGTGGTTTTTGTGTGTATATGTGTGTGTATAAGGATATAACTCATATGGTAGCATTAAACAATTTACAAAATGCTGTCACATATAAACATTTCTTCTTCATTACAGTAAACCTTATCCAAAGTACCATTTCATGATTTCTTTCACAATATCCCTTGTTTATACTCAGTCTCTATCAAACTTTTGTGACTTGCAGTACTTTGATGTATTTGCAGTCTCTGAGAACACTAAAGATGTTGGTAGACGTAAACCAGGGCTGACAAAACAAGACACAGGGATGGTGTTTCCTGTGGAGGGATCCCCCGGGGAAGTGGGCAGTTCTGACGGCAGGATTCCAGGTACAGATTTAAGTCCTACCTCAAAATGGGAAGGTAAATTATGGTTTACCTGGGGAAGTTCTGGTGGAAGGTACCGGTAAACCTCAGGTTTAACCTAGAAATGGGCAGGTTAATTAAAGATCTCCTCGTTAAATGGAAAGTTCTGATGGCAGGATATCAGGTGAAACTGGAGGGAGGGGGGTTGCCTCAAAATGGACACAATCATATTGTTATAGTTTCCACAACAGTAAGAGGACATATGTACAGGTATATAAAAACCTGTTATGTCAGAGGGCTAATGAAAAATATAGTGCATGTGTGCCTAAGAGAAATGAAAATTCAAATTTGCACAAGTTGTTTAGTTTTGCTTGGAAGTATTACAGGGGAATGAAAGCCAGAACATACAATGTACGAAATAAAGCATCTCTGTTTTACAGGACAATTAGATAGCATGGGTGAAGAAGAAAGCAGGGGTCGTGATCCAGGTAGGAATTAATCTAAAACAAAGTCAGGTATTTACAGTCCATCCTTTTCATGAATAAAATTCAAACTACATCTCAAATATGTACAACATTAAACTAAATATTAATTCAAAATGTATCGCAAACTTTGTTTCAAACAACTTTTGGTAAACAGAATTTTCATTGATGTAAAGGATGATAATCTGGTTGAATTGCAATGAATGAACCTTGATAAGCAACTCTACTAATATTATCAATCATTTGTCAACAAGTCCAGTTTTGTTAAGTTTTTTTCCTTCTAATTCAGGACAGAATAATGGAGGAGGAGGGGGTCGTGATTCAGACAAAGGTAATGTAAACTTGTTGTAATGTATCTTCTTTGTTGTAATGTAACTTCTTAGTTGTAATGTAACTTCTTTGTTGTATTGTAACTTTTTTGTTGTAATGTAACTTTTTTGTTGTAATGTAACTTCTTTGTTGTAATGTAACTTCTTTGTTGTAATGTTTCTTCTTTGTTGTAATGTAACTTCTTCGTTGTAAGTAAAGTAATTTCTTTGTTGTAATGTAACTTCTTTGTTGTAATGTTTCTTCTTTGTTGTAATGTAACTTCTTTGTTGTAAGTAAAGTAATTTCTTTGTTGTAATGTAACTTCTTTGTTGTAATGTAACTTCTTTGTTGTATTGTAACTTCTCTGTTGTAATGTAACTTCTTTGTTGTATTGTAACTTCTTTGTTGTAATGTAATTCTTTGTTGTAATGTAATTTCCCTGTTTAATAGAAATAGTAAGAACTGTATTCTTGTCACAGGTAACACTTTATTTGTTGGATACAGATGAGAATTATTTAGATGATTGTAATATTTAAAAATAAATTATTTTTTTTCCAGTTATTGATAACGAAGGACAAAACCCTGTGATGAGTGACACCATTGATCTGCTGATTAATAGAAGAGCTAGTATGAAGATTATAAGGGCACACCAAATAGCCACACCCACCAACTCAAGGTCACTGGTCATCAAACCATACCAGCTATCAGCAGGAAGGGCATATATAATCTCTCTCAAAGTCAAGAGTAAGTTATTACTGTGATGTTAATATATTAGTTAAAAATGACGACCTAAAAGCAATCATTTTAAAAGGTCCTAAATACAGGGGGCCCTGATCTTTCAACTGGGGACAGCACTTCATTTCTATTTTGAATTCAATTGAAGATTATGCCAGACGTTGGGCTAGATATAAAGGGGAAGACCTGAACACTTTGTCAGAATGGATTAAGTGTTTTACAAATATATTAATTTTAAAAGAACGGTATTAGAAAGTTGAGAGGCAATATGTGAACCATCTATCCTTCTGTTTTCACAAAATCAGAGGTGATGAAAGAATTATAAAGACTACGGGAACAATATGTATGGTTCCATCAGACAAAACTTGTATCTTTCTTTGTAAAGTTCATTATTATAACTGTATTTTAGAAGAAATTGACTTTAATTCTACCTCTGGAAATCCAGTTCATACTAACAGTTCACTTTCAAAGGATGAAAATCTTTAAAATAACACTTCAATGTTATACTTTTATCATTCCAATTACCGAAAGTGAGTTGGATCTACCCTACCGATACTGGATTCCTAAACTTCATAAAAATACAATAAGTTGATGTTACAGGGATTTCAACAACCTTGTTTAAAGTTAGCATTTTGTAAATTTTATGGTCAATTTAATGACCTTGTTGGCAAATAAAACTTATCATTGGGTTTTATTTTGAGTGACATGTTTCATACTAATTGTTAGGCCTTCGTTTATACTAAATTTGTAATAGGGAATGTTCCGTCTACCTGATCAATACATAGGGCTCAGGGCAGTTGGTACTGATGGACGTGGGACGCTTACTCCTTTTAAGCACCTGATCCCATCTCTGGAATTTCCAGAGGTCCATGTTTTATGCCCTGTTCACAGATTTGTATTATTTGTGGATTTTTTAAAATCGATCACTGTTCATTATCTGCGCTTTTTTCATTTTCTGTAGTAAAATATCTGCTGTAATAAGAAATATCAAATTAATAGCCCACATAAGCTAAAGGATAAAGCAAGTTTTTTTTTTCTGGCTGAAGTTTCTTAATCATCTGTCTGTCTTCTGACAGTGGCTTGGCTTTTTCTATGAACAAACATGAATTCCAATCAACCCAGAACATTTTGTGGCAAATTTAACTTAAACTGGTCCAGTGTTTCAGGTAAAAAAAAGGTCAAAAATGTAAAAAAAAAAAAAAAAAAAAAAAAAAAAAAAAAGAAAAGGAAGTTTTTATTGAACAAATCAATGGGCAATGCAATAGAACTGAAGTAATCCCCTCACTGAATAACATACCTAGCAGGAGTGACCTCCCTTTGTATTGGTATTTATATTTATATTGGTATTTGTATTGGTATAGTGAGGGTTTAAGATCTGGAGTGACCTCCCTTTCTATTACAGTATTAGTATAGTGAGGGATATTGATTTGTAATTAGAGGTGATTTATCAGATAAATTCAATCTTAGCGGGGGAAGTAGCAATGTTATTGATTGTCCCTTTTATTTATCAGTCTGTCCCTTTAGTAGCTTCAAGTAAAATGCACATATGTTCAAAAATACTCCATTTCTCTCTCTCTCTTTCTCCCTCCCTCTCAAAAAAAAATAAAAGTAAAATATATCATTGTAAACTTCAACAAAGACACATTTTCTCAAGATTAGTTTATACTGGATATGGCAGACTTGCTCATAAATATTTTTTGTGAATAAATATCTGATATTGAATTTTCTTTGACGCAAGTATGTGTAAGAATAGCCAGGGAATTTATGCTATTTTAAACTACCTTCCAGAAGAAGCCACTTTTCTGCCTGACTATTTCCTCATCTGATTTATTTTTAGGCTTTTTATGTGGTTATAAGTATAATGGGTATCTTAAACTCCGAACAAGAGAATGAGAAAGACAAAATAGGTGTGGTTTTACTGATTGCTTGGTTAAATGTTAAATGATTTAATCAATTACATTTTTTAAAGCTTTGTGTGAATTCATTCCCTTCAGAAATAAAATCATGGAATTTTTTTTTTTAAGTTCTCCTCCAAAACTGGCAAGCGAGATTGATTTTTCCCTCCCAATTATAGATAAGGAATGCATTATTTAATGGTTTGTTGTAATTAATCGCCTTTTTGACTTGCTTACATTGCAAAGATTTATACTTACTTGACATGAATGAGAAAAAATTTCCTACAGAAAAAAAAAATCTTTTAGTTATCGTGGAGTGAATGAAGATGATTATATGGGTCCATGGGGATTAGGGCCTAATACTATTATCCAATTAAAACTCCTACTGTATAGCGCGTTTCTTTGGTGGGTGTAAAATTTGGCATTTTGCTTGCTCAAGGGTGTGCCAATAATTTTGGTGGAATATCTTTTGGAGGACACACAATTTTATGACATTGTCAGGAAGTTCATGTTGAAGATGAGTTTTCAGTACGTTTAATTAATATACGTTTGAATACCAATTTACCAGAGTTTGAGGAAAATTCAATACCAGATGAAAAATATATTGGTTAACAACAGACTGATCAAAGTTATTTTTCTTGTATTTACTGTTACTGTAGGACTTATACGAAGGGTGCAAATTACTTCAAAACCACTAAAATAAGCCAACCTTAGCAGCCCACTAAAAATTCCCGATATCGGATACAATGTATGATTTGTGCTTTTCATGTAGTTTTCTAGTCATTAAGCTTAAAGAATTAAATAAAATGATATCTGTATAACTGTGGTCATGTTGCTCCTTGGCCAAGTGGATAAGGAGCTGGCTTCAAAATGTGAAGGTTTATCAAAATGTGAAGGTTTATGGTTAGAATGCAACTGCATTCACCTATCTTGTTTTTGAATATTGTATTATATATTTTGTTTTTTATATGAACCAGAATCATGATTCTGTATAAAGCAGGTGAGATGCTCTCTAGAATGAATGGAATATTGGAGCTACACTCCTTGGTATAACATCGGTATATATGTACAAGAGCTAGTCACACCCAGGTATTATGGTGATGTATAGGAGCTACATTTGATACATGAGGAGACCTCGCGTGATGCTGTAATAAAAGCCATGTATTAAATCTGCTGTGTGTAATTAATTAATCATCCTAATTGATTTTCCTTCAGCCCCATCTGTGGATATATAAAGAAATGAAAAAAAGCCATACCAAGGAACTATTAAGTTTAGCTGGGGGCCATGGTCTATATTTAGATGTCTCCTACACTGGCTGCTAAAGCATTTAATGCTAGTGTTTATGTGTTTAAACATCATTGTTCATTTTCCTTGTTTTCCTAGGATCAACTCTTTAAATTCTGATATTGATTTTCATTAAAGAAAAATTTTATTTCTTAGGAAAGTACAAAATAAAGTATGGAGGAGTCTGAACAACAGTACAAAAAAAAACTTTCTTATTAGGAAGTCTGTTGGACTAGAATTACACTTCCTTATGACAATGATTCTTAATATCCGTGTGAAGAACACAGTACAGTCTTCCATGGAATTCATAAAAGTTTCCTTAAAACCAAGATTTCTTCACAAGGGAGTTTTTTAATAACCAAGTTTTACTGTATACTCTAAAGATCTCTACATAATTTATCTGCAACTATACAGTCGAACTTCAGTATCTAGAACACTGGTATCTCGATCACCATGGATATGTCAAAGTGATTTGTAAGAGCCCATTTATTTATTCTTTAAGTATTATACCCTGATATCTCGAATCCTCAGATATCTCAAAGCATTTTCTCGTTCCCATCAAGTTCGAGATAATGAGCTTTGACTGTATTTCTAGACTTGATGCATATTAAAAGAGAATTTTATTTTTTGTGAACTAGTATTAAAGAACATCACTTGGGGTACTCTTCAATAAAATCAGGAATTATAAATGACATTTTAAGATTTTTTCAGGCCCCTTCATGAGACTAACATGGTCATTTTTTAAATTCTTTAGCAAAACATCCTCAAGCATCGTTATTATGAACAAAGAGTTCCCTTAAAATTGTAATAAAAAAAAATTAATCACAATGTTCTGGTATGAGGTGAGGCTTAGATACCTGTTACATGTAAGAAACTTTCAAGGTGCAATAGCCTCATATGATTTTGTGACTATTTTTCTTGCAGATGGTCAGAAAACTGGAATGGCAAAAGAGACATTCTACGTGAACTCAGGGCCAATAAACGGGGACTGTGAGGTGGCTCCCCTCTCAGGGGAGGAGTTTAAGGTGGCTCCTCTCTCAGGGGAGGAGTTTAAGACAGAGTTCAAGGTCTTCTGCAGAGAATGGCAAGACAAGGTAAGGCAGTATAGATTCTTTATTTAATGTGAGTACTTCATATTGAGGAATGACTCGTAGACACCAAAATTGTGAGAACATGAATTCTTGAGTGGACTTGATCAAGTTTTTACATGCATTTCAGCAATATTAAAACCGAGTAATTTTATTGCTCAAGTGGTGCTACTTGTAAAATTTTCCACACATATATTTTGGAAGAATTTTTTTTACTCGTAAGCATGATACAAGCATTATGCACTGTTATGTTCCTGAAATTCTTTACAAATTGGGAAATTCATGTGACATGGGTTCTGCTTTACTCTTAGAGCTAAGATGGTCATTAATAGGGAAACTCATGTTGCTCAGGTGACTATCAAGGCTATATGAGCCTGTTGTTTTTCAAAAGAGGATAAAAAAAACCCATCAATATTCTGATTTTTTTGTAGCAACAACCTATTCAGTATCAGGTGACCTTTGACCTAGGCAGTAACCAATCAGAAGTGTTCTTGTACCGGGGCCTGAAAAAGAGTTTGCTGTTTACATTACCTGCTGGCTTACCTGAAAATAAGTTTAAAGGTGAGTCATTTTATGACCTTTTGTCCTCCAACATATTCCAATAACAAATAAAAGGTGTACCAATAACTGATATATCAATAACATATATACAAATGACAGTGGAGCCTCCATAATCTGGATGCTTCACCTTCAGGAGGAATTCATAACATATCAAAATGGTTGTCCCTGCACTCCTTTTTTTTTTTTTTTTTTTTTATTATTGACAGTATCATAAGGCCCAAAATGTGTACATATTAGTGCAATACTGAAAAGGTATTCTGCTAAATTCCCAAAATATGTAAAGTATATGGATATAAGTGAGTCATAATTGCATTTTTACACTATATAATTCAATTTTTATGAAAACTTGTTGTGAAGTCAATTCCCATGATTTTTCACTAAATCATGCAGAATTGTTCAAATTTTCTTGTCTTAAAATGCTAAATGAAATGATACACTACTCATTGTGAGTAATTTATGAAATCATCAAGTCTTGACAAAAATTTCTTACCTCAAATTATATTGATTTCTTATAAAATTAGAGCTGTAAAATTTATACTTCGCATTTGACATGTGATATCACAGCATTAACTACAGATAAAATTATTTTGAAATTATTTGAAGAAACTACAAAGAATTCTACATTTTATGGTGTTTTAGTCATGAAAAAATGAGCAACAAATAAGTCTGCAGTAATATTTTCAAAAAGTGCATTTTTCAATGCAATATTTAGTGGAAAAATAAAATTATGACTCGTTTATGTCCAGGAACTGTACATATTAGTGCATTACTGAAAAGGTATTCTGCTTTAAATTCCAAAATAAAGTGAAAGTCACAAATATGTTGGTATTTGATCTGCTTGAAAAATTTCTTTGTAGTTTGTATAATTTGCCACATCACAAAAGGAGATATCCGTGCTAGCACAGGTTATTTTCTCTTTGTTACACTGTTAACAGGGTGTCTTGTTTTACCTTATTTATTTTCGTTTCATTTCCATTTCTTGGTTCCTCTTGATGCTGAAAAAAAACTTATTTTACTTTCATGGATCCTGTAACATGAGTTACCATACATTATTGAAATTTTTAATAAAAATATTGATCCAGTTTTCATTCAATTTTAATTAAAACTGATAAATGTTACCGAAATGTAAACAAACCGTGGTATAATCAATCTATCAGTCTGTGTTATTTGAGAACAAAATGAGAAATAAGAGATAGAATTGGAGAGATGTATCCTGTCAGGGAGATGAGCAGCCTCTATGTTATAGCTGTAAGCTTCCCCAGCCCTTATACTTCCTGTAAACCTTTGGTACTGTAATAATTCTCAATGAACACATTAATTGCAGCAATGTGTCTTTAAAAGGATGTTTTAGATTCATGTGCCACAATGGTTGAAATTTAGATAATGTGAAAGTTGCTGAAGCTGAACACTTTCTGTGGAATCATTTAAATTGGAGGGTGGGGTGGGGTGGGGGGGGGGTTGTTGTTGATTGGTAAAGATGTAATTACCATAGGCAAACATCTTGATATAAAAGACAAAGCCAAATTTTCAATGTTTGTTAAGATTGTAAATTTATGATTAAGGGATACTCATGAATTTTAAAATTAGACCTGCACAAGATATAATGATTCTACAGTATACAACCAGTTTGATGACTAGATAGTGTAAACTTGTAAAAAAAAAAAAACTACAAAGTCGTGTGGGTGTGACCAGTTGACAGGGAATGCTCACTCCTCCATAGCACCTGATCCCACTTCTGTTTTCAATTGTCCAAGTTTGCTCTGTTCACAATTTTTATTCTTTAATTGGACTTTTGAGCATAATTACTGTTTATTTTGACATTTTACACATGCTCCGATGGCCAGTTAGCTCGGTGGAGCACCTGTCTGTTCAGGGGGCCAGTGTTTGAATCTTGTATGGTCTGTTGCATTTTTCTCCCTCCCCTGTTACATTTGATGCCCTTGAAGTGACAGATTGGAGATTTATGAGAGAAGGGCTGGGTTGTTTTCAGAGTCAAAGACACTTAACAGGAGGAGGAATGTGGTGGTCATACAGACTTGTCCACTAGTGGTCAGATACTGTAAACCAACTATTAATTGTGACAACCAATGTCTAGTTAGTTAAGGGAAGAGGGAATGCAGTGGCCATAAAGGCAGCTAGCTTGTTCACCAGTGGTCAGATAATTAAGGAGGCAGGAGTATGGTTGTCTGCAGGGTCAGAGAGCTCTTATTTTAACCCTAGTCTGGTCAATCACATTTATCCATTCCTTTTTCAGTGTTTTTCTGCGATTGTGATGTTACAATTTGATTCTGTGCAGTGTGTGTAGTAAGGTTTGATTATCATGCTGCACTTTCATTGAGAACAGGAAAACGAAGCGTGACTGAGAACAGCCCTTTCTATTGTGGGGAGTGAATACCTTCCGGGAATAGCTGAGCAGAAAGCTACAAGATTTTATCACCGTGGTTGACAAGCTCAAATATTTGTTCCATGCAATAAAGCCCCTTCCAAATTGAAATTTATTGAGCTTTTTATACCCCTGATATTGGGGAGATCTGATAGGTTATTGAATGCTTTAAGAATGGCTGTGTTCGGGAGATAGGACTTGGTCAATCAAAGCATGGCTGTAGAGGTTATTGAATCTTGGACACTGGTCATTAGATTCAGAAAGAAAGTTGTTAAGATTCCAAATCAGGGACATCAAGAAAGTGTTGTCTCTAATATCAAGGTTAGTATATATTGAATGAACATTTATCTTTTAGACTGTCTATTGATTGTAGATATCAGTGTTTGGGGGATTTAGATGAAATTTTTATTGGTAAAGTAAAAGATATAAAGACTAGGGACAGTGAATGGATGTCTGTGCAGGCTTATTGGAGGCTCTTCATGATTGTGGTGATCTGGACCATATTTATTTTATAATTATTATTCAGTGTGTACTACTATGAACAGGATGAACTACAAACAGCTGTATCTGCATGGACACAATACTGCAGTAGACTGGGTATTCACTGTAAGGACCGTTCATTAATCACTCTGTTATGACTTGAAGGGGTTTGTGGTAAGAGTTTATTAGATCATTAGTCATAAACAGCCCCACTATCAGAAAGGTATCTGGTACATTCCTTGTCTCGAGGTTTAAATGTATCTAAGGTCACTCTGTGATGATCAGTACACTCTGGTGTAGAACAGAGAAGACCTAGCATTCTATAGCTGTGTCCAAGGTTATCTTGTATCAGTATACAATGAATAGGTACAGCCACTTATTTAAGGGTCTAAACCTGCACTGGAAATTTGAACATCACCCGCATTCTTTGAAGTTTAGGAGAGAAGGGGGTGTGTCATGCAGTAGAGAGGTAGTGTGGTCATTATAAGCAGTGTGTGTGTGATAAATGTACAAGGCTGGGGATTTAAATGTTATTTGTGAGTCATTACCTCGGAGGAAATGAGATTCTTCTACCTGTGGGTAAGGTGTAGACCCTTAGTGAGAGAGATGTGTGTTGCAGCAGAGGAAAGACATTTAATTTACTGGGCTGACAGAACAAAAAAGCCAGCAATGTGTGTTTGGTCATTTTAACAACAGCCTGATAGAAAGAAAAGTGGATTACATTAAAAAAGTCCCATATCTGTCAGGGCCTAGCTGGTTGCCGTGACAACAGATGCTGGGCTGCTCGAGTTTGGGGAATTGATTACTTCGTGTCCCGACTGGTAAAAGTCATTTTTTTTTCTCCTGAACTGGAGGCTCACATTAAGTAGCTCAGACCCAGGTAATGAAAGCCGGGCTAAAATGAGAAAATTGATGGCTATAGCCTCTCTTATTACAAGTAAAGTCGATGGAGCATGTGACGTGCTTTCAACATCTTTTCCAATACTTTGCAGTTTTCCTGAAGGTCTCTGTGCTGGACGGACGAAATGCGGCAGTACGACACTGTGTCACCTCCATCACAGTTAGACCAGGCACGACCCCCACAAGGACCAGCACTTCGGCCGGAGAATATCAAGGTCACAGCAGATCAGGAAGTGAAATCGCGAGAGCAGACGACAAAATGTAAGTCTGTTCAATCATTTACACTGCCAGTTTGTCAATATTGCATGTTATGTCACTCACAATCCAACAAAAGATACTTGCAGACTCTTTTGTAAAAAAAAAAATGTATTAAACAGCAATGTGAATTGGAGAAGCTTTATCTCAATTGTAAAGCTTAATCTCACTGTTTACTTCACAAATCAATTACTTTCTAACAGGTTTTTGAAATTTTTAATTAATAAAATGCATTTTTGTCATAAATCAATTTCACAAAGGTGTACTTTTTTTTTTATTTTTGAAGATTTAAATTCATGATTTATTGATTCAGTAAGTTGATGCTTTAAATACATAGTTTTTCAGTAATAATGGGGATTGTTTTTTTAAGTGAATGCTTTTCTGTTGTTTGCTGATGAAAATGCCTGTGAATTCAGATCTGATTTACATCTCAGCAGTTAAGGGGTAAATGATATCTAAATGGCAACAATTATGTCGTAATTCCACAAAAATCATTTTAGCAATAAAACGTCTATATTATAACAAACTGAGAGGCAAAGTTCAGCTGTAATATATCGGAGCAGTTTACGTAACAATTGTCCCTCTGTACCTGAATACCATATCGATATCATTCAATAACACTTCTGTGAAGCTAAGGTAACACCTTGTGCTCAGCTCTTAAAATAAGGAATAATGTTCGCTACGTTACTGCAGCCAACACGAAGTCCAATGGCCCGGCCTTGATTTCTGTGGCTTTATGTCAGATTTCTTAAGAATTTTATCCTGATGTATGGATCTTTATCATGCTTTACTAAGAACCGTTCCTTTTCAGTCTGTGTAATTGTCCGTAAAATGAACACACATTGATCCTAGTTTATTTAGGGATGCATCTTTTAAAGGCTGCCCCGATTGTCACCCGAGTGTTAAATGGTTTTACACCAGAATTAATTGTAATAAATGACTCATCTGACTTTGTAACAGATTTAAGGAAAAGGGTCCCTCAACATGTAGGTATATTACACCTTGATGTTTACCTGAGCCCTCGTTTGTTTCACACAGGTATGATAAGTTATGGCAGTGTGTACACAGCATTGAAATGCTAACATGACGATAGAAATCTTGTTCTGAGAGATAAGACAAAATTTTTGACTTTGATCTATGAAAAGAGAGAAAACATTGTTTGCCAGATAAGTTGTTTTTCTCCCTGCCTGTACACTTGTGTACCTGTTCAGGGCAAACATGTTAAATTATTAGATTTAAAGTTTGGAATTCTGATAAAATTCTTTTTTACTCATCTAGAAAAAATTGTGTCAGTCTTTAATTTTTATGTGTATAAATAAGAGTTTATTTTACACAAAGTATGACTACTTCAGGTTGTTAAAAGACTCTCGCATTAATTTCATGCATGGAATATCCATACTTGGACCAAGGTTATCTTTTTGTGGAAAAAACAATGTTGCAAAGAGATAATCTTTGGATAGACAAGTAAGAATCCAAGCCTCCAGCCCCCCCCCCCCCCTTTTCTGAATGCTTCAATATGTCCTTTTCACTATGAATCCCTCTCTATCCCCCTTATTTCTTAGTGCTTTGATCAGTACACCCTTACCCCATTTGAACCCCTTTAAACCCCCCTCTCCCCCCCCCCCCATTTTTGAGCACCTCAGTATGGCCTTGACCTCACTACCCCCATTGTTTCTGAGCTTGTCAATCATGCCCTTCATTCCTAGGTCACTCCATCCCCCCATCGCAGCTTCTTCACTGCTAACCCTCTGTAATAAAGTTCACACCCTGTGTTACTAAAACTCAAACAGAATCTCAAAATCTTGGCCCATTGTGTTATAAACCTAAACCAATAGCTTGTCTTTATTGGATCAAAGAGAAAAACTAAACCTTGCTATGGCAAGGTGTACCAAACACATGGGAGAAAGGTGTGTAACTGGTTAATTATTAAAGCCTGTTGTAATAATAACATTTTAATTTTGTCATCCCAGAACTAACACAAGTTGTATTTTATCAGCATTATCAGGAATGGATTAATGGTCATGAATAATTCAAAGTTTTCTGAACATGTAATTTATAATCATATACCTGTTATCAACTATCTAACTTAGCTCTCTCTCTCTAATTTATATTGATATACCTGCTATCAACTATCTATCTTAACTCTCTCTCTCTCTTTCTTTCTAATTTATATTTAGATGATTAATAAGATATACCTATCAACTACCTATTTTTTTTTTCTCTCTCTCTCTGGCTTTGATATGTAAGGACATACCTGTTATTTACCTATTTTAACTCTCTCTCTCTCTCTGATTTATAATGATTACCTGTTATCAACTAAACCTATCCTGATTTTTTCTCTCTCAGACAATTATTTGCCATTGTGTAACCACCGCTGTAGACCATGACTTTGTAATTTTGCATTTAAAGACATATGAAATGTCAACCATCTTGTAATTCCACGTTCAGCACCGTTACTGCTGCTGCAGAAAAATGTGTGATGATGTGACATTTTTAGAAGTTCAAATTCATCTCAGATAGACATTCTGAGGGGCAAGGAAATGTAGTTAAGGTTTGAAAAGTGGTAAAAGGAATTTCCTCTTTGAGAAAAGTTTCTAAGATTTGGCTTTTTTTCCTATTACAGTTTTCATTCTTTTTATACTATTACTGGTAATAGGAGAAGAGGTTTGATTGGAAATTGGAATTCATTACAAGAGGAGCCAAAACTGCAATTTTCCAATTTATTGATATTCTGGAGAAATGAATACGTTGAAGAGAATTTAATCGTAAGAGATTGCCAATTTGCATGACCTGGGGAAATTTACGCATAAATTGATACAAGAAAAAAAATAGATTGTACCGTTCAATGCTGGATGTTGTAAAAGATACCGAGTTATCCATATTACATGACGCAAAAATTGATACCAAAAAAATAGTTTTTATCGTACAGCTTAAACCGTACAAATCCACAGCACATGGCCATGGGAAATTTATGCATAAATTGATAGGGAAATTGAACTTGTATTTAAACTGTTGTAAAAGATACTGAATTGTAGTCTTTGGTGTACATATATATTGAGGTTTTGTGTTTGTTCATATCCACATCATATCAAAGTCTTATGTGTATTTATCCACATTGCATTTAAGTCTTGTATATACATACCCACAACTCATTTAAGTCTTAAGTGTACATATATACATCACTTTTAAGTCTTGTGTGTAATATCTTTATCTTTTTTAGGTCTTTTGTGTACATATCCACATCACATTTAAGTCTTGAATATACATACCCACAACTCATTTAAGTCTTAAGTGTACATATATACATCACATTTAAGTCTTGTGTGTACATTAATCTACATCACATTTAAGTCTTGTGTGTACACTAATCTACATCACATTTAAGTCTTGTGTGTACACTAATCTACACCACATTTAAGTCTTGTGTGTACATTAATCTACATCAATTTTAAGTCTTGTGTGTACACTAATCTACATCACATTTAAGTCTTTTAAGCACAGTAAAACTCGTTAAGTACAAACATAGGTAAAGCAAATTTATGGATATAGCAAAGCTTTTTGGGATTCCCACAAAATTCTTACCTTTTTTGTAAAATTTTACAGTTATAATGAACTCTGATATAGTAGCAAATTTACGGATATTGTGAACTGATTTTTTTGTCCTGTAGATGTTAAATATAATGAAATATATATTTTTTATAATAAATATTCAAATATCTCAAAATTTAGAATATCAAAAGTGACATTATTTTTTGCAAGTATTTATATTTGAAATTCAATTCATCTGAAAACTTTAATACTCCAAGGCAAACTTTGTATTTAATACTTCTCAGAATATTTTTTAGTAGTCATGCTTGGAGGAAAACATCTATATTGCGAATTCTCTATACATATACTTTAACAAACTCTGTATATGGATATAACAAATTATAGATAAAGTGAAATAAACATGTGGATCCCCAGGACTATGCTATAACTGAGTTTTACTGCACATATACACATCATATTTGTTAAGGCATGCATGTTTCTTTTGTTGTTTGTGTAAATATCCAGCTCTCGGAAATTGTTACTGGGTTTTTCATAGGAAATTCTGGTCATTCAAATGGTGAAACTGGCAGATGGCTGCCAAATGGATAAATCATTTGTCCCAGTGGTTTAGGAACTTTTTTATTTGCATGTCAAATTGTACATTTATCATAGATGTCTAGTACTTGGATTTTAATTTTCGATAAATTTAATGAGAAAAATCCCAGTTGTTGAACTATAGACTTTTTATGCAAAATACTGCATATAGGGTTCATTATATAGGCTACAATTAACATTTCTTTGAAAAGGGGGGGGGGTAGAAGAACCTGATAAATCAATGGAAAATGAACTGCAAAGTCATACTTTATAGGGAGAAAATAATACAGTAGAATGTCCTAATATTTCCTTACAGATCTGAGATGAAGAAGAAATATGATGCCAGTTTGTATAAAGATGACAGTCAGACCAGACTCTTGACTCTCTACTTAGCCATGCTTCTGAACAAGGGAGATCACTCTGGACAGTACAAGGGAGATCACTCTGGACATAGAAGTCAATATAAGGGAGAGAATTCTGGTTATGGTTCAGGACATGGGAGTCTTCATCAGCAAATACTGAGGAATCTCTGGAGTCTTCCTGTCCAGGATGAAGTAAGTGTGAAGGATATAGGTTATAGGGTCATAGCTGGTATAGGTCATAGGGTCATAACTTATATAGGTCATAGGACCATGACTGATATAGGTTATAGGACCATGACTGATATAGGTTATAGGCTCATAACTGATATAGGTTATAGGGTCAAAACTGACAGGTTAAAGAATCATGACTGATATTAGTTATAGTATCATAACTGATATAGGTGATAGAATCCTAACTGATATAGGTTAAAAAATCATAACTGATATAGGTTATAGGACCTTGACTGATATAGGTTATAGGGTTATAACTGATAATAGGTTATAGGATTTTAACTGATATAGATTAAAGGGTCATAACTGATGAAGGTTAAAGGGTTATAACTGATAGGTTAAAGAATCCTAACTGATATAGGTTATAGGATACTAAATGAATGTAGCCTAAAGGATTATAACTGATATAGCTTAAAGAATCATACTTTTAGTTTATATTGCTGAAGGGATCATACATGTCGTTTATATAGGGTAAAGGATCATAATGTGTGTGATTAAAGGATAATAGCTTATACAAGTTTAAGAATCATAGCTGATATAGGTTTAAGAATCATAGCTGATATAGGTTTAAGAATCATAGCTGATATAGGTTTAAGAATCATAGCTGATATAGGTTTAAGAATCATAGTTGATATAGGTTTAAGAATCATAGCTGATATAGGTTTAAGAATCATAGCTGATATAGGTTTAAGAATCATAGCTGATATAAGTTTAAGAATCATAGCTGATATAAGTTTAAGAATCATAGCTGATATAGGTTTAAGAATCATAGCTGATATAGGTTTAAGAATCATAGCTGATATAGGTTTAAGAATCATAGCTGATATAAGTTTAAGAATCATAGCTGATATAGGTTTAAGAATCATAGCTGATATAGGTTTAAGAATCATAACTGATACAGGTTTAAGGATCATAACTTGTACACTCAGGATACAGGATCATATACATATACTTTTACAGCCAAGTCAAAGAATCATAATTTGTTTTATTTTTAAATAAAGGTTAGGCTCAAAACCTCTTTTATTTACTTAAATAGGTTGAAGTGCTTCAGACATTGCAGGCTTTGGTGCAGCTGACCTCAGATTCACATCAGGTGAGTAGACACTAAATTAGACATTGCAGGCTTTGGTACAGCTGACCTCAGCTTTACACAAGGTCAGTAGACACTAAATTAGACATTGCAGGCTTTGGTACAGCTGACCTCAGCTTCACACAAGGTCAGTAGACACTAAATTAGACATTGCAGGCTTTGGTACAGCTGACCTCGGCTTCACACAAGGTCAGTAGACACTAAATTAGACATTGCAGGCCTTGGTACAGCTGACCTCGGCTTCACACAAGGTCAGTAGACACTAAATTAGGCACTGATCATCAAAACTCCTGTGTCTGTTATGTATAGAAAGAGTAATAGTGAAAAGTATACACTTGAAATGTCACTGAATTGGAAAATGAGATAAACAAAAGATTGATTTATCAATATCATGCATGAAAAAACCTCCAAAAAGAACACAGTGGATTAATGGGGATTTCCAGTGTAGTTGTAGTGAGCTGATTTCAGTCAGGGAAATCAAAACAGGAGGACATTATCGAGGGATATGATGTTGTCATGTAAAGATCTAATTCAATTTTCCTGATGGCTCGACTTGTGAGTTAGATCTGTAGCCGTGGACATTCGGCGTCTAATCCCATTAGGTCTGTATTTACTGTATCTTGTCTACTGACTCTGTGGAACTGTCATATAATATTACAGAGTCTTTGTGAGATTCAAATTCTGCATTAATGGGTTTGATTTGGATTTTGGGAAGGAGCATTAGCATTTGTACTTTTTTTTGCTGTAAATTCAGTTTTTGGCATGTTTAATTATTGTGATTTCATTCAATATGCCATACCAAACAAGGAATCCCCCCCCCCCCAAACCTATTCTTTCACTTTGAGCATTTATGGCAGAATGGGGGGGAAGGGGGGGGGGAAGAATGTTTTGTACATTTTAGATAACTTTATTTTTAGAATTTGAGGAAAATCTTGTTTCTACTTGTTCCAGGTTCTTTCATTAACCTTGAGTTTAGAATCCTCTCCATCCAGTGTTGGGAAACAAAGCCGATTTGTCCCCCTCTAAGTCTGACGGTGTTACCCACTAAGTCCTTGTCAAGATCTGACCGCTTCCTTTGTCAGCTCAATGGGATTTACCCAGAAAATGCTTCTGTAATCCGATTGGTTGATGGAATCCAATTTGATGGAGAGTGTTTAGAATCAGATCTTTTTTTGTCTTGCCAATTTGCTTGTGCTCTTCATTGTTTTGTTGTCGTGGGTTGCTAAGAAACTGTGATCATGTGACCAGTTTTAAGGTGAAGGTTTTAACTTTTAACTGAGTCTGAAGGATATAAGATGAGATGGAAACATTTACTTTTCATCAGTGGATTGACTCATAATTTTGTAGTCTTTTTATGGTGATCTTTTACTGTAACCTGTTTTGTTCCCTTAATTCATGCCATGGTGATTGAAATAATTTAATTTAATTAGATTTAGTTCATGTGAAAAGGATAGAGACTTATTTAATTCTGGTGTGTACAATGCTTATACAGAGATGAGAAGTTGGTAAATAATTATTTTAACAATTTTCGAGTCTGACCCTCCCCATTTCCATGGATAAGAATGTATGGGGATTTTTTTATTGATTGTTGTTGATCAAGACTTTCCTTTAAGAATTCAGATCCGACATGTATCAAATATTCTTCCTTTTATCAGTCGTTTTCACCTGTTGTATAGATATCACGAAAAATTCAATAAAAACTCGGTGAATTTATTGGACAGAGCAAACAGCCCTAAAGTCAGAAAACAATTGAAGGCCGTTATCTCTCTCAGCAAACAAAACTTATTTAATTATCCCTGACTAATTTCCAATCTCCATTCTCATATATTTTCTTATCTTTGTTAGAAAGTTGTTCATGGATGGCAAGAAATCAAACATAAAATAGCCTAATTGTCTTACTGTCAGCCATTTTTATGGGAATCACAAAAGAGTAGAGATTTTCCTGCAAGTTGAACTATTAATTAGAATTAATTCTGATTCCTGAATATTTTTCTTGTTTCTTTTTACTGCTGCAATAAAAATAAGTAAATTTTAGTCATTGACAACATTTTATTGGTTTTCGATTATAAACATGTTAATGAGAGAGGAATAAACCTCAAAAATTATCTTACAAAGAAAGTTCTCAACATAATGTATGAGATCACACAAGTCACTGTGACATTCTGTTACCATTGATACTGTGGTAAAGCTCTGGCACTGTGGTGTTCTATGCAGAATTTACTATTTAGCAGTAGAACTCTGCCAATCTCTGGTAGAGATCTGTTATTTTGTAGTAATTAAAACTCTGCTATTCTGTGCATCTATTTGGCAGTAGAACCAATCTCTGGTAAAGCTCTGATACTGTGCTATTCTATGCAGAATCTACTATTCAGCAGTAGATCTCTGCTAAACTCTAGTAAACTCTGCTATTTTGTAGTAAAACTGTGCTATTCTATGCAAAATGAATTATTTAGCAGTTAAACTCTGCTATAATCTGTTGTAGAATTCTGCTATTCTATGTAGAACTCTGCTAGTCCATATGGAACACTGCTATTTAAAGTAATCAACTTTCCTTTAGTCAATTTCTGCTATTGTAATAGCTAAAAATGCTAATTTGAAGTAGAATCCTGCTATTCTTTGGAGAACTTTATTCTGTTCTATTCTATTCTATTCTACACCTTTATGAGGGAAACCCAAAAAGTATTTTTTTTTCAATGTCTTATAATGAGGATTGCTATGCAGTGCCTTGATTGATCTTTAGGTCGGTATTCTTAACAAATCACTGACCTTTTACTAATATTGATCTGTGTAATATTTGTAAGTGAATATTGAAGTCATAGAAGCCCTGGTTTTCCCGCCTTCTGTAAGAGGCCCTAGTAGACAACAGTGATTTCTTGTACTTGTGTGTGCTTTTACAATATTGATTGAGAAGTTAAAGAAACTGTTTGAGTATTTTGTAATAGTGTGTTGCTAAAACAGAGCTGAAAACAATTGGAATATTTTAATCAATTAACAATAAAGGCTATTAACTTTTAGTATTAAGGTATGTAAGTATCTTAGTGTTACAACAGCTAGATGCATATATAACATGGATTTAGTTTATCTACAAACATGACAGAGAAAACAATTGTGTAAAAAGTAGGGGGGGGGGGCATCAGAATGCTTTATACTTTTTCTATCTAAAATGAAGCAGTGCAGTAAGAGAAAGGTGTATTTAAACAATAAAATGCTTTCTTTTAAGCGGGTTATGCGAATTTTTTCTGCCATAGCTGCGATGTTAATTCCCGTACTAACAAACAAAGAAAGACATTTTATTGTTTATATTTATATCTTTTTTAAAAAAAAAACATTCAAAGTAAATTGAATATGTTAAATATTGTATTATAGATGTGTATGTCATTGTATGCATAATTGATGGAACAGCTGTTGCTTAAGAAATCTATGCAGGTGATTTGCTAAGTGTCGTTTATGGACTGATTAATGGCAATCGTTTTTATAAGAAATAAAGGGAATAATATTCAGTGGATGTAACTATAACCCGATACCACCCAATATTTGACTAGGTGAAGGATATATACCCTGATATAACTCAATATTTGACTAGGTGAAGGATCTATACCCTGATATAACTCAATATTTGACTAGGTGAAGGAGCTGTACCCTGATATAACTCAATATTTGACTAGGTGAAGGATCTTTACCCTGATATAACTCAATATTTGACTAGGTGAAGGATCTATACCAAGATATAACTCAATATTTGACTAGGTGAAGGATCTATACCCTGATATAACTCAATATTTGACTAGGTGAAGGATCTGTACCCTGATATAACTGGATATTTGACTAGGTGAAGGATCTTTACCCTGATATAACTCAATATTTGACTTGGTGAAGGATCTATACCCTGATATAACTCGATATTTGACTAGGTGAAGGATCTGTACCCTGATATAACTGGATATTTGCCTAGGTGAAGGATCTATACCCTGATATAACTTGATATTTGACTAGGTGAAGGATCTTTACCCTGATATAACTCGATATTTGCCTAGGTGAAGGATCTATACCCTGATATAACTTGATATTTGACTAGGTGAAGGATCTTTACCCTAATATAACTCGATATTTGACTAGGTGAAGGATCTTTACCCTGATATAACTCAATATTTGACTAGGTGAAGGATCTATACCCTGATATAACTCAATATTTGACTAGGTTAAGAATCTACAGCTGTTACTAGAGGTTGACTCTATTGACCTATAACTTTTGTGGATGTCAGTTTTTGTTCAATAATCATCTATGGATTGTTTGGAGGATTACACAACTCTAAAATACAGAGACTGAATTTGAAGTTAAAGAATATAAGGTATTGTGTTGGATGTTAATACCACGAAAATAAGCTGTTTGTTTTATATGGTAAGTTTTTTTTTTTTGATGTTTTACAAAGCTATGAATCTATATTATCTGTCACAAATATTGAAAATTTTTTTCAATTTAATCATAAATACTTTTATAACATTACCAAATTATTTTTATTTTATTTCAGACTTCTATTCATTAGTTGTTATTTCCTTTTCATGTTGTTTTAATAAAAAGGTAGGGAGAACTGGAGTGTAATGGTTTAAACATCAAGGTTTGTTTGGTTGGTTGGTTATTTAACATCCCTTTGAGAATTTTCCTCTCATATTGGGGTGCCACCACTTGCCAGTAGAGGGCTGCAAATCTAGAACAGGTCCTGTACTCAGCACTTACGGCCTTTGAGGAGTGAGGTATCTTTGTTCGTGCCAGCACCTACTGTGGCACGGGACCTCAGTTTATACAGTCTCATCTGAAGGACTGGTCTCCATGTGGCACAATGGATTCAAACCTGCAACGTAAGGATCAACTCCTGACATTGCAACACCAGAGTGAATGCTCTCACCACTGCGCCATGCAGGCACCTATATAGAACCTTGGGTGTTTTTCTTGTAAACTCTTTATAAATTCCTTTTTAAATTTGTGTATCATTGAAGTGCAAACAAGTGTCACAGTGATAAAATGTCACATTTTTTGGTGGAGAAAAAATATTTATAGTAACAATATTAAAAGCTTTAAGTGGTAAAAGATTGTAAGGTCGTCGGTTGCACAGGTATACATGCAAATAGTGACAATAAAAAGCATTATTCAATTTTTTTTTTTGCACAATTTTTGTTTGACACCTATTATCTGTTTTATGGGACCATGAAGTGCAAAAATGATCATTCGATGCTTAATTGAATGAAAAGCTTTGAGATTCCATTGATAGCATTACACCATTCTGCATCAGTATATAGACTTTGTAAGATTGAATCAAAGATAATATTCTAACTTGAATGCAGGTGCAGTGTGTCTATTTTTGTGGAATACAAACTCAAGGTCAATGGTTAGATTCAATGTCAGTGGGTTTTTTTGTTTTTTTGTTTTTTCTGTATTTTACAGATTTTATGATACATGTACTTAATATGAACTCTGCATTTGACACATTAAACCCAAGAAATGTTACGTAGCTGCAGTATTTAAAGTTCTTCAGAATATTCGGTTAAAAACATTTATGATTAAAAACACTTGACACTATTTGACCTCTAAAAAAGGAATATAGTTCAAAGAATGATGTTTTTCTTTGATATAGTGCCTTTAAATTGAACTTCACATCTGCATGCTGTTCAAACAGAATGGACAATTACGATACGGTTACTGTTAAAGTCAATAAATGTTATGTCAACAGGCATATATTGACTGAGATACCTCACCCAAAAGAGTGTTTCAATAGAAAAAAAACGGTAATGTTGAGTGATAATTATACAAGACAAGGGAAGAGTCATTGTTGACCTTCTTTGATCTTGAGGAATACAAATTCTATTTGTTTTCTTAAGCTGTGTGCTGTGGTGACCTTAAAGGTTTATGAAACATGAACCTTTTAAAATGGTATACTTCTGAAATTTAATTTATAAATATTATAACAGTTCCTTCTAAAATTTAGTCGAGTTTGAACCAAATACTATAAGAGGATAAAAACTACTGTGTAAATTGTTAATTTGATTTTTAAATATACCTGGATTTAGCAGGAGGATGGTGATTGAGTCCCAATTAGACTCTGTGGATAAATCTCTCATTGTGTCGGAGTGAATGAGATTGAATTCTATGAGGCTAAGAAGAGACATGGAGTCAGCCTGCATGTTAGAGTAGATTATCACCGAGTTTGATTGATCCAGAGCTCAAATTCATGCTTCTGTCTCGGGGCTTGTCATCGCCGGGTGAAAGTCACGCAAAACTTGTGATGCTAATTTGACAGTGATAAGGTCTTAATGGATGTATTATACAGTTTCAATAGATATCAGACTCCATGATAACAGAAGTCTTGAACTCCATACAGAAGTCAGGGACAAGACAGACAGACAGAAAACTCAAAATGTACATGTATTAAAGAAGATTATAAAATGATTGCTCAGTTATTGGGTGTAAAGTCATATGTGTTGTTCCACTTTGAGAAAATTGGTTTATTTTTTTCTGGATTTCTAATTAATTCTTTACCCTGGAATTTTGGATTTTCATACTGATTTCATTGTAACAGTTTCTGGCTGTTTGATTTTTAAAATGATTTTCCCTGAAATACTTTAAAGATTTGAGATTGATTATAAGGCACTCATGTCTGCTGTTTGGTCCAATTCATTCAATAAATAAAATATTTTTATAAAACAAAAAAAAGGTTTTAAGAGTTTTTCAATGTAAGTAATTGTTTTCTTATTTCAGATGAGTAAGGTATCCCTCAGTATGTCTACATCATTACTACAGAGCCTACTGGAGAAATCTGTGACCTTGTACACTAGGAGACAGTCCCCCATACAGGGCCTCCTGACCTTGGCGGTGGAAGCAGGGTCAAATATTGTCAAGGCCATTTCCATGGCAGCCATTTCTCGAACAGATCTGTGGTTCTTCAGAGAGAAACTGGCCCAGAGTATAAACGCATTGGAAAGATTTGTCAGGGTTAGTTACTGTATTATCTCATTAGATATATTTGTCAAGGTAACTTTTAACCTTTTGTAATGGTTTGGGCTTTTGATATCAGCCTGGGTAGCTCAGTCGGTAGAGCACCTGACTAGTGATGCAGGGGTCCTGGGTTCGATTCCTGGTCCAGCCATAATTTTCTCCTTTCCTGTTACAGATTTGGTGCCATTGACCAGCCCTGGACTTGCAGGTGAAATCCTGCCAGGGGTTAATAAGAACTTAGGTTGTGTCTTCGAGGGTGAAGACAATTTAAGGAGGGAGGAATGTAATGGTTTGGGCCGTGGATATCGGCCTGCATAGCTCAGTCGGTAGAGCACCTGACTAGTGATGCAGGGGTCCTGGATTCGATTCCCGGTCCAGCCATACATTTTCTCCTTTCCTCTTACACTTTCTTGAGTATCTATTCACCAAACTTCTTAATTATATTTGGTCATGTATTGTTTTATAGACTATGTAATGAGTATCTATTCACCGAACTTCTTAATTATATTTGGTCCTGTATTGTTTTATAGACTATGTAATGAGAACAGCTCATATTTATTCTTCAATTCATCTCAGGATTTTTGTCCTTATGATTGTTGAAATCACAAGTTCTTTTTTCATAAGCTAATTTATCCTTGTGTTTTAGTTTTAAGTCGTTCATTATTTCACATGAAATATACCCAGTCTCCTTCTATATAGAATTAATGGTTTACCGACTCTGATAGAAGCTAAGAGCTGTGGTTAATGATAGAACAGCTGTGGTTGAAGAGGTTTCCTATGACTTTCATGGTTTAAAGATAACGCTTCGACCACATTAATCAATAAGGGACTGAGGCAGACCTATTTCAGGTTTCACTTTGTCATTGATGCTGAGATTGCCCATAAACAGAATTGCTTCTCTGTAACTAAACAATTTCTTTCAAAGGAAGGAATTTACCTTAAGTGTCGCCTTGACAACCATGTTTGTGGAACATTAGGTAAGGTTATCGAGAGTGTGTTGACGGTAGGACGAAAAAAATACAGGCTGTTCTGTCCAAACAAAATAATTAGGCAACAGTCATAAAAGAGGAAAAGTATAGCTTGATTGCTGAATCAATAGATTTGACACATTCATCAATACAGTCCTGTTTTTTTTTTTTTGCGGTGGTGACAGGCTCTATAAATTTTCATATTCTTTTCCCTTTCTACTCTTTGATTGATTAAATAAAACAGCTAGAACCATAAAAAACAGCAATACTACTGAGATCATTAAATAACATTCTATTAAGAAAAAATAATGTGTCTTAAGTATTTCAATTGATTTAATCATTATTAACCCAATGGCTGTCTATCAATTTTTCACATTTTCACCTTTACAAAACCATTGGGCCAGATACAATAAAACTTGGATAATGTATCCTTATATAAAGGGGTTTAAGGAATAGTTAACAGACCCATAGAAATGGTTTCAAAAGTGGGGTAGGGGGGACCTCCCAAAAAGATTTGACAAGCCAGAAAAAAAAGAAAGAAAACTTAACTGTCCAAATTCTGGAATTTCCCAGTTCTTGACCTTACAGCAATAAAATGGAAAAGGGGGGGGGGGGGGCTATTCAGATTTGCTATAGCAAAATATATTCAGAAAAAAGTAATGGGTGCCCCACCCCCCACCATTTGGCAACTGGCTGCATAACTATATCATAATTGCTGGGAAACATAATTATATGGAGCAATTTATTTTGTGTTAAAGATATGCTTTATTTTAAATAAAAATTTTTGTAAAGAAGGTTAGAGAGCTGTGCAGTATGGCCCAGGTGAACCATTAATGACAACATATTTCAGAACCATTTTATCATATTGCATATTTTAGCAGATTTATCAAGAATTTATAATGAAACAAGAACTTAGTGAACTTTTCCTGAAAAAAAAACTGCTGACAGCATGGAATCCAATCTTTCTATTAAACCTAACAGTGACAGTGTGTATTGATTTAGCGCTAATCTCATAATTTATCATTAGTGTAGAACAAAGTATCATTTATAAACCCATGTACCATGTACCAACTGAGGAAAAATCTACTAGAATCACCATAAACCAACAATAATTATGATATACACCCAGAAGAAGTGGTTAAGTGTGGAAAAGTTCCCAGTTAATGATTGTAAAGATTGAGTAGTAACAATGATCTGTGCAGAGAAAACAGGAGTATTTTACAGTTATTAAATTGGTGGTGCATTCAGGTTAAGATGTGCTTTGAAGTTAAAGGAATAAATACAAAAGATTTGTTGAGGCTCGCTAGGACCTAATATTGCATATTGAAGTCATTTTTGTCAGGGATTAGTTAATACAAGTGTCTCTGCCAGGAATCGGCTTGGACTACCCAAGACTTTTAAAGGAATAGTAATAGGACTTTCTTGAAAAGTGTCTGTGCCAGGAATCTATCTCTTGATACTACTCGCCCTCAAATATTGAGTATTCTGTGTATAATTGGCATGGACTACCTAGGAATTTTTCAGAATTAGTAATGGGACTTTCTTTAAAAGTGTCTCTGCCAGGAACTGGTAAGAACTTTTTGAGACAATATCAGGGATTGGTTGTGACTATCTGAGACAATGTCAGTGATTGGTTGTGACTATCTGAGACAATGTCAGGGATTGGTCAGGGATTGGTTGTGACTATCTGATACAATGTCAGGGAGTGGTTGTGACTATCTGAGACAATGTCAGGGATTGGTTGTGACTATCTGATACAATGTCAGGGAGTGGTTGTGACTATCTGAGACAATGTCAGGGATTGGTTGTGACTATCTGATACAATGTCAGGGAGTGGTTGTGACTATCTGAGACAATGTCAGGGATTGGTTGTGACTATCTGATACAATGTCAGGGAGTGGTTGTGACTATCTGAGACAATGTCAGGGATTGGTTGTGACTATCTGAGACAATGTCAGTGATTGGTCAGGGATTGGTTGTGACTATCTGAGACAATGTCAGGGATTGGTTGTGAACTATCTGATACAACATCAGGGATTGGTTGTGACCATCTGAGACAATGTCAGTGATTGGTTGTGACTATCTGAGACAATGTCAGGGATTGGTTGTGAACTATCTGAGACAGTGCATTATTAATTTATATGGAATATCTTCTGTGTCAGGTATTTGTTTGGACCATCTAAGACAGTTTCTTTATCAAAGATTGGTGATATCTGTGAAATCCAAGGGACCAAGAAAATAAAATACTAAAGAAATAAGCATTTGGGACTTCCAAACCACTTCAACATATCCATGGTATTCGAGATACTGTAGATTCCTAAATATACGCAAGGAATAAATTATCGCGTAATTACGCGAGGAGCACCACTCGCGAAATAAAATTACTCGCTTTTATTTTTATGGTGCTTTAATGTATGTAAAATCTCTATATAAAATCACCAATTCGCGAATTATGTTCCCACGATTTGACGCCCTTGGGCCATTTCGCGATATTAAGTACTCGCGTAAAATAAGGAATTTACAGTATTCAGTGTTCAACTGTATTCAGTATTGATAACTGGGTTATTGATGGTTGAGTTATTCAGTATTGATAACTGGGTAATTGATGGTTAAGTTATTCAGTATTGATAACTGGGTCAGTAATGAAGACATGGTAATCTGAACAGCTGTTGCTACTAAAGGAACAAACATTAGGATCAGAGGGCTGTTGTAATGTTTGAGTTTCAGAACTGGACTATGTTCTAAGTCAACACTATTGATTTCTGAGGAAACAGATTTCCTTGTCTGAATGAAATCAGTGGTCTTTAATGTAGCTTAGCAGTTACTCATGATGTTTACTTAACATGCAGTAGAGGTTTTAAGAGTGTTTTTTTTTTTTATTAAAATAATGTTTATGCCTTCATTATGGAATGTCTAGGGCACATAGTATTATTTAAAATGTCTACCCTCCCATCAAGCCACCTAAATTAGTTTTTTGGACCTTTTTTTTGTACTTGCTGATGTTAAGCCAATTTTAAGCTTACAGTTTTTTTGTACTGAAGTTTGAGATTCGTGTTAAAAGACACACTTTCTTATGAGTTGTGACCCTTGAGTTTTCCAAAATACATTTGTCTCTGGGCTTTTTAGCTCTCCTAACTTATTTTATAATTTCATTTTAAAAGTAGTTTGAAATATTTAGTCATTGATTCCACATCTGAGGCCTTTTATTATTATGACAATCTCTCCTGAATCACATGATGTTATTTACAGAATAAACTTTTAATTAAAGAATGAGCTGGTGTTTCATTTGTTAACTTTTTCACAGAATGAGCTGGCTTATCAGTTGTTTGATAACTTTTATTTTACAGAATGAGTTAGCGTATCACATGGTTGGAGAATCACCAATCAGAACAAAGGAATCTGCTTACATATCAGCACAGGCAGGACTGTTTGAATTCCAGGACACATTCACGCTGAAAATTGGCCAATCAAAAATCATGTTACCAAAACAACTCGCATCCCTGAGTAACATACAGAATAGAACAAGGATTCCTAATGAGAACAGAGTTACTTCCCCTGAATTGCCTTCAGAAACAACGCGTCTGGTTGATTGTGTTAGAGTAGAGTTTCTTAGATATCACACAGATCCTTTCCAGTTTGTTCAAAAAGGAGGCCTTAGAGTAAGTAACCAACTAAAAAAAATATTATCCAATCAAAAGGAGAAACTTATAGGAAGAAACCAATCAAAATATTATCCAATCAAAAGGGGAAACTTATAAGAAGAAACCAATCAAAAATGAGAACTGAGAGGAAGTAACCAATCAAGATGAACAAATCAGAGATTGTTTAATGAGTCCCATAACCAATCAGAATGGGGGAACAAACATTATACAGCCAATCAGAATAAGGCAGTAAACGATCAATTACAATGATCTGAAAGAGAGATTAATTTGAACTTGAAAGTCATTTTTCTAATTTTTATCTTAGACTCAAAGACTCTTAATCCAAACAGATGTATACAAATAAATGATTGATCATAAATTATCAAACTTTTCATCATATAATTTATTTTAGTTTCATTCATCTGTAAAGATGGTCTGCTAACATTGAGATACAAATCTTTAACAATTTAATAGGATACATGTATAAATCACATGACTCATTGTGAACAATTTTGTTGAAAATTTTCCAGGTTAACACTGAAGTAACTACACTGAATGTTTATGATTGTCATGGTAACAGCTTAAAAAGTCTCCACGAAGATGACCCATTGACCATTCAGTTACCAAGGCGACAACAGAAGGTATATCTAACATAACACTAGCATTTTAAAAGAAAATAAATATGCGATGAGCAAATTCACAATCGGGAAGTATTTATTATCACGTAGTTATAAGTGAAGTCAAAATTTGTTATCTTAAAGTTGATAAGACAGAAAAAAAACCCAGAGATATCTGAGGATCTAAGATACTAAGGCCCTGTTCACACGGAGAGTTTAATTCAAATTAAACATAAGTTACTGCAAATTAAATTTGAACCGCGTTCACACGGAGAATTTAATGCGAATTAGTTTAATTCGAATTAGTTTACTGTGCATTAAATTACTTCGCATTAGCTCCGTGTGAATGCTAAGCGAAGCTAATTCGAATTAAATTCTGACGCATGCAAAATGGCAGAATTAAGTCACATGCCACATGTCGGTGGTCAGATATAGGTACTTGTTTTATTTTTGAGTGAAAAAGTATAGGAAAATTATGTTAATCACTGAAATGTGTACAAACATTATGACATTATGTCAAATGGATCTGCCCTGCATAAGATGATGTGATTTGCAAATGACGTCATAATAGCTTTACTGAATAGCCTTACTACATAGAAATAAAATTTTAATTCGCATTAGTACACTTCACATCAGTTGTCGTGTGAACACAATTTAATTTGCATTAGTTTAATTCGCATTAGTTTAGTTCGCATTAATTTACTGCGAATTAAACTCTCCGTGTGAACAGGGCATAAGAGTAAATTTCATACAGAAAACTTGGTTTGGTATATACTATCAACTCATTTGACATATCATTTGTATTCAAGATATCAATATTCGAGACACCAAAGTTCAGCTGTGTTTTGTTTTTCCTGAGAGTACTGGTAATGTAATAAGTTGTAGAGGAGGTAATTTAGATGATTAGGATCGTGTTGTTGTGTCATTGAGAGTCAGCAATGTCTCTATAATTACAGTCAATGGTTCCAGAGGGAGATCATTTTGATTTTAACAACATTATAATTGCTCATTAAAATACTTGAATTTCTGAAGGACAAATGACATTGCCATACTTGCAGCAGCAGTTGTGAGTGGGTGTGCTCAGGGAATGGTTATTAAATTATCAGCAAATGCTCTGTAGTACATGCTCTTATTTAAATATGAGTTAATGTAAAATTCATTGAAGGCTCGTCATCAAATACCTATTTCTCTTCAAAAGTCAAATGACAATTTTTCATAATTAATACATACACAAGCTAAATCTTGAAACCAGTGTCATGACCATCCATATATAAACCAAATCTGATGCTGATGTAACTACTTCTCTTCACCAATACATTATCTGTTTGTATGATAAATGACTGGCTAGTCAGATTTGGCAGACATTGTTCATTCTGTACTCAATGGTCTAAAGTGATGATGATGTTTTCAGCAGTGGAGTAACTTGATATGGCAGTCAATTTACTCCTGTACAAGTTTCTTAGAATGAGATGTCTGGTGGGAGTAAGACAGGAAGAGGCTTGTAATGAAAAATAGTCGTGAAGTGACAGTGTATAATACAGAAAGAATGTGTGTGAATGAGGTAGGAAAATAGTCCAGGATTGACAGTGTATAATGAATACAGAAAGAATGTGTGTAAATGTGATAGGGAAATAGGCCTGGATTGACAGTGTATAATGCAGAAAGAATGTGTGTGAATGTGATAGGGAAATAGGCCTGGATTGACAGTGTATAATGAATACAGAAAGAATGTGTGTAAATGTGATAGGGAAATAGGCCTGGATTGACAGTGTATAATACAGAAAGAATTTGTGTGAATGTGATAGGGAAATAGGCCTGGATTGACAGTGTATAATGAATACAGAAAGAATGTGTGTAAATGTGATAGGGAAATAGGCCTGGATTGACAGTGTATAATACAGAAAGAATGTGTGTGAATGTGATAGGGAAATAGGCCTGGATTGACAGTGTATAATACAGAAAGAATGTGTGTGAATGTGATAGGGAAATAGGCCTGGATTGACAGTGTATAATACAGAAAGAATGTGTTTAAATATGATAGGGAAATAGGCCTGGATGGACAGTGTATAATACAGAAAGAATGTGTGTAAATGTGATAGGGAAATAGTCCTGGATTGACAGTGTATAATGAAAAAAGAAAGAATGTGTGTATATGAGATAGGAAAATAGTCCTGGATTGACAGTGTATAATGAATACAGAAAGAATGTGTGTGAATGAGATAGGAAAATAGTCCAGGATTGACAGTGTATAATGAATGCAGAAAAAGTGTGAACAAACTGAAGGAAGAGATCATTACATTTTACAGTGTTATGTTGTATTATTATAAAGATCATATAGTGTGTTATCTTCAGCAACAACATTTCATAAAAATTTACATTAATACTGTACAGTATCTCATTAAATGGATATCTCCTGACAGATTACATTGATATCCCATGACGGATTACACTGATATCTCATGACAGATAAAACTGATATCTCATGACAGATTACACTGATATCTCATGACAGATTACACTGATATCTCATGACAGATTACACTGATATCTCCTGACAAATTACACTGATATCTCATGACAGATTACACTGATATCTCATGACAGATTACATTTACATGACATACCAGATTAAACTGGTATCTTGTAACAGATTGTACTGACGTCTCATGACAGATTACATTGATATCTCAGATTACGTTATCACAAGAGAGATTTATCAGTATCTCATCACCTTGAATTAATATCTGATTATATCTCATCATGGGAATTATATTACATTCATATCTCAGTACAAGAGAGATATCTCATCATTGATTAAATTAATATCTTGACATAGATTACATTAATATCTTGTCACAGATAACAATAATGAAACAAATTTCATTAATATTACAGATTCCACAGGAGACAGTGTATCAGCTACATAAATCCACAATGAATGTTCACCAATTCAACTTGACTAAAAGCAGCATCCAGCAAACACTGCACATACACATAAAGATGGTGCCAGAGACTCGCGGCAGGCTTTTCCCAACAGCTCTTCTCATTGGGTAAGACATACACTGTACATTTACATATACAGGTGACTCTCGATGGCTAGTACTCTGATCTCTCGAAGTTCTCGATCTCTCGAAGTGAACCTCCGGTCCCGTTTTTTTCTACTATATAACTAAGCAAATATATTTCCTATCTCTCAAAGTTCTCTATCTCTCGAACCAAGACCTGGGTCCCGTTACACACATTTCAGTGTTCTTTACTCTCTATCTCTCGAAATTTTGATTGCGCGTGTGCACACGCCGATCAAGCGTAAAATTAATGCAGCTTAGACTTACCTGGATAACAGTGAACGCCTTGGACTGGCATGGAGGTGTTAATTGGGTGTTTACATAGATGACACTATACCTGTGAGCATCCGAGTGTTGATATAATTAATTGGTTACAATTGGTAAACTATAAACGAATTGCTTCACAACTTATTTTGACTTGACAGTGAGACGATAATTTTTAGAAAATAATTTAAGAGACGTGTCAATAATTTTTTTATAGATTATGAAGTTTTATTAGAGTTTACATAATCCCAGTATGACAAACACTGCACAAGAAATCCTATCTGAAGAATTGAATACCCATTTAATATGAGAAATCTGTTGAAGGACCCGATGAAGCCCTGGGGGTAGCCACGCTGACGATTGCTATTCAGGTTTCATATTATTATGAAATGAGAACAAATAAATACTGAAACTTAAAGAGATCGTTTTATTTATTCAAAATACGATCATTGTTGTTGAAATCAAGTGAATTACCTGTAAAATACGAATGAAAACGTGCAAGGACATTATCGACATATACTTCCGGTATTTATAATAGTAGAACAATGATGATCGGAACTGAAAATTCCGGATTTTATTCACTTTCTATCTCTCGAACCCCTCGATCTCTCGAACTTTTCTTGCGGTCCCTTGAACTTCGAGAGATCGAGAGTCACCTTAGATGTCATTAGAGACTCAAGACAAACACTGTACATTTACATATAGATGTCAGTAGAGAATTGGGGCAGAGTAGAGACTTGGGGCAGGCTTTTCCCAACAGCTCTACTTATTGGGTAAGACATACACTGTACATTTTCATATAGTATCATTAGAGACTCAAGACAAGCACTGTACATTCATATATAATTGTCAGTAGAGACTTGGGGCAAAGTAGAGACTTGGGGCAGGCTTTTCCCAATAGCTGTACTTATTAGGTAAGAGAAAGACTCCAGTGTAGAAGTGTAGAGAACATTATATTGAGAATTCATTAAGGGTTTTTGATCTACAGGAAATTTAATTAGGGCTAGGGTTAATGTTAGTGTTAACGTTAAGTTTAGGGTTAATATTTGTCAAGGGGGACAGCAATGATTCTCTAGTTTGTCCCTTGCACCAGATAAATAACTGTTCCTCAGGTAGCACTAGGGTAAGGGTCAGGACTAGAGCTAGATTTAGGGATATTGATGTCGGTCATTGTCGAGGGGGGCCGACAGTCAGTTGACTGTACCAAAACATTGATGTCACCGAGGAGTGAATGTTTTATTTTCACCCCTCTTGCCCTACTCACAAGTGGGTGAATTTCAAACGAGGCGAATTAATAAAAACACAGTATAATTTCTTAAAAAAAGAATAAACAGAATTGTGATTGGGCAAATTTAAAACTGGGCAAAATTATTAGCAACTGTGAAGGGGCAAAAATAACACAGAGCGTAAATAACCCAGTATACAGTATTAGACAGTAAATTACTTGGAGTTTTTACACCACATATCATATGTGAGTATAGGACTTTCAGTGACAGAATTAAGGCACTTGATAAAGCTATCAGTATGTTGTAAGACAATTTACTCCTTAATCTTTCCACAAAAAACCAATTTCCTCATTACAAAAGCATTTTAAATCTTGCTCTCAATATCCTCACTTCTCAGTGGGGAAATTAACGGTCTAATTTAGACTTGTGATGCTTAGGGAATCAATGTTTGTCTTCATTTGTGATGTCAGATACCCTGTCTTAACACAACCACAGACTTCTGTCTTAATCTGCTGTGAGGCTCTCAAATCTTTTCCATTTCATGGCCAGATACTCCAATTCTCAAGGTTGTATGACTTTACTGTCACATTCTAATGAGCACTACATTGTAAATTGTGTCTGTGGGAAGGTTTTATAAATGAGTTCGTTGTTGAGATATGGCGTCTCTCTCTGATGTGGTTGGTCTTGCCTTGTGTTATCTCACCTTAGGTGATAATTGAGGAATAATATTTGTGGTTTTAAATCTAATCACCAAGTTGTACATGTATATACATATTTTATAGAATCACTCAGATAATGTCTGGTAGTCACACCATAGTATGAAGTCCTTACACAGCAATACAGCACAGACTTGTCACATCAAAGATATTTTTGGAATGGAAATTTCATATTTTCTCACAAATGATCATAGATGTACAATGATTTTTTTTTCATCAGCCAACACTTTGACATCTATATATGAGAAGTAAGCCTTTAAAAAAAAGTGTTGTTCTGCAAACGGGCCCGAAATTTTGGCTCAAACCTGTGAATCAAAAAAGGTGAGCAAAGTTTTTGGGTGGTTTGCAGGCAATCTGAACATCTGTGAAATGGTTAGAGAAGGACATTGTTGTTGAGAATGGGGGCTGGAATATGAAACAATTCGAGGGATGAAATTCTGATTTTTAGCTTATATGTCTGTCATTCACCTGTTTGTCTTGCTCTCTGTCTGTGAATTAGGTACACTGGGTTAAAAATGACTTTTACAGGTAAACATATTGTTTGAAAAAGTTCACACTCAATTTCTCAGAAACCTGTGATATAGAGCTCAGTCATATTTCTAGAAAGAATCTCCATTTTCATTGTTTATACATTAATTTAAATTTTTTAATTTATCATTTTAAATTGTAAGAATCTGCATATTATAATCATTAAGGGATTGCCATCTGTGTCTTACTGTCATCACACTTCAAATGGACTTCAATGGAAAATTTGCCAGATATATTCTGATTTGCAAGGGATGTCTTGAGTAAAAAAATTAGGAAATAAACTTGCTTGTTGATACACAAATATTACACCTATACAGTCTCATTCATGAAATTCATACATTTATCAAGCAGTTTTATATCTTAATGAATAGAGCAGAAATTTTCTCAGGGACTTGGTTATGAAGTCAACATTTGATTTTAAAAATGGAACATTTTAATTACTGGGTTACCAGAAATACATATCATGTTATATATAAAAGAGCAGGGCATTTTTGTGTATACAGGACGATTTTTTCTTTCCTATTGGTTCCTCCCAAATAGATCATTAAGAAAAGGTTAATGTGTAGATTTAAACTTGGTGTGAATCTATATCCACATTGCAGTATCAAAATGTTAATGGATTGTTAAAAGGGGCCACTAATGGTTACACTGGAATCTGTTACTGAGGGAGAAAAATCACAGTTAAACATAGAAGACGTAGATAAAAAAAACTATAACTGATGGGCAGGAGTCATGGAAACATCCAGAGTAATCTTCCGTGACTTATCAGAATCCTCTGATATATGTGTCTTCATTTTCACTGTTTTACGTAGAAAATCTAGTGACTGTTCTAAATTGGCATGAGAATCACTGTGCATGGTGTTTTAAAAAACGAAAATTTATCACCGGATGTAGAGCATTTGTCACATGACTGATTCCAGATTTAGAATATTTGTCACATGACTGCCACGCCTGTTATTTTGACTCATACCTTTTAATATCAGGTGAGCAAAGTTTCAGGTGTGTTGGTCTGTGGATGTACCACACAGGATCTGGAGTTACAGGTGTGTTGGTCTTGAGTTACAGGTGTGTTGGTCTGGAGTTACAGGTGTGTTGATCTGAAGTGACAGGTGTTTTGGTCTGTGGATTGATTGATTGATTGATTGTATGTTGTTTTACGTCCCATTCGAGAATTTTTCACTTGTATAGAGACGTCACCATATACCGGTGAAGGGATTCAAATTTAGACCATTACTCGGCACTCAGGGCCATTGAGCAGTGAGGGATCTTTATCGTGCCAACGTCTGCCATGACACGGGGCCTCAGTTTTTAAGGTCTCATCCGAAGGACCAACTTTCACTTCAAAGTGTCAAGCGCATGGCAAAGGAACAGTTGCTACCCATTTTTTATCGACTTAGGTCAGTCTCGGCCGAGATTCGAACTCACGACCTCCCGATCATGGAGCAAGCGCTCTACCGACTGAGCTACCGTGAACGATGTTGGTCTGTGGATGTTCCACATAAGATCTAGAGATAAAGATGTGTTGGTCTGTTGATGTACCCAGCAAGATCTAGAGATATAGATGTGTTGGTCTGAGATATGAAGATACAGGTGTGTTGGTTTGTGGCCATACCACACAAGATTTGGAATTACAGATATGTTGATCAGTAGATATACCACATAAGATCTGAACTATTTGATGAGTTGGTCTGTGGATATACCACCCATGATTTGGAGTTAACAGATGTGTTGGGCTGTAGATATGCGACAGAACATTTGGAGATACATTTGTGTTGGTTTGTCAATATACATCACAAGATCTGGAGTAATAATGTGTTGTGGATATATATACCATACAAGATTTGGAGTTAACAGATGTGTTGGTCTGTAGATATGTGACAGAACAAGATCTGGAAATTTTGTCTTTGTTTTGAAGACAGATCTTTATCATTTCTGACTTCTTCCAGTTTTAAAGAGAGGAGTGCTTTGGAGACTGAATTTATGCCTGACAAGGAATGGTCTAACTACATTGCTTACACATTTCTTATAGCCAAATTACTACTTACTTTTGAATGAATTACTACCGGTAGTTACTTTCACAATTAAAAATAATGCATAGAAATTCATAATTGTACAAATGTAAAAATGGAAACATTTGTTTTGTACATCAATAAACAAGAAAGTTTGGACAGATTGAACAGCATTAACATGCAAAGTATTTTAAAAAAGTAATCTTGTGTACAGACCTAAATTACCTGTATACATTGAAAAGAACACAAGAAAAGGAAAGCTTAGCTAATAATTTACCAATTCAATGGCAGCAAACAGTATACAACCTGGTACATGGTTTATTTCATAATGATTAACTATGTGCCTGTCTAGTAAGAAGACATACTCGTAATATATAAGTGATCCTTCACAAAAAATTACAGTTCTCATCGACTAAGGTAATGGTGAAGGATCAGAGTCGTTGTATTGACCATAAAATTTCAGAAATGTTGACTTTAAATGGGACTGTTGATTACCTTGAATCATCAACTTATTTGTCAATAGCATGCCTAGAATTTTTACGTACATAGAGCATGCTCTTGCATATTGTATCAACTAGGAGACATAAACTTTCTATGCAGATAATAATGGTATATTGCTACATAAATGAGGGAAGTTATGGAAATGCTCTAATATTCTTATCTGAATACATAAAGATAAAGAATCCTATTGGTCAACAGGTCCAAGAAAAGATTTGATTAGTTAACAAATACAGGATGTAAAAATAATAACTCTGATTAATTAACAATGGTAATTGATGTTTTAACATTTAATGATGGCAAATAATGGGAACAGTTTTTTAAAAAAAAAAAATTCTTGATTCTGAGGATAATGGGTACAATGCATATGAATACTTTAATTGGTAGAGTTATTTTTTATTATTTTGACTGGTTAACAAGTATTGTCCACTGAATCTGTTTTGCCAAAAGTAATTTGGACTTGTTAACAAACATCATTAAATGGATTTGATTGGTCAATAATAATTTTGATTGGTTAACAGATACAAGAACCATCCTACCCCTCAGAGGTTTCTCCTGAAAAAAGAAACTCCAGCTACAGAAAATGAAATCCAGATGTTTTTACCTGCTGGATACTTCAATGGTAAGTTTCTCTTATTTCTTACTTGTGGGCTACATTAATGGGGAAATCTGCTTACTTTATTTCTTACCCATGGGCTGCTTCTGTGGTTAAAAAAGGAAGCCTTTATATCTTTTGCACTACTTCAATGGGTAAATATGCTGAATTTGTTTCTAACTGAATGTGTTTGCTTCAGTGGTTATAAAAGGAAGACTTGAAAATATTTAGCCCCCTGTCAACTAAAGTGGTGGAAAAAACCATGGCAGTTAGCCAGATGGTGAGATAGCTCAGTTGGTAGAGCACCTGACTAGTGATTCAGGGGGCCCGGCTTCCAATCCTAGTCTGGTCTGAATTTTACTCCTTTCCTGTTACATTTGGTGCTCTGTCATGCCTTGGAAGTGACGGGGGAAAGATCTGCCAGGGAAGAGCCTGGGTTGGTGTCTTGGGGAGGGGAGGGGGGCCTTTAAGGAGGGAGAAATATGGTGGTCAGGCAGGTTCCATCACCCCTGAACAGATAACTCATTTGGTAGAGCACCTGAATGGTATAGTGTTTCAAGGGGGCTGGGTTCGAATCCTGGTCTGGTCTGTTGCTTTTTTTCTCTTTTCCTGTTGGAATAAAGGCATGGTATCTTTAATTTCATATTATAGGATATGTCTTAACCCACTGTTATGTCCAAAGAGAGCTAACTTGGTAGAATAAAATCTACATGTATATAGTTTTATAAAATACATCTGAGTGAATGTTATTTTTACTTGTAGGTATATCTTGTTTTGCACGGTAGAAAGACTCCCAACTTGATTCTAACAGCATGACATCAGAATGTGAATGTATGTGTGGATAAACAGATCCTTGTAACTGTGTTATTATGCATGTTTTAATGTTAAATCCAGGTAGTGTATGAAGACACACACTGATTCCAGATATAGATCCGGATTTTCTCTGGTAAACAGTAAGTTTTGCTAATTGTGATGAATGAATACATGAAGGTTGACCAAGGACATTCCTGTCCCTTTGTAAAGGTGAAAACTATTATGAGTATTTTGGTAAGTAGTAAGACCTACAAAAACCAAAGGACCTGAAGGAAATATTTTTAAAAAACAGGTGGCGTATGACATGACTCCATAATCATAAAACTCACAATAGGCAGGAGGACATGCATGAACAGGAAAAAAGGTATCATGGTAAAGGAAAGGATTTCTAGGTCATTATACATTGCTCTGGCGATAGGATATGTGTACGATGGAAGGATTTCAGGTATGGTATGACAAACAATGTTTGAGTAAATGATTTGGTTTTTATAGAAATAAAGTATGAATGTTGAAATAATCATTCTGTGTTGTTTTTAATTTGAGTTTTGAATGGCATGGCATCATCTGAAATAACAGTTTGGTATTTTTAAAACAATCAAGTTCAAATAACATGCATGTTGAGAGCAATGGACAACTGATTGTGGAAATCAAGGAAACAATAGAGGAATTTTTATTAAATTGTCTTGTTCTTTACCTGTTCCAGAACATTTTTTTCATATTGTTTTTTCTTAGGTTTTACGTTTAGGTTGAAAACAAGACAGGAAAAAAGTGAAGATAATGAACATTGATCGATCTCAAAAAAAAATCTACAAACTAAACAAATCTGTGAACAGGGCATAACACAGACCGACCTCCGGAAATTCCAGAGTTGGGATCAGAGGCCTAGAAGAGTAAGCATCCCTTGTCAATCAGTCACACTCGCTGAGAGCTCTATGTATTCATCAGAATATTCCGTAGTCAGATTTAGTATAAAAACAAAGGCCTAACAATTAGTACATGTATGAACATGTCAGCCAAAATACCATCCAATGATTGGGTATATTTGCTAACAAGGTCATTATAACGACCAGAGAATTTATGAAATATTGACTTTAACCAAGGATGTTGATAACACTGTATAATAAATTTATCTGTCAGTAGCCTGCTTCAGTTTAAAATTGATCATACTTGGACCATGCTCTTGAGTATCTAATAAGCTGGAAGACATAAGAGTACATTTAAAAAAATTCTGGCTTTTACATATGAGCATATTGGCACTTGCTTGTGTAAAAAATGGAACCCCCATACTATAATAATGTGTCATTGAATTTGAATTGCCATACCTATACTGGATTCCTAAACTACATAATAATTCTTACAAAAATACATTGCAAGTTCCAGTAAATGTTCTACCAGACCTTTTTGACTTTACTCCTCACTAAAATGTTAACAGCAGTGAAGAAGAAATTTGAGTACTGTACGACAACATATTTGAGAAGTGGTGTTAATCAGATGTGGATATTTAAAAACTGAACTTTTAGAAAATCAAAATTTTACCAAAATCAGTAACATCAAAACGTACGAATTTTCAATACCTTATACAACCATTCCTCACGATAAATTAAAGAAGAGGTTGTTAAACATCAGACAGCTGCTTTTTCGCTAAAAATGCATGGAACTTGCAAATTTACAGACCTTGTCATCTGAAAATTATTTTGTTAAAAACAATCTTATTCTTAAGACAAATACTCCGAAGTTGATGTAGTTTTTGGAGATCACGTCTTCCAACAATCTGTTGGAATTCCCATGGGTACTAAACATGCCCCGTTATTAGCAGACCTATATTTTTGTACTCATATAAAGCAAAGTTTATTCTTAAACCTACATGGAAAAAAAATTCTCACTGTGGCCTTCTATTCGACATTTAGATATTTTCAATTAACAATATTTTCATTCCTACATTGATTCGATATATCTCTTTCAACTCGAGTCGAAATAATAGCAGAGTCAGACTAAACTGTTTCATATTTAGATTTTTTACTAGAAAAAGATGTTAATGGTAACCTAACAACCAAACATTATGATAAACGTGATGACTTCAGTTTTTCTATCATCAGCTTCCCTTATTTATGTAGCAATATAATATTATCATCTGAATAGGGAGTATATGTCTCCTAGTTGATACAATACGCAAGAGCATGCTCTACGTACGTACAACTTTTAGGCATGCTATTGACAAATAAGTTGATGATTCAAGGTTATCAACAGTCCCGTTTAAAATCAACATTTTTGAAATTTTATGGACGATAAAATGACCATGTCAGCATATACAATCTATTATTACAATTGTAAGGCCAATTATTTCCACTCTGAATTGTGAAGAGGCAAATTTTAGTGCACTTGGATTAAAACTCTAGGAGGAGTAGCCTTTTGAAAGAATTTCACAGAAATGTCTATTTTTAGTAACAATGGCAACATAGAGTTATGTATCTTATACGGAAGTCTACTCATGTACCAAGTTTTATTTCAGATTGAACTTGCGCTGTAGAAGGAGTAGCCTTTTAAAAGAATTTCATAGAATTTTTTATTTTGGTAACCATGGCAACACCGTTAATCAAATTTAAAAAAAATATACACAACTATGTATTTTAGTTTAATGTACTTGTAAAAAATGGTTTGCTGAGATCAGACCAAAACTGGAGGAGGCATAGCTTTTCTTAAAGGAATTTCACAGAAATTTCTATTTTTAGTAACCATGTCAACACCGTTCATTGAATTAAAAAGTCGATAAAAAGAATTATGTATCTTTAGTGTAGTCTAATCGTCTAGCCGCGTGCAAAGTTTTATTGAAATCAGATCAAAACTGTAGGAGAAGCAGCATTTTAAAGAAATTTCACAGAAATTTCTGTTATAACCATGGCAACAATGTTCATTGAAATCGGACCAAAACTGTAGTATTTTGATAAATTGTATACAAACAGACAGACGGACGGATGATGGACACTTTACTTTCGCATAAGTTCTTTTGATCTATGACCAGTATAGAGCTAAAAATGGAGAGAAGAACCCGAGACCATTAAAAATGAATTATTTCCAGAAAATTCCCATTGTGTGGATGCGGTACTTCACTGTCGTTTTAAAATTCATACTATTTGAATAGCGATGATAGCTAGCTAGCTCAGTAATCTGCGTTACCAGTCGATCCAGTGAATTCAGGAATCGAGAAAGTTTTTTGTTCGATTCTCGCATGGAGCGTTATTTATCTTATGCAAACAAATTCAAACAAGCCGTTTGTCAGTTTAATTAAACAACGTTATAACATTTTAATTATATAACATGCCCGATAGCTATCTTACATAATTTAATTATATGTGTTTAAATTTTTAAAGAATATCCTTTATGATGAAGCCTATCGGAATAAATGGAGAAGAAAAACACAAAGTCATAGCAAATTATGCCACATTAGCGAAACTTTATAGCATCTCATTTTTGAATGTGAAAATGTTTTTCAAATATGGAGTGTATCACATTTTTAACTTAAAATAGATATTTCATGAAAACATTTAATGATTGGATTCTTCTCTGAGCGCAGTAGAAAAATTGTATCATTCAAAAAACTCATCTCTTATGCATGTTGTATATAGAATTTATAAGACGTATTGTCGACTATATTCCTTGGATCAAACCAGCTACAATACTTTCGGTCTTGTTAAATCTTCATTTTTTTAATAATTCAATTCTGAAGTCGTCTGTAGATTATACTTTATAAAACTTTTCTTCAAATATTTTGTTTAGGTTTATTACACTATAAACTGCCATCAAGTCCACAAAATCAGTTGTGGTGTCTGTAAGCATGCATGTGGGCATGAGTATGAACTGAGTAAATAAAACTTAAGTGAGGTGTGGAAAAGTTGCCTATTCTTTCATTGTATTCTACATTTAAATCCAATGATTTTGAATAATGTTTATCTACAATATATTGATGCTTGTTATAGAGAAATCTTACTTTATGAAATGTACATTAATCAACGAACAATAATCAAGCTGAAAAGTTTTTAAAACAACACAAATTTGGAGCAGAGCAAACACGGACCTCTAAAACACCAGAGGTAGGATCAGGTGCCATGGAGGAGTAAGCATCCCCTGTTTACCGGTCATACCCGCCGTGTTCTCTTCGTCATGATCAGGCAAACGGAAAAATCACAAAAAAGAGACTAAACAAAGGATCATTATTCTGATTATTGTAAATACAAAAATTTCATGTGACACTCCAAATCATTGAATTTTCACTTTTCAAGTCACCCAGATTCCTGGTGAATGCAAATCAAATGCGCCCTCGTTCTTCAGTGTCCAGTTTGTCATCAACATCTATAGTCTGTATAAGATGTAATTATGAAACAAATATGGCAGACTCCATGGTTCTCACTGGGATTTACCAAATCTACATAAAATTTTAGGCAATATGGAGAGTTTTGTTTTTGACATATATATTTGATATATATTTTATGATCTGTTGACGTTAAATTAAATAATTAAATCCTTCTCAGAGCCATGAGGTTCATAACACGGGTGTTTATATCCGGTTTTTATGGTCCTCAGCGGATGAGAGTCGTTGACTCATCCGTATGGGACCCCACTCTATCGCAGGTTAACCCCTAGCATAAGCCGGTAGCCATCGAAGATGGGTAGACTGAGACAAGACAGATAAAATGCCTTATCTGAGGACAGAACACGCAACATCATGTGCCCACAGCAGGGCTTGGATGAGCTAACCTTTGGGTTACTGACCAACACCTATATGACAACTGAGCCTGTTCTTCACAATTACACACGATACAATATCGAAATTGAAAGAATTTTAGGCTTAATTATGAGTGACAAATCAGCTTACTTTTGATAAGACAAGCAATTGCGTCATGCAGTGGTTTACATCTCTCTCCCTCCCTCTCTTATTTCATGTATTTGAAATTATCAGTACCTAGTGATTGCGTTTGATTTATGCAATTATGATTTTAAGCTTATTCTGTTTATATGAACATATACTTATGTACAAAATTATACTTTATTATACATACAAAATAACATAAACTGGTGAACTTAGTTGTAAATACAAAAAGAACAGGCGCGTAGCCAGAATTGAAATGATGTGTACGCAGAGAACGGCAGGGGATTGGGTGGGGGGTCTTGACCCCCCCCCCCCAACAGTGTTCAAGGGCTCTGGTCAGGCATGTTATAAAGTTTTTGCCAGCCAGGAAAAAATTACAACTTTAAAAATTTTGGCAAGCAAGGACGAAAAAGGAAGATTGTTAAAAAGTCCTATTTCTTGTGTGTGGGTGTGTGTGTGTTTGTGGAGGGGGGGGGGGGGTGTCCAACTTTCACAAACCAAATTTTTTATTAACAAGCATTCTGAAAGTATTGCATTAGCAATACTAGTCCCCTACCGGCAAGTGTAATCTGGTTCCCGTTAAGAATTGAAAATGCCATAATTCCTTCAAAAATCAATGAAGCGGGGCGAGATGCAGACTTGATCTATAACTAATCAAGGTAAAGTCACATACCAAAAATCAGCTCAATATCTGAAAGCGTTTAGAAGAAAATTGCGGAAAACCCCTAAAAATTGAAAAGGCCGTAATTCCGTCAAAAATCAATGAAGCGGAACGAAATGCAAACTTGATCCGTAACTCATCAAGATACACTCACATACCAAAAATCAGCTCAATATCTGCAAGCGTTTAGGAAAAAAGTGCGGAAAACCAAGTGGGACAGACTGACAGACAGACAGACAGACTGACGGACAGACAGACGGACGGACAGACTCAGAGGAAACCTATAGTCCCCTCCGGTTTCACCGGTAGGGGACCAATAAATTACCATGATTTATCAATGGTACAATAAAGAGTGGAGGTCCACCCTTTCAATGTAGTAAAAGGTTAGGTTTTGGGAATAAGTTGTGAATGGGAAGGGGGGGGGGGGGGGGGGGGAGGGCTGATACTACGTGCCTGCTGGTGAGGGCCCAGAAGCTCCGGAGTTTTACCAAATATTTCATTCATTTTCAGTTTTTGTTTAGCAAATAAAAGACATAGTAATATTTATTGTTTTAAGGAAAATTAATATTCCATGGAAACTTATTGTACATATAATTGAGGCTAAAAATTTAACCGATATATATTAACTGGTATCATATAATTTTCAATGTTAAAAACACGTAGGCCTATACAAAATTTCAACTATGAACAAAAAAATATCGTAAATCACACTAGTAGATCATAGCATTCAACGATGTGGCTGAAATTTAAGTTTTCAAAGATCTTTAAAAAAAAAATATCAATCTATGATAGAACAATGACAAAGTAATGAATGATTTATTTGGATTTGGCAGTTATTAAATAAAAGATTTCAAATTTTATTATACAGTCATGATAATATAAAATTTAAATCGACACAGTATGACACAGAATAATTTGAAACACGAATATTTGTTGAATGGTACTGAGATTTTTTTTCTCCGATTAATTCTCTCTTTCTTTCTTTTTTTTCTGAAAATGATGTGTACGCACTTGCGTATTTGCGTATAGGCAGCTACGCGCCTGAAGAACATAAACTGATGACTAAGTCGTGAATACAGAAACGAAATATCTAACTGGATCAGTAAAAATAATAATAGTATATAAATATCTGGATATGTATTTTATTTTTATCGTGTTCAATAATGTGGATATTCCAGTTTGTAATTCATTTTAAAGCATTAAATTATGCATTAAATCAAAGAGTAGTTTTCCCTTTTAATAAAGAAAAAATATGTTAAAAAAAAGTTTTTCCTTTAATTATAAAATATTTCATACTGGAGATACATGTATTCACTATAAAATATTCAAAAAATGGTTTTTATGCTTTGGATAGGAATATTTTTTAACTTGTGGCTCGTACTTTGGCTTCCGGATTTGGTGCTTATTTTACAGTTTTGAGTTGTTTCTTTAAGTTTTTTAGATTTGGTGCTTTGTAGCCTTTGACATGGTACTTCACATTTTTTTTCCTTAAGCCGTACATACTTTGTTATGATTTAATGCATCAAGGTCCTGATATCATGCAAGTCATAACCTAAATATCGTGAGGAAATGATGTAGAAATCAAACTGATCAAAATAAAAATATATTCATCACTGCATTACCAAACTGCAGTTATCTACTAGTTTACTATTAAAAATCTGAAGATCGAAAGTTTGATTTTAGTTTCATTCTCTTTCATAAACTCGAGCCATAGCTGATTCAATAGAAAATACGTAACTGACATTATGATTTATAGTTTCAGGAGAGTACTATCTTGGTTTCGTGGATGCTAAATATAACGCTGGTAGACCACGCCCAGGGGAGGTACAAAGTCGTAACTACACACTACAGATATGGCACACACAGTGTCTGTATTGGCAGGAAGACGAAACCCACTGGTCACATGACGGTTGCTGGACAACCGATAAATCAACGTATCACGTGACTCATTGCAGGTACTGACAATGACTACTTTATATCAGATGTCCATTTTTTCCAATTTTGTGGCAAGAAAGTAATATTCACTTTAATTTGTCGATGACTTTCTTTATAAATGTCAAAGTAAATCAAACTAATATCATCAAGACGACAAAAGAAATTTCAGTTTCAAAACTACTCGGAATATTTTTAAAGATATCTAATTACTAGTTGGTCTGCTATCAAAGCTTTGTAGTCGAACACAATAGAATACAATAGAAGATCTATGTAACCATCTTTTCGTAACACTTGTATGTGTAACCTTTAACAATTTCAGATGTAACCATCTTTCCACGTTTGGAGCGTTTTTTGGAGATACAGCGCCTGTGTTAACTCTGATTCCTGTAGAGACTTTCTTTGAGTGAGTATTAATAGAAATCAAAGTACTGAAAGTACTGATACGAGTATTAAAAGAAAAAACCACAGAACCTCATCAAATCTATTATCGCAGGTTCAATTTATGCCTAACAAGTTTTGAGGAAGATTTATAACATTATTTTATCGTCATTTAAGAGCCAGTCTAAGTTCTAGTTAAGTTTCATGGAATTCAAAGTTAAGGAAAGGTTAAACCTCCCTGCAATTTTATGAAAACTCTGTATGCTGTTCCAAGTTCTATATATTTTTTCCAAGTTAATGAAAGTTTTATATGTACTAAAATTGCTCACTTACTTTTTAAATCCTAACCGTTTAGGTTACAATGTTCTTTGTGTTTATATCCTCAGAGTCAATGTATTATTTATTCACCAGTCAAGTGATGACGTAGGTGATATTCTATCTTTTTTTGCTGGTCTGTCGGAGGATGCCAACACAACGTCAGAAAGGGAGTTAATTATTATTTTTCTTTCTGTTTTGAAATTCAGAGCCAATAAGAACTCTGTATGTATCACTATCCTGGTGATGGCGTTGGTTGTGTACTGCATACTTATGGTGGTCTGTCATAAGATGGACCAACACGATGCCAGAAAGGGAGGTATTCTGTATCTCAGAGATAACGCTGTAAGTGACCAACAGAAATATGAGATCATCGTAGAGACAGGCTTCCGGAGGGGAGCGGGAACGACTGCAAAAGTAAGTTCAATCTTATTGTGAAATCGCGCAATTTTTGTGGGGGTTTAATTTTCGTTGCTTTCATGGTGTTCAGAGACCCACGAATTTTATGTCCGCCACGAAATGTAAATTTTAGAATATGTAACAACTTAACAGGTCATTAACCACGAAATAAAATCCCCACGAGCCAATATTTTTTCATCAAACCACGAAAGTCTGATCACACGAAAATAAATAATTTTACAGCATTTATTAAATATTTTTGTGATGTTTGCTTTACATACCGTAAATAAAACTCTCAAGTGCACTTTGAACCAAAAAGGTGACGTCATTTTGACTTGTCTTCATGTGATACATGTAAACCAAGAATAAAGACATTTAAAATAATGTTTATGCTATGTTTTCGCAAATGAACTTTAATATAATCCGCAAATGATGTTCTTTAAAAAAATGTTGCACTGCACTGTGTCATAAACTATGAAAATTTGCAAATAATACTATTTTTCAATGTGTACGCAAAACCCAATCATGGGAAACTTTACAGTACTGTGTACTTATTTAACAAATGACAAGTACATAATAACTTGATACGACTGATGTGCCTGTCTTTATATTAGATAAGCATCATTCTTCATGGCGAAGAAGGAATGTCAGGAACAAGGGAGTTAATCAGTGATGATGACAGACCAATGTTTGAGAGGAACTCCAGAGACAAATTCATCTTAACGTAAGTACACACACACACACGCGGTCGCATTTACTCTTGTATTACTTGTTAGTCTTCTCCCTTAGTTACATATTCTTCAGTCTCGCTTTTATTTTTACCCTGAACTCTACTTACGGGCCAAAGCTTTAAACAAATATGACTTGTAATTGTAAATATTATATGCCTTGTTTTAAACTACATATGTAAGTGTTTCATTATAATTATTTTCCCTGTCAAGGGTTCAAAGAAGTATTGATAAGACCTTGGAAATTCAAATAAGATGCAGAAACTCATGATCTGTATTTACATGTTGTATATTTCGGTGTCACCAGTCTACTCGATTGGATATGCGAACATTAGTTCTTGCATAATGGTATGACAGATTATATAAATGTTCCTATGTTTGTTCAAATATGCAGTCATCAAATCTACGAAGTTTAGATATAGGACTTTTTCATGCTATGCACAGGCCCTTAGATCGCTTTAAAAAATTAAGGTGTTAAAAAAAATCTTTTTTATACACTCCAATTTTTTAAAGTCAGATTTAAGCAATCCAAAGGCCTGTGGCTATGAGTTTCAGAAAATCCAGATCACTGGTCAACATCTCATAATCTTAAAATCATATTGCTGGGGTTTTTTTTTCCAGACTTCCAGACAGTATTGGAAAGATCTGGAAGGTTCAGATCTGGCACAACAATTCTGGTTCCTCGCCAAGCTGGTATCTCAGTAGAGTCATAGTGAAAGACCTTAACAATGGTAATTAAATTTTATTGAGGAATCTTGGCAATGTCCTATACACAAGGAATGTCACTATTATGAGTTATTGCAAAGATATTAACACAGCTTAGTATGATCATAGTCAAGGACCTCAGCATTGCTCTGTTATTAAATAGTTATTGAAAGGTAACTTTCTTAGTATAGCTTTAAGATAGCCAGGTATTGAGCATTTATTTGCAAGATATCTTGATATGATCATAGTCAAAGACCTCAACAATAGTCAAATATTATACATGTATTCGGCCTAATTTTATTTAATGTTTGTCTTGTTTTAGAGCGGATGTTCTACTTTATTTCTGAGAAATGGCTCGCTGTGGAGGAGGAGGATGGAAAAGTGGAGAGAGAATTCCTGGCTTTAGACGGGAACCTTGGATTCAAAACGGTCAGTCATATCGCTATTATAAGAAAAGTGCTATAAAAACCTTGCAAAACCAGTACTTTGAGATTAGATTTTGAACTGAAAGATATGCAAATTAACATGTACATCATTTCAACAATATAAAGTAAATGTTTCACATATATCAATACTCATTTTCATTGTGTATTCATTAATTAAAAACATTCAGGTGTTCATGACCAAAGGTACCCAGTACTTAGCTGACTACCACCTGTGGATGTCTCCGTTTACTTGTCCCTCCTACAGTCAGTTCACCCGCACCCAGAGGCTGACCTGCTGTCTCACACTCTTCACTGTTTACATGTGTCTGAATACCCTGGTCTACCACTACACCCACAAAGAGGTGAGTCAATGATGTACAGTTTCACCCTCAAAGATGTGAGTCAATGATGTACCACTACTTACACAAAGAGGTGAGTCAATGATGTACCACTACATCCACAAAGAGGTGAGTCAATGATGTACAGTTACACCCACAAAGAGGAGAGTCAATGATGTACCACTACATCCACAAAGAGGTGAGTCAATGATGTACCGTTACACCCACAAAGAGGTGAGTCAATGATGTACCACTACACACACATAGAAGTGAGTCAATGATGTACCACTACACCCACAAAGAGGTGAGTCAATGATGTACCACTTCACACACAAAGAGGTGAGTCAATGATGTACCATTACACCCACAAAGAGGTGAGTCAATGATGTACCACTACACCCACAAAGAGGTGAGTCAATGATGTACCATTACACCCACAAAGAGGTAAGTCAATGATGTACCACTACACCCACAAAGAGGTGAGTCAATGATGTACAGTTACACCCTCAAAGATGTGAGTCAATGATGTACCACTACTTCCACAAAGAGGTGAGTCAATGATGTACCACTACACCCACAAAGAGGTGAGTCAATGTTGTACAGTTACACCCACAAAGAGGAGAGTCAATGATGTACCACTACATCCACAAAGAGGTGAGTCAATGATGTACCGTTACACCCACAAAGAGGTGAGTCAATGATGTACCACTACACACACATAGAAGTGAGTCAATGATGTACCATTACACCCACAAAGAGGTGAGTCAATGATGTACCACTTCACACACAAAGAGGTGAGTCAATGATGTACCATTACACCCACAAAGAGGTGAGTCAATGATGTACCACTACACCCACAAAGAGGTGAGTCAATGATGTACCATTACACCCACAAAGAGGTAAGTCAATGATGTACCACTACACCCACAAAGAGGTGAGTCAATGATGTACCACTACATCCACAAAGAGGTGAGTCAATGATGTACCACTACACCCACAAAGAGGTGAGTCAATGATGTACCACTACACCCACAAAGAGGTGAGTCAATGATGTTCCACTACACCCACAAAGAGGTGAGTCAATGATGTACAATGTACCACTACACCCACAAAGAGGTGAGTCAATGATGTACCATTACATCCACAAAGAGATGAGTCAATGATGTATCATTACACCCACAAAGAGGTGAGTCAATGATGTACCATTACACCCACAAAGAGGTAAGTCAATGATGTACCGTTACACCAACAAAGAGGTGAGTCAATGATGTACCATTACATCCACAAAGAGATGAGTCAATGATGTATCATTACACCCACAAAGAGGTAAGTCAATCATGTACCATTACACCCACAAAGAGGTAAGTCAATGATGTACCGTTACACCCACAAAGAGGTGAGTCAATGATGTACCACTACACACACAAAGAAGTGAGTCAATGATGTACCACTACACACACAAAGAAGTGAGTCAATGATGTACCATTACACCCACAAAGAGGTGAGTCAATGATGTACCACTACACCCCTAAAAAAGGCAAGTCAATGATGTACCGTTACACCCACAAAGAGGTGAGTCAATGATGTACCACTACACCCACAAAGAAGTGAGTCAATAATGTACCACTACAACCCCAAAGAGGTGAGTCAATGATGTACCACTACACACACAAAGAGGTGAGTCAATGATGTACCACTACACACACAAAGAGGTGAGTCAATGATGTACCATTACACCCACAAAGAGGTAAGTCAATGATGTACCACTACACCCACAAAGAGGTGAGTCAATGATGTACCATTACACCCACAAAGAGGTTAGTCAATGATGTTCCACTACACCCCTAAAAAAGGCAAGTCAATGATGTACCATTACACCCACAAAGAGGTGAGTCAATGATGTACCACTACACCCACAAAGAAGTGAGTCAATAATGTACCTCTACACCCACAAAGAGGTAAGTCAATGATGTACCACTACACCCACAAAGAGGTGAGTCAATGATGTACCACTACACCCCTAAAAAAGGCAAGTCGATCAATGATGTACCATTACACCCACAAAGAGGTGAGTCAATGATGTACCATTACACCCACAAAGAGGTGAGTCAATGATGTACAATGTACCACTACACCCACAAAGAGGTGAGTCAATGATGTACCATTACACCCACAAAGAGGTGAGTCAATGATGTACCATTACACCCACAAAGAGGTAAGTCAATGATGTACCACTACACCCACAAAGAGGCAAGTCAATGATGTACCATTGAAACTACAAAGAGGTGACTCAATGATACATGTACAATTTTATCTAAAAGATGAATTAATCTAAACTCAGTGATATACCACTACACATACAGAGGTGAGCTGGTCTATAAAGTGGTTGGATAGTTTGGTCTGAAATGTATACCCTACATCTACAAAGAAGTGATTTGTTTGTACACAATTATGTATCCTGCATCTATAAAGTATTGAGATGGTATGGCTATTATGATGTACCTCTTCTAAAAGAAAAATGCAAGCTAGCTTATAAAGAGTTAGGTTAGTATGTTCCATGTATGTAAACAAAGTGAAGTGGTTTGGACAATATGATTTACCTTACGTCTATAGAGATGAGTTGATCTGAATGCATAGTTTTACTTCACATCTACAAAATGGTGATTTGGTCTGGAGTTTTGTTGTTACTTTTGTTTTGTAGTATCGTGGTGAGTTTGGCCTACTTGACCTCTCCTGGAGCAGTATAGCTATAGGGACAGTGTGCTGTCTAGTAGCTCTCCCTCTTAATCTTCTCTTATCCTTCCTCTTCAGAAGAAGCAAGGTATACAATTGTAATTTACTTATTAAATACCGCACAATGAATACACTACTGGTATTAAAAATACTGCACAATAAATACACTACAATGAATACACCAACAGTATCACAATACTGCACAATGAATACACTACTGGTATTAAAAATACTGCACAATTATAAATACACTACAATGAATACACCAACAGTATCACAATACTGCACAATGAATACATATTAGATATTTTTATTACAACTAAGTAAATAAATAAGTTGTTCTCAATTCTTCCACCTGCGTTTACGAAGGTCTTGACCCTTTATTTCATAGAAATAATTAATAGACATTAGCCTCTGTTGTGTATATTTTGAATTCTACTTCGAGTTGTCAATGCCTTTGAAATCGTTAAGGCCACAATAAATAAATTCCTAGATTCTCATCCCCACCCGCCCCGATTTTTTACCCCCGCCTCGATTTTTTTTATTTCTGTTTTTCTTCTTCTTAATTCTGATCGGGATCGGTATTCAACTACCATTCAACCCGCGATTGTCGGCATGATTTTGACAGCTGACAATATTTGGTAACTGCTGTAATATGTATTAAACAAGGATCATTGGCTGTTAAAGATTGGTGATGTTGTGTAGTAAGAGATATGCATATTTAAATGAACCTCTACTATTACTTTTATGTGGGCATTTTAGATAAATCTGCACCGATTGATCAGGTGACAACAAAAAATCTGCAAAATGGAAAAAATAAAAAATATAAAAAAATCTGCCCGCCCGCCTCGATTTTTCAAAAAATTTGGATGAGAATCTTAGGAATTTTTTTATTATGGCCTAACAGCTTGCAAACGCACGATTCTCTCTCACTTCTTTGTTTAATAAGTTAATTTAATCTGATATTATTTAAAGGAGAAATGTGTAAGCAGCAAATTTTACTGAAAAATGAGGCATTTGAATCTTTTTCGAAATTTCATACTGTAATTGATATTTAATACATTGCAAATTAATATGTGATTGAGAAAAAAATCAAATTCAAATGGCTGTGACTTACTTCATAAGTTATTTTGGAAGAGAGGTCTTACTTTTTACATGTAACAAGTTTTACTTGCAGTTTTTATGTAAATATTCACTTTCATTTCTAGTTGCAAATCCTACAGCAAAACAAGTGACCTTAAATCAACAAATTTTCTTTGCCTGTAACATGTGTAATTTCAAGTAAAATTTGTATATTTGAAATATTAATTAATTCTTTTCCAGTTAGTTCCAACTGACAATAGTAAGGCGTCTTCATCAGAAGATAAGGATGAGGACGCGTATCCCAGCGGGAAACCCAACGAGAACTCCCAGGAGGAGGAGACTGATACGTCAGCGGAAGTCGTACAGCCAATCATGACGTACTCCATACTGGACCAGTCTATACTTAACTGGCCAGCCATTCAGGTACATCAATATTAAAGCTTTAGGTAATACAGCCAATCATGACGTACTCTATACTAGATCAGTCTATACTTAACTGGCCAGCCATTCAGGTACATCAATATTAAAGCTTTAACTGAAGTCGTACAGCCAATCATGACGTACTCCATACTGAATCAGTCTATACTCAACTGGCCAGCCATTCAGGTACATCAATATTAAAGCTTTAAGTGAAGTCGTACAGCCAATCATGACGTACTCCATACTGGATCAGTCTATACTCAACTGGCCAGCCATTCAGGTACATCAATATTAAAGCTTTAAGTGAAGTCGTACAGCCAATCATGACATACTCCATACTGGATCAGTCTATACTTAACTGGCCAGCCATTCAGGTACATCAATATTAAAGATTTAAGTGAAGTCGTACAACCTATTATGACATATTCCATACTGGACCAGTCTATACTTAACTGGCCAGCCATTCGCTCATTTTAATGTTTAACTCGTTAACATCATCACTTTATGAGTCTCATTTAAATGTTTACTTTACAAGATGACTTCACTAATAATCTATTCAGATATTCTATATATATAGCTAATGTTTTGATTGAATTAATGTTAATAACTATGTCAAATAATCAAAGTTTGATTAAATCATATTAACACATCATCTATTTATCATTTCCGAAAGCATTTGTAGATGAGGATAATCTAATTTTATTCTTCACTGATTAGTGAAAACAATATTTTTATAATTTGCTACAAATATTTAATTAATTTTATTTCATTTTTCTCCAAGGGCTGGGCACAGAAACAGTGGATAAAACGGCAGCATACAACAATAAAGGAATGTCCCTCTTCAACAACAGACACCTTACTCAACAGATGTAAGTCAGAAAAACAAATGATAGAGTAAACAAAAAGAGTAAATAAACCTTGCAATAATTAAGTTCAACCTTTCAAACCAGATTTAGGTCAAAGTTATTAATCAAATTCAGTAGTGATCAAATTCACACCCCCAGTACAGATGCTGATCAAAAATGCCAAACAAACTACATGTATAAGGTTATAAGAGTCATAGCATTCGAAATAGATAAGTCACGGTAGCTTAGTGATAGGGCGTTCGATTCACGATCAGAAGACCCAGGTTTGATTCTCATTCGCTGCACTGTGATCAAACTTACCTTACCTTACCAACAAAAGTAGGTCAGAGTAATTAGCTCACCTCAACGAAGTTGGGGGAGCTTATGTAATACCGTCGGTGTCCCAGGTTAAGGTTTTTGGAGCAGTTTTCTTTTCAAGTACTTCTATGGCCTATATTAGTCAGAGATGCATGGAGGATGCTTCTAGTGTGTTTCATTGTACCAGTCAAGGTTTCAGATGCTGCAATTTCAGCTAAAGAATGACCAGGTTAATGTTTTTGGAGCAGGTTAAAGTTTTTGGAGCAGGTCTCATTTCCAAGTAACTATAAGCCCTATATTGACCAAACTTGCATGGATGATACATTTAAGGATGCACACTACTGGACCTGCTTTGGATGCTGAATCTGACCTATATTTTCCAGATGAGTGACCAGGTTAAAGTTTCTGGAGTAGATGTCATTTCCAAGTATCTATAAACCCTATATTGACCAAACTTGCATGGATGATAAATCTAAGGATGTACACCACTGGACTTGCTTCGGATGCTGGATCTGACCTATATTTTCCGGATGAGTAACCAGGTTAAAGTTTTTGGAGCAGATCTCATTTCAAAGTAACTATAAGCCCTATATTGACTAAACTTGCATGGATGATACATCTAATGCCCTGTTCACACGGAGAGTTTAATTCGCAGTAAATTAATGCGAAGTAAACTAATGCGAATTAAACTAATGCAAATTAAATTGCGTTCACACGACAACTAATGCGAAGTAAACTAATGCGAATTAAATTTTTATTTCTAAAATAAGGCTATTCAGTAAGGCTATTATGACGTCATTTTGCGAATCACGTCACATTGTGCTGAGCAGATACATTTGACCACTGATTTGACATCATGTGATAGTGTCTGTACACATTTTAGTGATTATCCTAATTTCCCTTTGTTTTCCACTCAAAAATAGCACAAATACCTATATCTGACCACCGACATGTGGCCTGTGACTTAATTCTGCACTTACGCATGCGTCAAAATTTAATTCGAATTAGCTTCGCTTAGCGTTCACACGGAGCTCATGCGAAGTAATTTAATGCGCAGTAAACTAATTCGAATTAAACTAATTCGCATTAAATTCTCCGTGTGAACGTGGATCAAATTTAATTCGCAGTAACTTACGTTTAATTCGAATTAAACTCTCCGTGTGAACAGGGCATAAGGATGCACACTACTTGACTTGCTTCGGATGCTGGATCTGACTTAAATTTTCCGGATGAGTGACCAGGTTAAAGTTTTTGGAGCAGATCTCATTTCCAAGTAACCATAAGGCCTATCTGAACCAAACTTGCATGGATGATGCATCAAGGGACGAACAATCTCAAAACTTGCTTCGGATGCTGGATTTGACTTACATTTTGTCGATGAGTGACTAGTTTTAAGTTTTCAGATAAGTCTATTCCCAAGTAACTGCAAGCCTTATCAGACCGAAATTGCATAAATGTTGCATCTAGGGATGCTCACTCCTAGATTATTAGTTTAGTGTGGGACTTTGCCTTACTTAAAGACAACATTCGTTGAGGTGAGCTCTGTAATCTCTGATTACCTATGTTGAATAAAGTCTATAGTGACCAGAATCACACTTTTCTAAACAGATTAATTTCTTCATTTACATATACATATATCTATGTTATTTTTGAATTAGTGATAAGTTCAGAGACAGATATGGCATCCAGTGGGTTTGAGGACTCGAACAGCACAGATCCGCGTCCTCAGATGACCAGTAGCTCAACTGCCAGCAACTCACCAGCCAGCAGCATAAAAAACAAAGCATCATCAGAAAGCAGTCAGATCACCACTAAATGTCCAGGTAGGTCTGTATATGTACTAGTCAGATTACCACTAAATGTCCAGGTAGGTTTGTATATGTGCTAGTCAAATTACCACTAAATGTCCAATTAGGTTTGTATATGTACTAGTCAGATTACCACTAAATGTCCAGGTAGGTTAACGTTTGTATATGTACTAGTCAGATTACCACTAAATGTCCAGGTAGGTTTGTATATGTACTAGTCAGATTACCACTAAATGTCCAGGTAGGTCTGTATATGTACTAGTCAGATTACCACTAAATGTCCAGGTAGGTCTTTATATGTACTAGTCAGATCACCACTAAATGTCCAGGTAGGTCTGTATATGTACTAGTCAGATCACCACTAAATGTCCAGTTAGGTTTGTATATGTGCTAGTCAAATTACTACTAAATGTCCAGTTAGGTTTGTATACGTGCTAGTCAAATTGCCACTAAATGTCCAGGTAGGTTTGTGTATGTACTAGTCAAATTACCACTAAATGTCTAGGTAGGTCTGAATATGTGCCAGCTTTTTTCATTACCAACCAGTACGTTGTAACACTTTGATGAAAACAACTTTGAAAGGTAATTGTCAAACCTGTTACAGTAAGCAGGGAAGAACTCATTTTATGACAAAAAAATATTGCATCCTTTTTACTTTCGTGCAATTCGTGTATTTGGTTGCTTATTGTTCAAACATTCAACTTTTCTCTTCAGCACCTTCTAAGAAGAATCCCAGCTCGCGTCTGTTGTTGCCCACGTGGATGAAGTACGTAGCCTGGTGTTTATGTGGCATTGTTATCGTCTGCTCAGCTCTCCTAACTGTGTGGATTGGTTTCCGGTTTGATGAGGTTCGCAGTGTCCTGTGGCTACAGTCCCTTTACATCAGTGTCTTGGTCTGTGTTTTCCTTGTCCATCCAACCATCGTGAGTTCCTGCCATCCTCTTTAAAACATTGTTATTTTCTGGTATTAAATGATCTTGTTTCTGTACAGTGAATAAATCAATTGATTTATTGGAAATTGTGCTAAATATTGGGCCAAAGTTTTTCTGCGAAAACTTAGGATGATAACAAAACCAGGAGTAAGTGTTATATGGGCGATACTGCAAAGTTAACTGACATGTAATTCAGCTGTTTAAATCACTTTACGGGAAGGAATAAAGATCAATGAAGAAGTGAAGATAACAAACAGTGTTCTATATTAAAAAATCCACAAATAATACAAATCTGTAAACAGATCATAAAATACGGACCCCAGAAATTCCAGAGGTTTGATCAGGTGCCTAGGAGGAGTAAGTGTCCCCTGTCTACCGATCACACCCGCCATGAGCCCTATTTATAAATCAGTCAGACAGAATATTCCGTAGTCAAATTTAGCAAAGAAACAAAGGTATAACAACCTGGTCTTCATAGTCTATTTTCTAAAAGTTCTTTGGAGCCTTGAGAATCTGCAATTGATTTGCACCACTTTTAAAATATGTTGTAGCATAGTACATTTGAAATTTTTCCTTTTCAACAGTTAAAAGTTTTATGAGTAGTAAAGATAGGGGCTTGGTAGAACACTTTCTGGACTGGCAATGTATCTTTCTTTGTAAGGATTTTATGACGTTTTATAACATTTCAGATTGTCTTAAAGAAACCCATTAAACCCCTTATTTCAATGTCCTCATTTGTCAAAACCTGAGGTAAATGTTGTCATCTTTAACCCCTCACATGTTTTTTTCTTCTTCCAGATTTTCTGTGCCGTTCTGTACACTGCCGTCAGGTATCGTTGTGAACCTACTACACTGGACCATTATGAAGAGTCGTTTTTCGGGGAAACTGCAGAAAAGGAAATTCTGCGTCGGAAGAAGGAACAGTCGTGTGAAAATGGGAGCGAGGCCGAGGAGCTGGAAAAGGTTTTGTAATTACCTTGATTTTTGTCAAATAAATTTTAAAAAAACCCAGAGTTTTCTAAAAATCCTATCATATGTTGCGCCAAATTCTTTGAATAGGGTCCTTTGGAGTGACATGCTTCAATCAATGACCTTGTAATGTTAATTGTAAATCATAGAACTTGTGAGTTTCTCGATTAAATATCATGCTTAAGTTTAAGTTGTGTATACAATGTATGTGAGAGATAAAAAAGTGTTTCAAAAAAATATTAATGTTACATTATATATATATATATATATATATATATATATATATATATATATATATATATATATATATATATAATTTAGCTAATGGTTTTGATTTAGGCTGTGGCTGCCCGTCAGAGATCTAGGTATTTACGATTTGCCAGACCTCCACAAGAAAAACAGCTGATTGAAGCCCGAAAAAACGTCATGAAAGAAAAGAAATCCATTGCAATTCTCCTGTATGTAACGCAATAGGATCAACCTACATAAATTCAAATTGATAAACAGATTCTTTTATAATCATTGTTATTTTTGTGTCTCGTGTTGTGTAGGCTCAGTTTTGTAAGTTTAGTGCCGCTAACCTTCATGTAGGTTTACAAAATTTTATAATTGAAATATAAACACTTTTCTTAAAACAACAGGGCCAAAATTATTTAAATGAGTCTTGTGTCCCATGGAATTCGTATAACATTTCATGTTGAATGCTCGATTAACAGTGAAGAAAGTTACGAAATTTTCAAACTCTTCCATCTTAATTTATAATATGTGAATGATAGTGTTGATTTCCTTGTAGAGACATGGCCTCCCTGGTGGTAACATTTCTAATTGTCTCTGTGATGGCTTATGGTAAAGATATACAACCAGAATATCAGCTGAACAAAGCTGTGTACAACCACTTCATTAGGTATGTTTATATAAAGTACACCAATAATATAATCTAAACAGATCTTACTCCAACCAATCATTAGGTATGTTTATAAGATACACCAATAATATTATCTAAACATATCTTACTCCAACCAATCATTTGGTATGTTTATAAGATACACCAGTAATATTATCTAAACAGATCTTACTCCAACCAATCATTAGGTATGTTTATAAGATATACCAAGAATAAGACATAAATTTTATAATCATTTATGTCAAGTGGTATTTACATGCAGAATATCATCTGTGTAAAGTTAAATACAACTTTTTCATTAGATATGTTAAAAAGCTGTATAGAAAATCATCAACACGAAACTTTTCCATCCATTCTATCTGTTATATCAAAAAGCAATAAAAATTTCATGTATAAATCTTATATACAATGATATAAAGCATATTATATTGATAACCATAGTAAATCAAAGTTTTCATGGGGATCACTATAGTAAATCAAAGTTTTCATGGGGATCACTATAGTAAATCAAAGTTTTCATGGGGATCACTATAGTAAATCAAAGTTTTCATGGGGATCACTATAGTAAATCAAAGTTTTCATGGGGATCACTATAGTAAATCAAAGTTTTCATGGGGATCACTATAGTAAATCAAAGTTTTCATGGTGATCACTGTAGTAAATCAAAGTTTTCATAGTGATCACTATAGTAAATCAAAGTTTTCATGGTGATCACTATAGTAAATCAAAGTTTTCATGGTGATCACTGTAGTAAATCAAAGTTTTCATAGTGATCACTATAGTAAATCAAAGTTTTCATGGTGATCACTGTAGTAAATCAAAGTTTTCATGGTGATCACTATAGTAAATCAAAGTTTTCATAGTGATCACTATAGTAAATCAAAGTTTTCATGGTGATCACTATAGTAAATCAAAGTTTTCATGGTGATCACTGTAGTAAATCAAAGTTTTCATGGTGATCACTATAGTAAATCAAAGTTTTCATGGTGATCACTGTAGTAAATCAAAGTTTTCATAGTGATCACTATAGTAAATCAAAGTTTTCATGGTGATCACTATAGTAAATCAAAGTTTTCATGGTGATCACTGTAGTAAATCAAAGTTTTCATGGTGATCACTATAGTAAATCAAAGTTTTCATGGTGATCACTGTAGTAAATCAAAGTTTTCATGGTGATCACTATAGTAAATCAAAGTTTTCATAGTGATCACTGTAGTAAATCAAAGTTTTCATGGTGATCACTGTAGTAAATCAAAGTTTTCATGGTGATCACTGTAGTAAATCAAAGTTTTCATGGTGATCACTATAGTAAATCAAAGTTTTCATAGTGATCACTGTAGTAAATCAAAGTTTTCATGGTGATCACTATAGTAAATCAAAGTTTTCATGGTGATCACTGTAGTAAATCAAAGTTTTCATGGTGATCACTATAGTAAATCAAAGTTTTCATGGTGATCACTATAGTAAATCAAAGTTTTCATGGTGATCACTGTAGTAAAAGTGTCAAAGTTATCACTATAGTTAACTTAAGATTTCATAGTGTCAAAGTTAGCACTATAGTTAAGTATAGTAAACTATAGTTAACTAAAGTTTACTACAATATTAATTGCAAAGGTTCATTTTAGTATCAAAACGAGCTGTGCAAAATTTCATTCACACAAACTCTATAAATCCATTATGTAAGATGTTTCAGTAGTCTGCAAAAACCTATAGGCAACCATTTTATAAGATATTTCACTTAACTGTACAGAATATTATACATAAATCTATCTTTAAACTTTTGTATGTTATATGTATTAATAATACAGAATTATGACATCCTATATTATATATATAAATATATAAATGTAAATATATATATATAAATGTGCTTTATAAATAAAAATTAATTTCATTACAACGTGTATTGGTAGCGATCCTCTAATAAACTTTCTCCAAGACATTAACTGCTTTAACACCATGTACACGCATGAGTCGCCTCAGCAAAAGTCAATTCAATCTACAGAGCCACTGTTCACCAACAAGGCATTATTCATACAAGGATATTTACTAGGTATTCATTTCAATTTCAGAGAAGGCAGCCCAAATTTTGCTTCCATTAAGAATAGACTCGACTGGTATGAATGGACATCAACAACTCTGATAGACAAAATATATATAGGCAACTCAAGAGAGAAACAGGTCTGTTCTTGTTTATTTTCATGTGACAAGTATTTTATCTTTTACATTTGATATGAAACTTTTTTTTAAATAACCATGCTCTCAAAGACAGCTGGTATTGATACCATACTGACTAACTTAATCTAAGTTATGCTAAAATATTCTAACATGAGGTACCATGTAAAAGACATTTTTTTTTCTAAATCATATTGAATTTTCTTTATTGATTCAAACAAAGGGAACCTGGTTTACATAATGTATTTTTATCTGAATTATTACCAGAGTCAGAGTTTTACTATTTTGCCACCCTAACACTAACGTTTAAGCTACTCTAACAATAACATTTACTCGGCCCTAACACTAATGCTTACGGCACCCTAACACTAATGTTTACGCCATCCTAAAACTAACGTTTACGCCACCATAACACTAACGTTTATGCCTACCCGAACACATTTAATATATATTCATCAATAATTTCCTTTCAATCAGGTTTCAATTTTTTTTGTATTTTGATAGACCCAAAACAGCGTTATTTACACAAACTACATAACTACCTTCCAAAGAAAGATATATTTTGATTTTTCAGGTGGTGTAGGAGAGAAATTTTACACTTAATAAACAGATAATCAATGTACAATTAGTTTTGAAGTTTTTTATGCATCATCAAACAAAAATCTCACTGCCCAAAAGTTTACTGACTTCTGAAAAAAGTAAATTTATTGTATGATGTTCACATCCTAAAAACATTTTCATGCTGTGTATGTAAATAAGTACTTACTTTATAGAACATAATCTATAAAAATTAATCTGTAACCTAAAGAAGACAATTATTTACAATGCAGAACAATGAGCAAACTGGATTTTCAACAATTTTTTCACTCTGTAAATACTTTTGCGAAAGAAAAAAAAATGGTCCTTCTGCATTTATCTCTAAGTTTAAGAGCTTTTTTTTTTTTTTCAAGAATGTCACTTAAGAATTTGAACAATGTAGAACACTAATCTAAATAATGTTTATTTATTTGCTTTTAAATTTACTTTCTTGCAGAAACCAGTTCTAAAAGGAACTAGTTATATAATTGGAGATGTGCAATTAAGGAAGGTTAAAGAGGATGAGAGAGGGTGTGTTGACATGAGTTCACTCCCTTATATCTCTCTTAAGTGTCGAAAGTTTTCATCATCACTTGTACACAATCAAGATAATGGAACCTTTAGAGGTAAAACGTCACCTTACCTGTTGTTTGGGCGCCATGGTATCTATGACAACTCAGGATACGTTCTTAAGTTGGATCACTCAAGGTACTTTTAATTTACAATTACAAGTTAATTTAGTCAGACATTATCAACCCTTAAACTTTGAATATACATTTTTATGAGATATTTATAAAGAAAAACTAATTCCTGTACTTTGGAAAAGTTCTTTTACAAGGGTAAAACTACCTTAATTATGTGTACTTTAAAATGGATTTTCTGACAATAGTAGTACTTCGCAGATTTTTTTTTTTTACATTCATTCAATCAATCACCGTTCTTTTACAAGAAAGAAGAAATAAACGTTTATGTAATGTTGTCCTTATTATTCTCTTACAGACATCAAGCTATGAATCAAATACGGAATTTAATCACTGCAAACTGGATTGACGATTATACTAAAGCAATATTCATTGAATTCACCCTGTTCCACCCTCCTTCCAGTCTTTTTACATCTGTTATCATGATTCTAGAAATACCAGATACAGGCCGAGTGTTTCCGAGCAACAGTATCAGCTCCACCTATGTATATAGATATACTTCAAGGACAGACCACTTTGTCTTGTTTTGCGAGGTAACTAATATTGTGAGGAGTAGTGATCTCAAAAATTTAATTCTCGCATATATTTGTAGTACAAAAGATTATATAGAAGAATAACCAGAGTTTGTGAAAAATATGTCTCACTTATAAATACCAAATGGCCATCTCACGAAGTTAAGGTGTCGTCAAAATTTGGTGATCTACAGTACTGTTAGATTCGGCTATAATTGAACTCACTGATAAGGAAATATCAGAAATGAGAAATATTAAGAAAACAAACAGTGATCGATCTAAAAATTCTTGTACAAAGAAAAAGCTAAGCTTAGACACTCTTAGGCCCCTGAACTTGGGTGTCTCTGAGAACGATGCAATAGTTCGTTTTCAAAATCTTGTTGTCATCCATGTTACAGTTCGAATTTTTATCAAATTTCACAAATTTAAAAGCACAATTTGTTTTAGAAATCACAGAGCACAAGCTTGTGTATCTACCAAATTTATATATTTCATGCAATAGTATCTGATGCTTGTGTATAAAAAGCTCTGATAGGCAAGCTTATGCTCTTTATTTCTTGAAGTGAAAAATATCTGAATGTTGACAAAATTCCATCAGAATCAAGAAAATTTGGTATTAAATCGGACTTTGCTATCCTCTTGTGGCCTCCCTGTACGCATTAGATCAAAACTGATCCTGATTTTACAACAAACATTATTTAGAGTTCGTAATTGCAAACTATCACAATTTTAACAGTAGTACGTTTTGTAACTAGAGTCGAGCTCGTTGCAATGCAACGAATAGGTCTTCCGTCGGAGCTCCAGACAGGACAGAGCGACCTTGAGTCAAGGTCATGCAACATTTTAAGGTTATAAACAATCCTGTAAGGGGCATCAACTTGCAATGTTTCCACAGTAGAAAGACAGTAAAGGAATGTAAAATTCCCCTGTCAGTGAACTTGAACTTGTCCATATAACCTTGCGTCAAGCCATAACACATTCTGCAGCTTGTTAAGAGCAAACACCATCTTTATGTCACCGACATAAAAAAAATTCACAGTCACGTATTCTTTCAGACTACTCATCCAAAACATCATATTCTAAGTGACCTCGTATTTAAGCCAAGGCCATTACACACTCTGGATGATATATTTATCATCTTTTCAGTGAAATGCAAATGCATGCAATTTTTTCTATTACAGAATTATAGACCTTTTTGTTTATTTGTTTGTATGTTGTTTAACGTCCCTTTCGAGAATTTTTCAATCATATGGAGACGCCACCATTTGCCGATGGAGATCTGCAAATTTTGACCTATACTTGGCACACATGGCCATTGAGCAGTGAGGGATCTTTTTCGTGCCAGCACCTACTGCCAGACGGGACCTCAGTTTGTACGGTCTCATCCGAAGGATCAGTCTCTGCGTCCCTCAGTGGGATTCGAACCTGCGACGTAAGGATCAACTCCTTAATCCACGACTCTAGAGCAGACACTCTTACCACTGCGCCACTTGGGCGACTAGACCTTTTTGAATTTTACACTTATTATATCAGTGACCTTGAACTTTCCTAAATGACCTATGTTAAGGTCAAAAAAAACCTTTGAACAAATTATGAGCTTCCAGTGATACTCAATGACAAAGATATACCTGAAAAAGAATATTGCACTTTTCTGTCAGTGACCTTGAACTTGCCAGAAAGACCTTGGATCAAGGTCAAAACACATTCTTGGATCATAAGCAATCTCTGTATCAAGTAAAAGCTTCCAGTGATTTTATATTACAAAGTTATAGCATGGGAAAAAAATAATATTTATCTGCCAGTGACCTTGAACTTGCCGGAAAAACCTTTGTTCAACATCAGGACAAACCCATCTCAAGCAATCTGAGAAAAAGTTTCCTTTGTTCCTCCCACCCCTTATAAATTTATAATCCAGGCACGAATTTTGCCACTTCTTCTGCCAATCTAGTACTATGTTATCTCAAACCGGTGGATCATAAGCAATCTTTGTTCCAAGTATGAGCTTCCAAAATTATAGCACATACAGTAATCTTACACTTTTCTGTCAGTGACCTTGAACTTACAGGAATGACCTTGGATGAAGGTCGTGTCAAACCCTTTAATTTTGTCATAAGTAATTCCTGTATCAAGTATGATACTTGCTATTTTTTTCCAGTAACCTTGAACTTGCCGGAATGATGTTGGATCAAAACTATGACACACCTTCGGATCATTAGTAATCTTTGTACCAAGTATGACCTTCCAGTTTCTTCATAACAAAGTTATAATATCCTGGGTAAACTATCACGTACAGACGGACAGCTAGGCAGACGGACAGTGTGATTCCAAAAGACTCAAAACACCCCCACCCCAAACCCACACACTTCGTTTGGGGGGATATATAAATTCCTATGTAAAATTATGAACACTCTTTCCGGCCCAAACTTTCTCCCTGGAATCAATATTTGAAAAAAAAAAATGAATGTATGCTATGTTGGAAATTTTCTCATTCTAGTCCAGGGATTCTTGAGAATACTATTTTCAAATGACCCCATGTGCGGATCTAGAGGGGGTTGGGGGGGGGCAGTTAAATGTATATACTAAACAAGTAAATGTGACCATGCCCCCCCCCTCCCCTAGAAAAAGCGGACCTTTTCTCGAAAACGCGGATCTGTGATAAAATGGTATGAAAAGTCTTAGGTATGAAGCTTTAAAAGTCAATGGACCCCCCCCCCATACACACACACAAACACACACACGAAATAGGTTTTTCACGTTTGGGAAAAGAGTTTGGTTTTTTTTTGGCTCGTCAAGAAATTTCTGGGTTGAAATATTTTTTTATTGGCATCCCCTCCCCCCCCCCCCCCTCCGTGGAAAAAAATTCCTTGATCTGCGCCTGGACCCCATCTAATTTTTACTACATGTATCCGTTAAAAGAGGATGTGGCCCTTCATTTGAACAAAACTTTACCAAAAATATTCTGTGTTAATTTTCGTTGTTATGGTCCAGTGGTTCTTGATAAGATAAAAATGAGAAAAATTTACGAGTAGGTTTAGAACAACAGCGACGATAATGCTTATATACACCAAGATAGCAAACAAAGATGAAGAATTATGAACAGCAAAAGCTTACTTGTGTCTTTGGCTTGGGAGATGAGATACTTATTAAAAATTGAAATTATTTTATTTTTTTTTACAATCGACGGGCCTGCATTTCAGAGAGAGAGAGAGAGAGAGAATTTCTAACTAGGTCTTTGAATAACAGTGAGATCGGTTCAGAAAACCAGGTCCCTAGGAATGTACATGTATATAAAATAGGCAGTGCCTTTCTCTCGGAATTCATCACCTGCTTCTGTAAAGCTCAATCCTCACCTGTACTTACATGTACCTGGTAAAACCAACCGACTGCGAAGGAAAACATTCTATTTATTTCGAGGATGGGGGTTTACGTATAGTGATGAGAGGAAATTTATTCACCTATACGTTCATTAAATATGAAAGATTGCTTCTGAGTATTTGTATACGATCGCACGACTTTCGTATTAATTTATAAAGTTAGATTATGAAAGCAAATAACTAAACTAACATTTGTAGTAGATGAATTAAATACATGTAATTATTTAGCCGTTTATAAGGTTTTTTATAACATCCGTAAGAACCACTTTATTTTAAACAAGAGGCCCATGGGCCACATCGCTCACCTGAGCACATTAGCTAGACACAAATCAGTTCAGTATTGAAAAGATTACTGGGGGTTGGGGGGGGGGTTGAATTTTAAACTACCTGATGATGCTTCCATGTCAATATAACAAATGGCTTTGTTGTACTTGAGAAGATTTTAAAAAAAATTCCCATATATTTATTTGTAAAATTTTGATCCCCCATTGTGGCTCCTTCCTATCCCAGAGGTCATCATTTGAACAAACTTGAATCTACACTACCCGAGGAACTTCCATATCAATATGACTAAACATAGCTTTTCTTTTCTTGAGAAGACATATTTTTTCTATGTGTTCTTATGTAAAACTTTCAATCCCCATTGGGCCCCAAACTACCCCTGGGGGTTATCATTTGAAAGAAAAAATTGAATTTTACACTACCTGAGGATGCTTCCATATCAAAATGACTAAACATGATTTTCATTTCTTGAGAAGAAGATATTTTCCAATATGTTTCTATGTAAGAAATTTTTGATCCCCCATTGTGGCCCATCCCTATCCCCGGGGGTCAAACTTGAATCTACACTACCTGAAGAGGCTTCCATATCAAAATGACTAATCATGGCTTTGCAGTTCTTTATCAGAAGATACCTTCCTATAATATTTCTATTTCAGACATTGATTCTCCATTGTGGCACCGCCCTACCCCAGGGGGTCATGATTTGAACAAACTTAAATCTATACTACCTGAGGATACTTCCACATAAATATGATCAATCAGGGCTTTGCTGTTCCTGAGAAGAAGATTTTTAAAGATTTTTCCTATATATTTCTATGTTAAACTTTGATCCTCCATTGTGGACCCGCCCTATCCCCCGGGGTCATGATTTGAACAAATTTGAATCTACACTACCTGAGGATACTTCCACATAAATATGACTCATCATGGCTTTGCTGTTCTTGAGAAGAAGATTTTTAAAGGTTTTTCCTATATATTTCTATGTTTAACTTAGATCCTCCATTGTGGCCCCGCCCTACCCCCGAGGGTCATGATTTGAACAAACTTGGATCTACACTACCTGAGAATGCTTCCATATAAATATGACCAATTGGGGCTTTGCTGTTCCTGAGAAGAAGATTTTAAAAGTTTTTCCTATATATTTCTATGCAAAAGTTTGATCCTCCATTGTGGCCCCGCCCTACCCCCGGGGGTTATGATTTGAACAAACTTGAATCTACACTACCTGAGGATGCTTCCATATAAATATGACTTATCATGGCTTTGCTGTTGTTGAAAAGAAGGTTTTTGAAGGTCTTTCCTATATATTTCTATGCAAAAGTTTGATCCTCCATTGTGGCCCAGCCCTACCCCCTGGGGTCATGA